GATCTTTTTGCTTATGACTAAGAATCTCTTCATATGTCTCTGGCTCTCCCCCCATCAGTAAGCAACAAATACTCATGAGCATTATACCTAGTGGAAAGGTCTCTTGTCTCTGGTGAATCCCCTTGGCTGAACAGGGGGTTGATGAAACCGGTGGTGTATCTGTCTCAACAGTAGGATCATCATCAAACTTACCATCCTACTCTATCTCAGCTCCCCCTTTAGGAGAATCATCTGAATGTGGAGAAAATGGATCTAGATCAACAGGAATCTCATGTGAAGATTCTGGTATCTCGCCATTTCCCCTATCATTATTGGTTTGGTCTTAAAAGAATATCACATCTCTGCTTCTGAAAACTTTCTTCTCTAATAGATCCCAAAGTCTGTATCCAAAATCATCATTGTCATACCCCAAGAATACACACTGTTTGGATTTGCCATCAAACTTCGATCTTTTGTCTATGGGAATATGAACAAAAGCACGACAATCGAAAATTCACAAATGTCCAAATGAGACATCTTTCCATATCTAAACTCGCTGTGGTAGATCGCAATCCAACAGAACTGAGGGAGATAGATTGATCAAATCAACTACTGTTTGCATGGCTTCACCCCAAAAAGATTTAGGTAGCTTTGCATTCGAGAGCATACACCTAACTTTTTTGGTAATAGTTTTGTTCATTCTTTCTGCCACGCCATTCTGCTGCAGAGTCTTTGGAACACTCTTCTGAAGTTTAATGCCATGGTCTTGGAAATACTTCTCAAATGCACCCCTGTACTCACCACCATTATCTGCTCAAACACACTTCAACTTCTTGCCAGTCTCTCGTTCAATTCTAAGGTGAAAGTCTTTGAACACATCTAATACTTAATCTTTAAATTTCAAAGAAAAACACCAAACCTTTCGAGCATAGTCATCAATGAAAGTAACAAAGTATAATGTACCATCCAGTGACCTATTTTTCATGTAATATACATCTGTATGAAATAACTATAAAGAACTGGACTTTCTAGATGGAGGAGATTTTTGAAATGAAACCCTATGTTTACCATAAATACAGTCAACACAAGGTTCTAGAGCAGTACCTTTCACCTCAAGGAGGAATTACTTTTTACCAAGAATCTGCATCCCCTTGACACTTATGTGTCCAAGCTTTTTGTGCTAGAGACTAATGGAGGTATTGTGAGTTTGCATTCACCTCTCCATTCTTCAACTTTGCATTCAACACATACAAAGAGTTCAATTTCTTTCCTCTAGCAATAACAAGATTACGCCTGGTAATTGTCCAACGGCCACCACCTTCAGTGCTATGATAACCCTTATCATCAAGTTTGCCAACGAAAATAAGGTTGAGACGCATATCCTGAAAATGTCTCACATTCTTCGAGACAAGAGTACAACCTGTATTCCATTACCAATGATACCTCTCCCATGCCGACAACATTAAATGTGGCTTTTTTACCCATTCTTACATGACCAAAATCTCCAGTTGTGTAAGAGGTGAAAAAGTGTTTGTGAGGCGTCACATGATCAGATGCACCTGAATCACCGAACTAATCACTGGCGTGACTCGCAACATTAATTGTATCATCATCACAGTACACAAATACATCACTGGTAGTTACTACTGCAGTAGTGTCATCATCACTTGATTCATCCTTCTTACCTTTACCTTTTCTTGCTGCTAATTCTCTCTTGAGAATCCTGCACTCCCTCTTAAAGTGCCTGTTAGCTTGGCAACGGTAGCACACGACATATTTCTTGGATTTAGACCGTCCCCTAGACTTGTCGTTCCGATCACGTGGCTCTCTGCTTTTACTTCTCCCTCTTCTGTCTGAATTTTTTGTCACCAGAGCCTACGACTCAGATTCAATACTCTACTCTTTTCTTCTGACTTCTTCATTCATCAAAGCCTCTCTGACCTGATCCAAGGTCAAAATACCATCCTGGGTTGAGTTAGTGATTGACACTACCAAAATGTCTCAACTGTCTGGAAGAGAACTGAACAATAACAAAGCCTGCACCTCATCATCTAGCTTTAAACCTACATTCACTGCTTGGTTCAATAAACCCTGAAACGAACTCAAGTGCTCATTCATGCTAGCACCATCTTTGTACCTCAACCTAATAATCTGTTTCAGTGCAGATGACTTATTGATGCCGGACTTCATCCAATACATATTCTGGATTTTCTCCCAAAGTTTATCAGTTTTTGTTTCTCCCGAAAAGTGATGAAACACACTTTAATCAATCTACTGTCGAATATTACCAAAAGTCTTCCTGTGCATATCAGTCCACTTTTTATCTGTCATATCACTTGGCTTACCTTCATCCCTTCCCTTATAACAGGATCAAATAAATCTTTGCAATACAACAAGCCTTCTACATATGATAATTGGATGAAACCAATTTAATCATTGTAGCAGCACAGATGACTCTTCTATTTTATTGGTGTAACACCTCAACTACTTTTATTCGGAAGAGAAAACCCGACATGTAGCCTAATAAGTAAAATAAGACTCATTTGGACTCAAAATTTCAACCTAATGGGTACTGAGTCCACCTTACTTATTAATTGATTCACATGTCCTCATACCTTCGATATGAGATTCATAATCCTTACCACATGACTCTCAACAAATTGTGATCCTGCGTTCATTTGAGGGGAAGAGAAAAAAAAAACAAGAAATAATATTGTGAAGAGGAGGAGGAGATTGGAGATATAAACATTTGCTAAATTCAAGATCCTCCTTTTGAGAAAAGAAAATTAGAAAAGGATGCCAAAAATTCTAGCCGTTATGAAAGAGCATTAAAACGAATTGACCTTTTTGGCCGCAGGCAGACGAAAGATAAAAAATCGTATGCGTAGCTTGTGTGTTATTCCCACGACTCTCTATATAGCCTTGGTTATCGTGCCAGTAAATTTTCATACCAAAAATGTCCTCCGTATATAAAATTTTCCAACTCATGCCACCTCAACGAGTCACCAGTCACCACCCTTGCTTGATGCTTCTAAGCACCTTTTGCATTTCACTTTTTTGTAATTCTGGTTAAACTCTGGTATATTTGTATTGTTTCTTCGATTTGTGTTTTTTATATTAAAAATATAAAAATGTGTATTAAAAATATAAAAAGATATGTATACTGAGATAAGATAATTATTAATAAAAAAATATAAAAAAAATCATCTTAAAAATGAACCAAAGAGTATTACGCAAATTTTTACAAATTAATGAATAAAACCGTATCAAATCTTTAACTAATATCATAAGAAATTGAACACGAAACTAATATTCGTATCTGTTATGGGTAATTTGACATGTAAAATGCATCTATGAGTATTTAAATTAATTTTAATAGTTAAAAAGTCGCATACCCATCTGTATTAAGATTTAAATAAAAATTAAACTTATAAGCTGCATATTTTTAATTTCACCTTTCCACTTATTTCGAAATAAGTGGTGGGGGGATCCCCCACCAATCGCATATTTTCCTGTCATATTTAAGGAAAAAAAATAAAACACTTTTTATTCTTATTCTTTTCGGCTTCTAATTAAAGTTACCCTTTTTTTGTGTTTTGACATTGGATGTTTTAATTAGTGGTATTTCAAATATGTAAGTAAATGTAAGAAGATGCAAGAAAATACTTACAATTAAGCATACATTTGGAGTTTCTCAACCAACAAAACTATAAAAAGAAACTAAAGAAAGGAAGAATGTGGCGCGCCCCTTAATTTTAGCCTCAAAGATTTAAAAATTTTGACAATGTATTTCATTGCCTGAAGGAGATGAAATATTTGCTTATCCCATAATTAAGATATATGTAGATGGATCATTACTTTCAAATGTTTTAAAAACCAATCATCAATTATTCTGACTAACGTAAAAACTTCAAAAAATATTGGCTGCATGTATACGAATTACAACTGTAAAGTTTATTGCTTTTTGGGTTTTTACGTCTAAAAACATAAGAAAGAGTACTACAAGTGAAAGAATATGTCATACACATGTAAAGTTCGAGTTTTTTGTTATACCACAAAATTAGTTAAAGAACTTACATTCAAATTTTGACTGTAATTTTTATGGGGAAATAAGCGCAATACTTTTATTTTGAGTTGTATGATATTTTTTGAGATTTACAACAGAAGCACCGCAAGCGTACTTTCTGTTTAAAAGTGTAATGGATTGCGTCAAAAGAAGAAGAGGAAGAAGGAAGGAAGGAAGGAAGAGAACATTTCAAGCATATTCTATTACACATTTATCTAAAAAAATAATAATTTCAAGCATTAATCTCCTCATTTGTGTTTGCCTTTCTTTTATCTTGTTAAAGGTCAGTAGCAATTAAAATGAGTTTTGAATCATAGATTGTGCATTGTCAAGAAACTTTTACATTTAGAAAGGTCTATCCAAGTCGAATGAGAACTAGTTTGAGTGTGATATGTGTTTATGTAAAATTAAATTTTACATGCTCCAATCTCTCCAATAAATCATAATGTTAATATAACTAAAAAAAAATTATTCACTTGTCTGGCATCTTTTTTTTTTTTCCACTTTTTGGATTTGGATTATGAGACATAAACCACAAAGAAATGGGCAAAAACAAAGTTGGTTTTTAACCAGACGTTTTTAAGTTTTAGATATGTAAAAGAACAGTTTTAAGAAAAAAAAAGAAAAAGAAAAACAGTTTTAACACTTGCAATGGTAATGATATATACTTATAAGTTACAAGTTACATGTACTACTCCTACTCAATTAATTAATGACGACGATTAACGGTACAATTCCATGACAAAATCCACAAGTTTTTTTTTTTAAAAAAAATCTCTACAAAGTAGTAGTATTATCTCAGGAGTCGAGGTGGGAGACAGGAGTGGGGCTATTATTTTAGCCAAAATAAATAAAAACAAAACCGAAAAAGGGAATAAACCACCAAACCAAACCAACTCACACGAGTCACTAACTCAGTGAGTTGAGGGAGGGGCCACGATCCACATTTTCAGTGGCATAACAGTAACAATTTCAAACTTGAAGCCCTCCCCTTTAACATTTCCTGTTTATATATCCCGACATCAGTCTTCCCTTTCCCTTCCCATTCCTCTGTCTCTCTCTCTTACTCCCAGTCGCATTTCCCGGCGACTGTCTCCTTCCCTTTTCCCCATCTTTTCGTATTCCCGTCTTACATTCTGTTTCTCCAAATAAAAGATCAACATTCTTTCCCTGTGCCCAGATTCGTAACAATGGCGTCCCTCATCTGGCCATGTATCATGGCCATTCTGCTTCAATTGTGTTTACTCTGTTCTGTTTCGGCGAAGAAGACGTACATAGTTCAAATGAAGAACCACCAGAAACCCACATCTTATTCTACTCACTCCGATTGGTTCAGTGACCATCTCCAATCCTCTTTAACTTCCTCCACCGCTGAACAATCTTTAGTCTACACCTACGAAACCGCTTACAACGGTTATGCTGCCGTTCTGGAACCGGAAGAGGCGGAGGCGCTTCGGCAATCCAACGATGTGGTTGGTGTTTATGAGGATACAGTTTACACCCTTCACACAACCCGTTCCCCTGAATTTCTCGGGTTGAACACCGATGTTGGGTTGTGGACGGGGCACAATTCGCTTGAACTCGAGCAGGCTTCCCAGGATGTTATCATTGGTGTTCTTGATACCGGAGTTTGGCCGGAATCTAAGAGCTACGACGACACGGGACTCCCCAGTATTCCGTCCAGATGGAAAGGCGAATGCGAGAGTGCGGCGGATTTCAACCCGAAAATCCATTGCAACAAGAAGCTAATCGGAGCCCGGTATTTCTCCAGAGGCTACCAAATGGCTTCCGGTGACGAGAAGCCTTCCAAAGAAGCTCAATCACCTCGAGATCAGGACGGCCACGGGACCCACACCTCGTCCACCGCCGCCGGCGCTTCAGTTGCTAACGCCAGTCTCCTTGGCTACGCCAGCGGCACCGCCAGAGGTATGGCTGTGCACGCCCGTGTGGCCACCTATAAAGTCTGCTGGAAGAACGGATGTTTCGGGTCGGATATTCTCGCCGGAATGGAGCGTGCCATTGGCGACGGCGTGGATGTGCTGTCAATGTCTCTGGGCGGCGGTTCCGGTCCTTATTATCGGGATACTATTGCGATTGGTGCGTTTAGTGCGATGGAGAAAGGTATCTTAGTCTCTTGCTCTGCTGGCAATAGCGGCCCTGCTAAGGCCTCATTGGCTAATTTGGCTCCCTGGATAATGACAGTCGGTGCCGGAACCATTGATAGAGATTTTCCGGCTTTTGCTCAGTTGGGAAATGGGCAAAAAATTACTGGGGTTTCTTTGTATAGTGGGAATGGTATGGGAAAGAATTTGGTGAGCTTGGTTTACAGTAAAGGAGGTAATACCTCCAGTAATTTGTGCTTGCCGGGTTCTCTTGATCCGACCCAAGTGAAAGGGAAAGTAGTATTGTGTGATAGAGGAGTTAATGCGAGGGTGGAGAAAGGCGCCGTCGTTAAGGAGGCTGGTGGAGTAGCGATGATACTGGCCAACACAGCGGCGAGCGGAGAGGAGTTGGTGGCGGACAGCCATTTATTGCCGGCGGTGGCAGTGGGAAAGAAGCTCGGAGACGTAATTAGGGAGTATGTGAGGACAAGCAAGAAACCGACGGCGGTGCTCAGTTTCGGCGGGACGGTGGTGAATGTGAAACCGTCGCCGGTGGTTGCGGCGTTTAGCTCAAGGGGGCCCAATACGGTGACCCCGCAGATCCTGAAGCCGGACGTTATTGGGCCGGGCGTCAATATCTTAGCTGCTTGGTCCGGGGCGATTGGACCCACCGGACTGGAGAAAGATACCAGGAAGACTCCGTTCAACATCATGTCCGGTAAGCATCTGCTGCAAACTGTAAATATATTAATTTAATAATATTGTGCCTTTTCAGCTTAATTTTATTCCCAGATCTCAAGAATGTTGCAAATCTCCTAAATATCTTTGGGGTTCGGTGCTTCGTAATCTTTACATTTTGTCATAAAGTAATTTTGAAACTTAATTTGAGCTTATTGATGAGCTTAAAAAATTGATCTTGCAAAACTAATCCAGGGTGGGTAAAATGAAGATTATCTAATGAATTACAGTAGGCATTGATTATGGTAGATATTAATAGGGTTTTCTTTTTTCGTTCCCTGTTTATCTATAATCATGACATTGATTAGGTTCTGACAAAGTAAGGTTAGCACATGCTAAGATCATGAGCTAAAAAAAAGAAGTCAAAAGAGGTAGCTTCCCAATTTTGTCATGCCAGAAAATGGCCAATTTGTTCAAAGCCATGCCAACAGAACATGGTATCATTAATTTCCTGAGGGAGCATCTGTTTGTGGCATGTGTCAAATTATCATTTCAACTCGTAGTACGCAGTTGATGATGTTTCCCGTTAAGGGTTCACTATCATTGATTCTGAAGATAGGGTTTTGATCCACTTCCCCCACAGAATTTTGAAGCCAATTATATGGCATCATTAGGTTGAATAGTCCTGAAAAAAACTTTAAGCCATTACCTTTACCTTACTGGTTAAATATGAAAAAGGGCAGGAAAAAGATCTTTCAGACTCTTCTTTTTTGTGGACCACTTGGAAAGTGAATGTGACTTTAGGAGGGAAATAATAACAATTAGATAAGGTGCTGTTATTGCTCAGTTTTCTTTAGTTTTTGTCTATTGGAACTGGGACTGTGTCACTACTGAACTTGTACATTTTGTAATAAATTTGAGCACTTTCCTGGGATTGAATTGTGTGATTTTTAATGATTTTTTGCAGGAACATCCATGTCATGCCCACATATCAGTGGGTTGGCAGCATTGCTCAAGGCCGCACATCCTGAATGGAGTCCTAGTGCCATCAAATCTGCACTCATGACCACAGCCTACACTAGAGATAACACCAACTCTTCTCTTCGCGACGCCGCAGATGGCTCACTTTCCACCCCACTGGCTCACGGCGCTGGTCATGTTGATCCACACAAGGCCATGTCTCCAGGACTCGTGTATGACGCTGGTCCGAGAGACTACATTGCCTTCCTTTGCACCCTCGGTTATTCCATTGACGAGATAAAGGGCATTGTAAAACACCCTAATATCAGCTGTGCTAGGAAATTTAAGGACCCAGGGCAGCTCAACTATCCATCATTCTCAGTTCTCTTTACCAAGTCAAGAGTTGTGCGATACACCAGGGAGTTGACGAATGTTGGAAAAGCTGGCTCCACCTACGAAGTGACCATTGAAGCACCACCAACAGTGGAGGTGACTGTGAAGCCAACAAAGCTTGTTTTCAACACCACACTCTCAAAGCAGCGCTACACTGCTACATTCGTATCGAAGAGAGGCGTTAGCTCGATGGCCAAGGATGCATTTGGTTCAATTGCTTGGATAAATGCCGAACATCAAGTGAGGAGTCCGGTTGCGTTCTCATGGAACCAGCCCATAGGAGGAGGATCGGATTGATCGATGTACAATTTTATGAGCTTTTCTCCGTCAGCTCTAGAAATGGTTAAATTATGCTTTTTTGACCCAGTGAGCTGATGATCATCACTGCAGAATAAGCTGCAAACTGCTTCTGATGCTAAATTAGTGTGAGCTCTTATCAAGGGGGCTTCGAAAAATTGAATTCAAAAACAAAGCGAGAAAAGTTGAAAAAAGAAGCAACCTTGAAGTTTTCAGTAGTTGCCGTTAGATGAAAGCCTAATGTCAGTGTTATTTATAATCTACTAAGCAAACCAACTATGTTAAGCTTGTAGTTATTTCGTTGTGCCAACGCAGTATATTTCCACCCTGCAGAATTCGAAGTTCCAGGCCTAAAGGCCCAAAGGCCAAAATATGTGGGTTTTTGTTGGGCTTCCCATATGAAGTTTGCTTTAATCATTTTTGTAGTTTCCATTACCGTGGATCATAATCTTTCTTTTTCAAAATAGAAAAACAAGAAAAAATCAAATTGAGGTTTACAGATTAGTTACTGTTACCTACATAGACATTCTGCAATGAAGGGAACAAAAAACAAGAAACTTGTACCGATTACACGAATATTAGGAGAAAATGATTGAAGAATTGATTTAGGATATTTGAAGAATTACATAGATTATTTTATTCTCTTTAATTACAATTATTTGAATTAACATGCACTCCCCAATAGGGGGGGAAAAAAAGAGCTATGGACTGTGGTCAACTCGGATCAGAATGTACCCAAAAAATTAAGTTGGATTCCTTAAAAAATATATTCATAAATTGCTAGTAACATATATTGCAGCAGTTGGTGAAACAAGTTTTTGTACAACATGAACAAAGATTTATCTTTGGACATTTTGGAACACAAGATGTACATGAATTGCAACAACAATTCGAGCAAGATGGACATTTAGGTGTACTGCAGCAACTTGAGCTGCATGATGGCATTCTACAGCAGCACTGGCATTCACCGCATGAACAACTCCGGCAATCCGGTTTTGTACAACTGATGCATGAGCACGATATACATTCACATGGATTGCAGGTACAACAGCGTGGCGTCCGAAGTTTGGGAATGCAGCAACAGCCGTCACAGCAAGTTGATGAAAAGCCTAAACATGATGATCCACTGCAAAAACAGAGAGAGAGATACCTTAGGGACATTGTACCAAAACTCAACTTCTTTGAACATGAAGATATCCACCCTTAGCTGATCAGTCAGACATTCAAATATTGTCGACTTTGATTTATGCAAAATGCTAACAATAAGATGCATTTGACAACTTGATGAGCAAACCAAATATTGGACATACCAGAGCCATCTCCAGAGCCAGCAAGATTTACGGACTCTCTTTGTACTGCCACAGAAAAATTAAGACGTAAGATTATATATATACTCGATATCAGTGGAAACAGATTGTTGAAAGCTGTATTACGTTGGTGTGAGAGGATCCGAATTCGCTGTTACAAACTCTGTGACCCTGTAAATCATCGATTGATTAGAGAATGCACACAAACAATTCTTTATGGTGACCAGTTACATGTAAGGTTGATCAACGCTCAATGTTTATGTGAAAATTGATGGGGAAAATGACAGAAAACAAACTTACTCTCTACAGGATTTCGAAGCAGGTTGAAGACCTGAAACAAATTTGAGCTCATCCTGCAGTCAATTTTGTAGTACATTAGTTGGAGTGAATAATAAATGACTGTCAGAAGCAAGAAGTTAGAAGTGTGCTACCTTTGCAAAGTTGAGTACAGAACAGTGATAACAAAAATAGATAGCCATATTAAATTGTTAAATTCGCACAGAAATACAATAAAACTCCAAGGGCTGCCGGGGACAGCATCTTGCACTAATGCAATTTGTCCACCTTGTAAATGTAAAAGATAAATATTGGAATTGAAGCATCATGCATAAGATTGCTTAATCTGAAAATCTAAGATTAAATTCACTAGCTTGGGAAATTTACTATCTGCTTTTCAGGGAATAACCATGAAACATAATGTCCCATTTTTTGTGTCACAGTTGACAGGGGTAGGAGAAACATCGCAGACAGTTCCATGTCCAATTTAAGAAGTAAAAAGGAAATCAAATGCTAAACGTAGACTGAAGATATTCCACCACTACTAAACGAAGGAAAATCAAATGCTAAATGACAAAATCCACAATTGGAAGACTATTCACTTTTGATCCATGTTAATACCATAACTAGGTGGAGCTCTTCACTTGTCATTCATCTTCACTGTTATTTAGGCCTAGTTGTCAGAGCTGGAGCCGCAGTAGCTTAAAATCCAATTTCTCATCATGGCTCCACTTTCGTTAAGAAGCATTATTTTGGCCTAAACCAACAGTAACTCAGTTTATCGAGTTCTACACGGATATCAAGCTTTGGTTTTTCTTAACAGCTTAGGATTAAGGAGTCATGAATTTTCTGGTGAAAATTAATAGCATGCAACCGAATGAACAAACAAACAGAAGAACCAAATCAGAAAGTATCAATGAGATGTAAAGCAAGAAATGCAATTCAATAACAGGGAAACCTTGCAAAAATCATTGTTGTATCAAGATACTTATGATTAACAGCAAAGATCACTACTTTCCATTCACAAATGAGTGGTCCTACTGAATTCCATATTAGCTAAAGCAAACACAGGACTTAATGTTGTCCAATTTAGAACACATGGTCCTGTTACTTGCTATAGAAATGAATATGAGCCACACTGCCCAATAGCGTTCAAGTAGAAACTAATAACTCTAAACAAGAAGCTTCGGGGCTTCCACTATTAAATAAAGAAACCAGGCTTCCAACCAAAATAAAACAAACAGGATGAAGTTAAGAACTTTGCTCAAAATTTACGTTCTAAATAATTTATCTCGTCCAAATGAATCAGCAAAAAGCAGAACAGGTTAAATTCTGCAGGGAAAAAAAAGGCCCAATAAACAATAGACAAAAAGTCAATCATAACAAAGATCAAACAGTAAGCAGGCATTATGTAAAAATGACTAAAAAGTATAAGCGACCGCTCAATAGTGGCATAAAAAATCCAAGAAAAAACACAGTTAACCATTGAAGAATGAAGGCGACGCAGGAAAACCCATGTACAAACTCACCTCAAGAAAGCCAATTTCTCTCTCCAGCATCTGAACTTTAGCCAACTCTCGCCGCTTGCCGTATAAATCTGGATACTCAGGTGGTGACTTAGGCCTCGGTGGTGGAAGTGAAGGAACTTTAGCAGCCGTGCCACCAACACTGCCGGCCATTTCTCCGGCAAAAACACAATGACCCAATATACTATTTCAGGAAGAGAGAAAAAACAGAACAAGCCCACATCTGCATTCACCCTCTCCTTCACATCTCAGAAGAATAATGGTATAATGTAGTAATAGGAATGGAATTAAAAAGGGTGGGGGGTGAAAGACAAAGATAGTAAAACGAAGTAGTACAAGGTAACGGTTAGCAAATGTAAATACCCAAAAACAAAGAGCTCAAATCCCCATGGAGACGACAAGCACCAGTGGTAATAGTAAAAGTAGTAGTAGGCAGGGCAGGCACAGCAGTAGTACTAAAATTGCAGGAAAGCAGTCAGTGCAAAGAAAAGAAAGGATGGGATGGAAGCAAATGAGGTTAGGTATGGGGAAAATGAAGCAAAAGATTGATTACTGGAATAGGAACAGGACCATAGTACCTCACCAAAGGAAGGAAAGAAAATAATTTGAGTGCCTGCATGGAAGGCTGAAACTGGAAGGGGACTGAAATCTGATTGAATAAAAATGGTGGGATAATTAACATTTTACAAGGGTCCAGAGACCAGAGAGACTAGACCCCAGAGAGCCCAGAACCCAAAAAGCTCTGTCACATAACAACAATGACAGCACTCACAGCTCCTCAGCAGCTTCTGAAGCTGTGACAGAACTATTAGTACAACTACTATTTCTCACACAACTTCCCAAATTATCACACCACTTTCTCTAATTACTACTACTAATAGTAGTGTAGTATTAATTGGTTGGTGTTAAATTAGAGTGCCCATTTCACAGTTGAGCATTATTGATTTCTCTAACCCCACAAAACAAAAATGTCCAAATTTTATCACAAGAATTGAAAAGGGTTGTTGTGCTGCCTTCAGAATTAAATCATCACCTGTTATCTTGAGGTTTATCTTATAAGTTGACTAAAAAAACCCCACAAATAGGTGGAAAGTGATTATTAAAATGTTGTTGGAATGGGGAGGCAGGGACACAGACACACAGAAGAGGAATGGCAATGGGAGATTGTGGCGGTGGGCGGGTGGGTTTATACTTATTGAAGAAGGTGAGCAGCTAGATAGGCAGGCATTATAGGCAACTAGTACCATATACTATATGTAGCTAGAGAGAGTGTACTTAGTTAAGAGCGTGGAATCAAATTAAGGTAAGGTTGTTGTCGTTGAGACGTTAAAGTAAGAGCTCTGTCTCTTTTCGCCAGTGTGTGACTGTGTTTTTTTTAGTCTCGATCGATGATAGTGTGTTGCTTTTGGCAAAGAGCATCATCATAAGTATCGATTTTTATTATGTAACGCTTTCTTTTGTAGTACTAAACAAGCATCATATATATCGCTTTTTTCTGTTGTATCCAGAAAAACAGTTGTTCACGATCCTCTAATTGAAAAAGAAAAACGGATCTGTTTGAAAAAAATCGTGATTTAAATTATGCAAAGAAGCAATGTTTTTTATTTGGTATTGGATTTTATGGGATAATTTTGCATAGAAATATGCATGAGAGAAAGAGAGTGAATGCTGGAGGAGGAGATTGATGAAGGATGGATGATGAGTTGGAAACTGAGAAAAATGGGAAGAGGGGAGCGAAAAACTCAACGGCCGTACCTCAGAATAGCACGTGATTGCAGTGTATAATTTTGCAGTTTTTGTAGGAAAATCAAAAAAATATTAAACGAAAATGTACTACTAAAACCCCACCATTTATTTATTTCTTACCATCATCAACTAGCGGATTTGAGATTTTGGGGGCCATTTTGACTGTTGGATGTGTTATCATTAATTGTTGTTTTTCTTCTCCGGTAAGTAATTTGCAAACAACTCCTGCCGAAATCATTAATTTGTGAAACGACTTTTGAGATATGATTCATACAACTCTATAATTTTTTAGGTGTTTATCGCGATCAATCATTATCTTTCTGACGATTATGCCAAAATTAAATAACCTTTAAAGATTGTACCATCTTGTGATTATATGTACAGTAAATAAGATTTGATAAAAAAAATTGATTATTTGAGTGACGATTAATTCTACTCTCTATGTTCCAAAAAAATAGTTCAAATTGAGTTTTGATATTCGTACAAATTTTAAAACAAATTTCAAAATTCAACGTAGACTAATGTTTTTTCTGGGACAAATAGAGTGATAAATTAGGAAATGCACTAATGTAGCGAGTAATTATTGATCTTTGAGGGAAAATTTTCAAAGTTAGTAAAAATTGGGGGACCTAGTTTGCATTTGACTTTGTTGCAGCAGTTCATTGGACAAATTTTCAAATAATGCTGTCATAAGGTACATAAAAGAAAGAAATGTTCCCTTTCTTTTTTTCTCCATTTATTTAAATATTGTTTGTTTGAATTAGGAAACTGGAAACCTAATAGATTAATACACTACAGTCATAGTTCTTTTAGTACTTCGATATGAACATTACCGGTAACTTACTGTCTACTAGTAGTATTTAGAGAGTCAATGCTACCTAATTTTCAGTTTTTGAGCAATGCAACAATTAGCATCTTCGATGTTGATACCAAAGAACAAAGACTATTGAACATTAAATTGTATATCTCCATTTTCATACATGTCAGCTTCGTGTAGCATTTCTAAATTCATCCATGTTTGAGTTCTTGTAGATTAAGATTATCATTTTAGTAAAAATGTTGAAATGCCCCCTATAATTGTATGGCGCAATTATTAGAGTTATACACTAAAAGTCACTAAATTAACAATTTACAAATTAGTATCTTCAAGTAATTATTCTCCTATCCTAATTTGAGACGATACAAAAAGTAAATAAAAAGATAAAATATTAAGATAATAATGTTTCAGAAAAATCAAATATGATAATTTCCCTAATGAAAAGAATAATGATAATTACTATAATTATTTAGTAAATTTTGAGCTGTTAATGGTTGTTTTTTCAATCCTTGAAGAAGGTTTGAACTGTATATGAGTTTTAGTATTGATGAGAGTTTAAATACGTACTTAATTCGGATTGTAAAAGTTATAGAAAAATACTTAACGTAGTAAAAAAAAAGTTTCATTCACTAATTATTTTAAATTAGTAATTTATTAATTTATCAATTATTTAACGATTATCTGAAGTAATCAATTTTAGTGATACCAACTGGTCAATATTAATTTACAAACGTTCTAATATACTCCTTCATGTCCTCAATATAATACATTTTGATTTGTTCTATATTTCACTTAGTACATATTTTTAATTGACAAAAAAACCTAAACATCTATTTTCACATTCATTATACTATCTCAATTGTTATGAAATATTTCTAAGATTTTTTGTCAAATAAAAATGTGGATTAGGTGATATTTAGAATAAATTAAAATACCTTATATTAAGGATTGAGAAGTAAATATGAATGATAAAAACAGGTGTTTGAAATTATAATGTGCGTGGATCGAGTGTAACAAAAGATATGGAAGCGACTTATCCCGGATCTGTTGGAGAATTAATTCGTGGTGGTGGTAAAAAAAAAAAAAAATCTAGAGATGGACAAAGAGTGTTACCAGATTGACTTTTCACTGCCAAGAACACAACTTGTGACATGGGAAAGAAAGTTTAGAACAAGCATTCCCAAATTCACCTGAGCACGTCATTCATTCATTGAGGGTAAGACTTTTTTAACACACAATGATCACACAGTGGAACCTCATATTATTACAGTGACGGTGAAATGATAACCTGATGAGACCATTTTGCACAGAATTTCATGTCTGAAAAAAACACAAAGAGGAAAAGAAAAGAAAGCCAGGTCAGAATTTTAACAGTGCCAGCCACTATGTTGGGTTTTTCCTGTTTTCCCACCAACTAAAATGAAAACTCACAACTTAGTGGAACATTGTTGAATGGAAGGAATTTACACATTTCCAATTAGAAAGTTTATCTTAAAATGAAACAATTATACTCCCTCCGTCCTAAAATTATTGTCCGGTTTGAAATTTCATAAAATGAACTTAAAAATGAAAATACAAACTGAACAATAATTTGAGAAGGAGGGAATAGTTTTTTTTGAGGCTAATTATTGATTTATTGAGATATTTACAATTGAAGGAATCTATCGCGGCTGGTGATGGCATTCTACATATGTAAATTGATAAAATGTTTGTTTCGTTTTTTTAGTGTGTGTTTTTAGTTTTTTTTGTATTGAAAATGTAAAAACGTGTATTGAAAATGTAAAAAAATATGTTGTGATGGGACAATTATTATTTAAATATTTTGAAAATATCATTAAAAAAACCTAACAAATAAATTTATTTCCAAATTAAAAAAGGCTCGGAATAACTTCTGACTAGTAGTTATTTATTTATTTTTTTCCCCAAATTAGACTGCTCCAACTAGGGGGACTTATAGTTTTCTGCTTTTGTTTTTTTGGGTAAAAAAATCGGGAGAACAGAGACAGTCTGCAAGTTATGGAGATGAATGGCAGTAAAATCATAAATTTTGTGTGTGTGTTTTTTTTCCGCTTAGGTACTTTCAAAAAAGTTATAAAAAAAAAGAAGAAGAAGGGTACAGCTTACACTACAGAACCCAAATTGAGAAAAACAAGTGACTCTACTCCCACTTATTGTCTTTCTTGTTTGTCCAAAAATCACAAAGTGCATTCACTCAATAAAATTACATTTCGGGAAGACACCAAAAGGCGACATTAAAAGTCAATCCCAATTTATCTTCATTTAGCCATTTGCTTTTTTTGTACGAAAGGGACTCATCGTATATACTACTAACTCGGTTTTAAAAAAAATAGTCCACGTTGAGTTTTCAAATTTATACTAAAAACAGTACAAAATTCAAAATTCAATGTGATCTATTTTTTTTTTTTGGACGGAGGGAGTATTATGCAATAATTGTGAGCTTCGATCATATTATTATGACATGTTTAAATCAGTCATCAGATATTGAAATTTCAAAAACTCAAAGTTAATAATGTTTCATTTAACAAAGCAATTTGTTTACTATTTACTGTGTTTTTACTCCTTCGTTTCGTCGTATGAAACTGTGTTTTGCGTAAAACAAAACACGAATAAATGATCAAAAGAGGGGTGGGAATAAAAGATTCATCAAAGAAGAATAATGGAAAGAGGAGTATATGAGTACAAGAGGTGCATTAATGGGATGGATTGTACGTTGAGGATTTGATGAGTGTCACGTGAAGAAGCAGAACTCTTGTCATTCAGTACTTACGTATTTAATTTCCAAGATCTTCCATGTATATCATCTTCTCATCTTCTTCCTTGCCCACCACCATCATTTTCATCATCTACTATTTTGCTGAACATTTATTGGGCCCGTCTTCAAGATTTTGTTCAAATGAGCTCGTCCTTCTGGTCATTCCTTTTACGATTGGTTTGGGCTTGTGATCCTCTGACTCTTTCATGTTCATATATATATTTCCATTCCAAAAAGGAATCATGCTTGTGGTAATATTATATAATTCAACAAATACGACTTTTTTTTAGATGGTGAGAGTAAGAAAGATATAATTATCACCATATCCCAAAAAAGTAATCATTGGTACAAGGAAAAAATGACAAGAAAAAATTACTAGGAAATGACCTCACCCATCCATTGTTAAAACTTTTCAAACAGAGTTTATGCATTTAAAGTTATGACATAGTTAAGATCTTGACACATCATTCCTTCTTGTTATTTTTTCCTTGTACCTATCACTACTCATCCCAAAATCATCAACATGAAATGCTAGTAGTAACTTACTTGTTTTTTGGTATTAAGAAACAAAAATTAAATAATTAAAGGAGACAACCAAACCAGTTTGAAGAAATTCAATCTAAAATTGAAATAAAAATGGAAATATCAATTATACAAGAGAGAAGCAAGTTTGCTGTGAAAAAGAAAGTTACGTAGGGTTGGCCGAATTTGGTCTGATGGGCCATGAAATCTGGGCCTAACTTTGGTCCAAACTGAAACGGAGACCTGGAAGTCCAAGATTCACATTCGATTCTAAAATCATTTGACCGGAACGGTGCCTTCAAATATTTCACTTGCTTAATGGTTAAGCCAAAATTTTCAGCATACATTATTTGGCAAAGGCTTTATTAACATTGATAGTAAGGTTGATTAGTGAGATTGATAATGCTGGAATAGTATAATCAAATTTAGTAATCCATTTTGTTGAACTACTTTAATCGTGAACGATTAATAGACGACCAAAAAGAGTATAGGTTTTAGTTTAAATAACAACATAAACTATTACTAATGTATTTGAATAGGTACGAAGTTTTCAATATTCCTTCAATGAAACTCTGAGGAGTCGAAGACCATCCCTTAAAAATTACTTGTATAGGCATCTGTTAATAATAGTGGTTCCAACATTTCAAATGGAAGAGAGCACAAATGAGATACCACATTTGATACAGAAGCATATACATTGGTCCAGCCCGCTCATAATTAAATGTCAAACAAGAATATGAATAAATTCAACCAACCAAGACTTACATGCCATAAAAAAATATTCCCAAAAAAGTTACAATTAGACAGCAAAATGATTAAAAGCAACCCAACAATTTCCAGTATAAAATATTCCCAAAAAAGTTACAATTAGACAGCAAAATGATTAAAAGCAACCCAACAATTTCCAGTATACGTACCGTGAAAAGTACTCCCTCCGTACCATAATTATTGTCCAGTTTGAGTTTTTATTTCTAGTTTAAATTATACTAAAAGTAAAATCTTAAACTGGACAATAATTTTGGGACAGAGTGAATACTTAATTAGTGTTACAACGTGGGATTACAAAGTGACGCCTTAAATTTGGTTGAGATGAATATCATTACTTTTAAGATAAATTATCCATACTTGGCTGATTGATGGAACTTCATTGCTTCAAGTATATGCTTTTAGTAGTAGTTGGCCAATAAAAGCGGATAAAAGATTATATATACTCATTCCCCAAATGTGAACAACACTCTAATGGCTCAAACAAGATTCTCGAGTTCTCCCACTATGTGCATTTATAAATAGTCAAATGAATAATTGCCAAACCCTTTGCCTTGGCCACAAGTATATATAAAAGGTTAAAATTGTTGATCTATGTCTTCATTATAGAAGGATCAATTAATTGTTTAATCGATGGCTGCAAAACAAAACAGCATGATACCTATAGTTAGCAAAAATTTTTGCTCAGCTTCTGAAGTTGTTCTCGGGGTTCGAATGAGGCCTAACGTGGTGAATGGAGGAGGCTTTGTGGTGATAGATGTTACCCAGAAAGTTGTTTTCCGGGTCGATGGTTGTGGGGTTATTGGTAAAAAAGAACAGCTGCTTTTAAGGGATGGTGATGGAAATGAACTGCTATTAATCAGACGAAAGGTAAATCTCCAGCTTTTAAGGTTTCTTGCTTGATCTTGTATCATCTGTTTTGTTTCATTTTCTCTGCACAATGAAGGTAGTGTTTTTTTTTTTTTTTGAAAAGATGAAGTAAGTGTTCATTTGATGTAGCTAGTTTGTTGTTTCCAGGGAGGAATTGTGGAAGCACTAAGTTTACATAAGCGATGGAAAGGGTATTCTCATGATCTTGAAGGATCTGAAAAGCTGGTGTTTAGCCTGAAAGAACCCAAGAATTCATACTCCTGCATGGGGAAGAACAACCGGATTACTGTATCCGTTGCTTCAGAGTACAGCGCTTACGGGGAGTTTGCGATCACAGGGGAGTTTGCTGCCAGAGATTGTTATATTGTCAACTCCAATGGCAGTGTTATAGCTCAGGTAAGTATATATGATTCATTTTGAGATTAACGATTTCAGTTTTCTGAGAACAATCTATAAACCCGATCGCGATATCATTGGAAGTAAACTATTTCAGGTGGGAGTCTGGGAGGAGGTGGAGAAGATGATGGCTTGCCGGGATCTATACCATGTGGCGGTGAAACCCGGAATCGATCAGGCGTTTGTATTTGGAGTCATTGCTGTTCTAGACTACATTTATGATGGTTCCACCAGGTGCTGAAGTAACATCGGTGTTGCAAATATTTCAGTTTCAGACACCAAAACTTATACTAGCATTTTGTTTCAATCACCAAGTTCAATTGCAATTGAACCCCCCCAAAATTAACTAACTCAGATTCAGATTCTGCTTCATTTCTCAATCCTGGCTGAGTTCAGTTACCGTACTGCAATTCGATTAGTAATCCTTCAAGTGTACGTTTGTGTTGTTTTACGCTTTTGCAAATTTCCAGATTCTCAATGAATTCCAAGTTCTAACTTCATACATTTCCCTGTCTCAAAAGTGAAAAACAAGATAAACCCATTGTAGAAAATGGTTCCGTGAAGGTGGAGGGAAAGCTGTCAATTCCGTCGTTCTTCATCCAATAACCACCACAACGTCGGATAGAATTGCATATTCAACAAGCATTTTAATTCGTGCAAGAAAGTATTACCATATCCAGAAAGTAATCATTATCCCCCTGGAACACTCTGCATTATGTCACATTAAACGCTGATTTGTCTGTCCATCAAGCAATCTTAAGCATCCAATTTTGGGATGAACAGAAATTTCAATAAGAGATAAAAAATTAAGAAATTATTAATTAGTTCACCAACAAAGTGAAATGATCAACAACATTTCAGCAACTGAGAAAGAATGAAGAACTAACAAAAGCTAAGAACAACCACAAGCATTATTATTACTCTCCACCGCCACGATAGCGTCTTCCCCATCCCCAAAATCACCGCTTCGGAAGAGGAAATACCCAACGCTCAAACCCAAAATCACGGCCACAAAAACGCCGCCGTTATAGGTCATGATGGTCAGCATAATGAAGTACCCAATTGCCGAATTGACCCCAAACAGCAGGGAAGACGCGACCCGAACCCACAACTTTTTAGGGCCCGATTTGGGCGGCGAAGAAATTATGGGTATACTGACTGAATTACGAATCCCATCGGAAGAAGACGACGACGACGAAGACGGAGGCCGGAGAGTGGATCTGAGCTTGAAATTGAGGCGGCGAGCTTCGAGGTGTTGGTAGAAGAAGGATAAGAAGAAGCAGAAGAGTAGGGTGAGTGAGTAAGTGAGCCAGGAATCGGTCTTCCACGAATCGAATAAGAGGGTCACCTCTTTACCCCAGTACAGTGTCATGTGCATCATCTTTGTTGTTGTTGTTCTTCTTCTTCTTCTTCAATGGCAGAAATGGGGAAAATTTATTTCAGTCGGTAGTTGTGAACGTTTTCTTGGATTAGCGTGAAGACAAAGCCAAGAAGGAAGGCGTTGGATAAAGGAAAGAGATGAAAAGAGGAATGGGAATAACGAATTAAAAAAAACTGTTTGAACAATTTACAGAATTTCCCCCTCAACTATTTTGTTACTCGTAAATGCCCCCCAATAAACCACTATCAGGTTTCGCATTTACTTGCATATGCTTGAATTTCAAATTTTACTTAAGAAATTGATTCCCGGGGAGTATTTTATTAAAAATATTAGGACATATAGGGTTTCTCGTTTCTAATTTTTCAGATTTTCCGAGATCCTAACTTTACTCGTACCAAAATTGTCAAGACTATTATAGTGATGGATGAATAAGTTACCTCGAGTTAATTTATCTCATTTTGCACTTGGAATTATGGGGGGATAATTACTATTTCAAGTTTCAATTATTAGTTTAATAATCAAAGTTTTGCTATTGACAACTAGTGTAGGGAATATTTTGTAAGTTACTGTAAAAGTAGAGTAAAAAAAAGCTAGTAGAGTATAATTGATGACATCAATGATAAATGCCTATACAGAATCTTCAGTTACAGAATTGGCCACTGAACTCTTCAGGAATTACAGATGTTGTCATGATTTGTCAGGACTGAACTCTTGTCATGACTCATCTTCTGGACGGATTGATTGGTTGTGGAAGCCCATGTAGTTGAAAGGACTTTCAATTAAAACAATTTGGAACGATGTAAGCCCGTGTTTGGCAGGGAGACATTAGTCCAACTAAAGCTTTTAAGTGGAAATGTTCAAGAAATGGGATAAATTTGGTGTTATTCTAACCCAAAAATTATACTCTCGTTGTCCATCAAAATTATTTTTCAGTTTAAATTTTCATTTTTAATTCTATACCTTGAGATCGAAGGATGTTCATATATTTGTCTTTTATAGATGCTCATTAAACGAAATTGTTAATGATCTGATAAATATGGTGTGAGCGATCGAGCTCATTTACTCTAATCCATATAGAGATATCACAATTCACAATCACTCATGTTCGAAACCAGAATCGGAAACTTCGTGGCTTAATAATGCTAAAGTTAGTGGAGCTTCAAACTTTCAGAACAACACATTAGTACACCTCAAGACAATAAAGGACACATTCCAGTAGGATATGAGAAGATACCACCTAGTAGGTTAACAACTTGGAAGATTTCATTGAAATTGTTCATTTGGAAATTTCCCGAAAAGATTTATCATAGGTTTTTCTCTCCATCTCAACAACGGGGTAGGATCAATTATCAGACTAAGAATTAGGCCAAGGCTTTCATAAAGTTCTCGTAGAATAGAGAATGAAGTTTTCCAGGTTCCTTATTCTGTTTAGTTCATTTCCCTGTGCCAACTGAGATGTCCACAAAAGCCATTGACAACCAGGAAAACAGATGACTTATGAATATGCACTGCCCTATATAATATGAATGATTTTAGAATGAACCATGTCAGGATATAAAGTTAATGATAAATGTCATGAAGTTTCACCATTAACATGTGATTTTCTCAACATTATGATGTAACTGTATAAAAGAATGTACATTTCCAAGCAAAGAGAAGAAAATCTATACTGATACAGTTACTACTCTGCTACACTAAATTTTACTCTATATCCACTTACAAATTGAGTGATGTATCACTCAAGGCAAATGTGGCTCTGAAAGAAAGGAAGATCAAGTAGATGGTCATAAGCCCCAATCCTAACAACTTTGTCGGATGCATGTTCTTCCATGGCAATACAACTAGACACCATACAAGTCCTAAGGTGACAAAACCCAATGTCGAGTACAGGGTGGAATCTTTGGGAACAACATACGGTGCTGGTCTGCTGTTCCAAGCTCCAAGAAGCAATGAGATACCCAATCCAGCCAGAGTGTTGAACATAGGCCCCGCATAACATCCCGATATTGCTATTTGTATACCGTCTCCCCCATTCATTGCCATTGCTACATTGGACATCAAATCACCCATTGAATTACCCCATGCCAGTATGGTTAATGCAAGCAGAGATGGCTTGACTCCAAACATGATGCCAAAAGCCACGAGCAAGGCCACGAGCTCATTGGCTACAATGTAGAACCAAATGATACTCATAAAGAATCCCCCCAGAACCCAGGGTAATAAGAACCTTTGAGGTGGGTGATCTGAGCTGGTGTATACAAATGCAAGCACACCGAGGACACTGCTAACAAAAGCACCAACTAAAAGTACAATCCCCTTGGCAAGGAGGCTTATATCCTGAGTATCCCAAAGAAGCGCCAAGAGCAAAGGTGCTAAAGAAGCACTGCCCACTGCGTACCCCTTTGACCATCGCTCTTCATCAACTATAGGTATCGTTAACCTTCTTGGGAGCATCAAAGGTAATTCCAAAATCGAGCAGAACTTGGAGCAAGAAGAAGAAGACTGATCATCAAAATTCTCATCCTCATTCCAGCCCCATAAGAGCTTCGGATCATCAGTGCCACTTATCTTTACCACTTCATTTGAATAGATAGACACATTTTGAGACCACATCCAATGAGGCACCTTTTCCTGGAGATGTGGCAGGCCATTTGCTGAATCAGAATCAAGAAGTGGAGCCTGCAAAGACTCATTTTCTTCACCATTCGAAACAGGTAACTTCTTCTCCTTAACTGGCAACAGTGGGGGAACAGAATCTAACTTGAAACCCCAAGTACACTTTCTTACAATCTCATTTGCAGCAACACAAAGTGCATAAACAACATATATAGATACGAAGGCAATTGCACTAGCAACACTCACCTCACCCACCAACAAAATAACAAATAGAGCAAGCAGGGCAAAGAGAAAGAAACACACATCCCTAATAAAACATTTCTTATCAATTCTCACATTTTGCTCCGCGACAAACAACGAAACAGTTCCCACAACCACACAGACCACAAAAACAGCCCCTCCAAGCACACTATTCAACCCAACTTCACCAGAATCACGGCCTACAAAAGCAGCAATACTAGCAAACACATCCGGTGCACCATTTCCTAATGGAAGCAGAGTCACCCCTGCAACGGTAGGCGGGAAATTCAACAAATTCGACAGCTTTTCAAGAGAAGAGCAGAAATAATCCGCAGCGGTATTCCCCAATAGATAGAACAAAGTCACCAACCAAATTGCTAAGACAATATACCCAAGAGCAGCAAAACTTTGACAGTCACAGTAAAAAAACTTGATATAATTGAAAAATCCTCCCGAATTGCACTGAGGATTGGCTCTCAAATAATCACACTTAGTCGCATAGCCAGTGTGATTATACAACCCCGAGCATATCACGGCTTTCCTGTTCGTATCCCAATGATTCTCCAGAGACCCTTTGTCAACTAGGCTGTGATTTGACGAAATAGTGACATCCTCTTGAATTTTCCTCCGATTCACTTCAACCTCAACCCCGAAATGACTTACTAATCCACGATCATGACTTCCTCCTAATAGCCCTTCATAAGGAAGCTTAAGACGGGACAGCTCATACAGAGGACTTTGAATATTATCTCCATTGTAGGACAATAAAACCAGAAAGACTACAGCACATACTCCATTGAAAATACCACGAAACTTCTTGGGTTTAAGACGATTTAAAAACGTCATAATCTTCATATAATTTTTTCAACCCCTTAATTCCAAATGATCACATAAAGTCAAACCAACTGCGGCTAAAAACCGAATCTTTAAAAAAAATTAAAAACCCAGGTTCTATCTCAAGTCATAAGTTTAGAATTGACAGAAAACAACAACAACAACAACCAGAGCTAGCTAACAATGATCAAAAGTATTAACAGGGGAGGAAGGAAATCAAATTACCTGAAGAAGATGAAGGTTTTGGTGGGTTCTTTGAATGAATGTGAAAGGGAAAAAGAACCAAAAGAACTATAAGAAAAAGGATTAAGTTGGGTTGTCTTCACATCCAGAAATTCTCATTGATTATGCATGGTGGGGAGTTTAGGATATAGATTTCAGGAATCTGGGAAATGGAAAAGATCAAGCGCGTGGGGACGCACACGCGCTAGGATCGGAGTTGCCCCATATTCATAGCGTTGCCGACGCGTAGCCCAAAAGGAGCGGAGATTGGAGAAGACTTTCTTAGCCATGTTTATTTCATTCCAATTTTTTTTTTTTTGTTGACTCGTCTTCTTCCCGGATTTGATGTTTGATGAAAATGATGATGACGAGACGTCATACGTTGTCGTTTTTGGGTTTGATTGCATGCACGAATTGCTAACTTCGGTTCACGTTGTCTTGGAGACCTGGCCCCCCAATCCCATTATTCCAAATTTTTGATTGTGAAATTCTCCTAATTTTATTTTATTATTATTTTTTTTAATTTCCCCCCAAAATTTATTTGTTTTCTTTTGGTCCATCTTCACCAATTATTTATTTCCTTTTTGTCTATTTGTTTCCCTACTTGTCATCATTTTTAGTTTAAAATTTCTGTTCCGCCTCAAAATAAGAATACTATTTTTTGATTAATAAATATATTTTTTTGGATGAAAAGAGTATTGTAATACTCTATCTGTTCTAAAATTATTGTCTAATTTTAATTTCACGTTTAGTACAATTTGAACTAGAAATGAAAACTCAAACTGGACAATAATTATGGGACAGAGAGAGTAGTATTTTTCGTTTTGGCTTCATTATGGGGTGGACCGGTTTGATTTTGCTTTGGCTTCTAATATTTATCAATTGAACAATTTGTATTTTTTGATAACAAAAAAATTGATGAGCCACTCAAAAGTGTGATTGGCATTTATTACAAAGAATATTGATTATATAAAATCTATTCCTCGTCAAAAGTTTCTTTTCTGTATAAGAAAATCTATTTCCCGCGCATGATGTCGTGGGTTGTATAGTTAATGCCTTAAATGATTAAACCGGATTTTGAAATTTATGTTGAGAACAATAAGCATATAGTAAAATAATCCCATCCAAGAAATATTAGCATGACAGTATTCGAACCATGAATATATGAAAACTTCTTTTGTCCCAAAAAAGAAAAAGAAAAAAATCTCATTTATTGTATTGGTTTCATTCAATAAATAAGAATAATTATTCCTTTAGTAGAGAAATAGTAGTAGTGTTTATTAGAAACGAGACATAAAATAAATATACTGTTTAGAACTATATAAATAAAAATTGTGCCCACGATTTCATGAAAAATATATCTCCCCCCATCACAACACTAGTTGATACAGTACGTACAAAATACAAATGGGAGGAGTTCTCCAAGAGTGACCTACAAAGATGGGAGATAACATATCTAATCCACTTTGACGTAAAATAGATTACTTTTATTTATTTATTTATTTATTTTTTTACAAATGAAAGAGGCCAAAGTCTATAAAGAACTAGAATACTAAACTATCATATTTCATGGATGGAATAAGTTATAATCCAACCCAATTTGTAGACATAAACTATTCAATAACTTGAAAAAAAATCTCACTATGAACTCTTAACTTTTAATTATTACTTCCACCGTTTTAGAATGACAATTTAATTTACAATTTGTGAATTGTACTGGTTTAATATAATTAACAAATTGCAATGCAAATAATTTTTTTTAGACCGAGGATACACGTGCCTTAGAAGACTCTAACAAATAATATTGGTAGACGACTTTAAAAGGGGACTGTTTTTATTATTAGCATATTCTCCAGATTCATTCTTGAAGAAGTGTATATTACTTTTAAGAAAATGACAGAGCAAGTAAAATAGAAAAATGACATGACTGCAAAGAAAATATATAATTTTAGTGTATTTTCCTCTTAAAGCTAAATGTTGTTTTGTATTTTATAGTTTTGTAATATTCTTCAAGTATTTCACTAAATATAAACTGCGTGTAACTATCTTATATTTTACATTACTTTTCTTTTTAATTTTGTACTTCCTCCGTCCCATAATTAGTGTCCAGTTTGAATTTTCATTTAGAGTTTAAATTATACTAAAAGTAAAATCTCAAACTGGACAATAATTTTGGGACAGAGGGAGTAACATTCTACAAGTATTTCACTAGATATTTTGGGATATCCAGAAAAGAAGACAAGTTCAAAAACTTTAAACTAACATTATATGAGTGAGACACGGTTTAAGTTCTACTAGTAGAGTCACTGAAAACATTATTCTCCCACCATTTGATGATAATTGGATTTGCGTGTTCGATTGTATTTCTTTTAGTTGGCCAAGTGGAAGAGGCTGAGTTGATATTCACCCTAAAACCATTGATATTAAATTGGCGAGTAGTATGACTTAATTAATAGTTACTCTTTCTGTTCTAAAAAAAATAGTCTACATTGAATTTTGAGACCGAAGTAGTAATACCTAAACATGGAAAAAGAAAGAAGAAGCTCTATTATTTCGCGGTGTAGTGTCACCGACATAAACGTATTCTACTTGTAGAAAATGTATGAAATCATTTCATACTTAAGTAGGAAGATATTCTAATTATTTCCTTTGTTTAAAAAAAAAAAAAACTTCAACAGAAAATATCTTTATTTTGAAACGAAAAACCATATATTCTTGAGATTTCATTAAGGCGAATTCGGAAGCAAAATGAGAAATTTTCAATCTCGAAGAGTATGAATAAAATGTTGCAATCAAAGAAATGTAACGTGAATGTGCTGCCATCTAGCCACACATCAAGGAGATGGCGGGGCAACTTGATATTGTCAATGTGCAAAGGGTTTAGACAAGACAAATGCTTTTTTTTTTCTCTCTTCTTCAGAAACAGGACAAATGGTTGATGTTAAATATGCGTCCTAAGCCTATGGTTGTGGTGGTGGTGGTGGTTTAGTTGTGTGATGGTGGACATTCCAATAATTTGGCTATACTGACCGTCGACGTTGATGTTGTTCGTCTCCATCTTTTGATTTCTACAGTTCTACTGTTACCAAAATGGGTTGTATATATCAGGAACTGAATCAAAACAAACAATCAACCGTCAGAAATTGGCCTTTTTTTTAATCCAAATATATTTCATTGATCGATAAAGTTATAGAATACGATGAATACTTTTGATTCATCTGCTATATTCAAAACCAATGAAACGCTCAAGTGGCAGCGGAGAGGTCCCAATTAAGTTCAAACTACGTGATCGAAAAAAATACATTGTACGTGAAGATATTCTTGATTATCAAAATGGTTGTGGTAGAGTGGAAGGGACTGTTCCATCCTTAACCATACTTTCAGGGTTCGAACCTTGTCATGAGCATGGAACAACCTTAACTAACTGTCCCATCCATCAAAGTACCTACAATTTAGCGAGAGGGATTAGTCACTATTGTCGATGATGGACACCAAGAAAAAAAAAAAAAAAAAACTAATTTGTGAATACTTTCATTAAATGGTAAAACTGCAAAGTGTCAAAAAAATATTTGTTTCAACAAATGAATCAAAGACTTTGATCAACAAGAAAAGCAGCAATCTTCTTATACAAAAAGAAATGAAAAATTGCGATTAAGCGATAAAATACTCCCTTTGATCTTTATTATAAGCCATACTGATTTGTCATAAGTTTTACCTAGTATATATTTTCGATTTAAAAAAAAAATCTCTTAAAATATATTTTTACATTAATTATATTCTCCTACATAAAAAATATTTTTAATTTTTTTTAATTATAAAAACATACTAGATAAAATTTAATACAAATCAAAATCTGTTATAGTAAGGATCGGGGGAGTATATCTAAACCAATGTAATGGTTTCATATAGGGAACACTATTATTAGTGTGTCCATCCTCCATAATCATCAAATAGAACTAATGTAACCCCCTTGTTTACTTGACCAGTTTGGTTGCATCAATTATACATTTCGTTCTTCAGTTATCTGCTCAATCGTAAATATCTAGATATCCTCCTATGTTGGGCTAAGTTTTATCACGTCTACAAACTCTCTCTTCTTTTTTTTTTCTTGTCCATACATAATTTCCCTCCTTTCTGACTTTATTTTTATATTCCCTTTAAAAATAGGCTATTTATCCATAGACCGACATCGGATCTAAATTCACACGAAGTTTCCTCAAATTAACTGCTGTAGTTTATCTATTTGTCTAACCATTTATTACGTACACATTGTATTACATTATACATTATCTATTTTTTTTTCATATTATCTATTCCCACCACCCCCACCCAAACACCGACCAAACCCAAAACAATTTTTTCCAAACAAATAAAAAATTTATAAAAAAACCACGCACACAGATACAGGTGGGATTTTGTTTATGGAGGCAAGCAAAAGGCCTAATTCAGATCCTTCCTCTTTCAGTGTGAAACAGAGAAAGAGTTCTTAACAAACTTAATCACAAAGTAATAACACAGTTTTTATCACCTTACTTGAGAGTTCTTAAGATAATGTTTTAAAACACATTTTTCTTGTAAGATGTAACATAAATCAGATAGCGAAATTTCAGACTTTATTAGTTTATTAGGACAAGTGTACGAATCATCTTATTCCCACACAAAAAATAATGTAGGAAAATGACATTTAGGCTCCTTGAATGAATCCATTGCCCACATTTGTTTCCTTCTATTCTTACCCACTCCATGGTCCAAAACCTATACACTAAAGTGTTACTGTACAAATTGTCCGATACCGGAAGCAATCTATGGTGCACAAACAAGAAAAAAGCATCACAATACAAAGGAATTGTAATCACGAGATCGAGATGTAAACAATAAATTTAAGCACATGATTAATTCGAATTCGATTCGAGTCGTTTATAGTCTCGAATAGATATATATCTACAAAAACATCATATATAGTTGCACTTGTGCAGTTTTATGTGGTTAGACAAAAAGGTGTATAATAATGTAGATGAACACTTGGAAACTTAACTAGTAGTCTAATAAAAAAGAACTAACAACAATGTCAAAAAGTACTATTTGAATAGCAACTCCCGGAAGAGCGGATCATGGCCGGAGGTGATTGATTCAGCTCGCGAAGCGGGCTGCTGTTTGGCGACGATCTGCCACTTCTCGGTGAATCCAAGCTTTTCCTGATGATCTTTCCCATAGCCAAAATGGGGTGATTAGAAGAAGTCGAAGGCGGCGGACTAGTAGAAGACTGAAAGTTTTTGCACACACTGATGTGCCTGTTCAAAGCTTCTTTGGTACTAATACGCCTTTCTGATCTCAAGGCTTCATCTTTCACGGCTTCAATGCACAATCCGCACAGCCACATTCCACAATACCTTTCGCGAATTCGCGATATGTAAGCCGACGTGCATTCCTCCGTGAATCCACACGACTCGCATTTGATGAACTCCACTTCTCCTTGATCAAGAAATGATGATGAATCTTCCATAGTTGTTATAACTCTATTTCTCAGATGATACAAAAAAAAAGGGGGAGAATATACTTTTGTTATAGATAGTGAATGAACAAAACTCTAGTGAAGTGGGTACTTATTTATATATAAGGTGAAGGCATGGGCTTAACCGCGTGTGTGGATTTGATTGTGAAAGATTAATAAAAAAAAAACGAAAAAAGAAATCTGTTGTGATGCTTTCTATGTGTTGAAATAATTAAACTAGTAGTATTAAAACTAAGACAACTAGACACGTTCTCAACAAGTAATTAGTTCATGTGATTAACATGATGTTTGGTTTTCCCGTAGTCTATATCTCTAGACGGTTAAGTTACCTACTTACTTACCTAAGTAGCAGTGTTAATACTTATCATTATCTTAGTCTCTGTCAGAAAAAATTACCCTGATTTTTTTGTCTTCAGTTTTATCAACAATTCTTATCCATTTCCTAGGCTCTCTGTTTACCAGCATTCAATGTTCATTAAAGTGGGTGAAGTGAATTAAATTCCTATACGATGCAGCTCAGAATGCACATTTTTCTTTTTGGATTTTTGACCAAGTAAACTTGGCAATTAGTTTTATGGCACCCTGTTTTTTATTGTTCTTAATTTCCCTCTTGACTTCACAATTTCTATGGTCTCCGTGGGTGATCACAAATTCACAATGCTGAAGATGTTGGATGGTGAAATAATTGACGAGAAACACGATTTAGAGAAGCAACCCGATTGAATTGACACGTTAGACTTCAATATCAGTCTGTTACATTTACACTTATCTATAACCGTACCGAATATATTTATACATAACAAGATTATACAAAAATAACCCGAATAGATTAGTAGCTTTATATGTGTGGTTAAAAATCTACAAGAGTTCATGGTGCAAATGCCAGTGATGTAAAACGACTGAAGCATCATATGCATGTTTGATTAGTCCAAGATGCTGGGATGTATGTATTTCGTGGTTGAGTTTCTGATGATCCACGTATTATCTATCAGCAGAAGAGAACAATTCGAGCAACATCAAGGTTGTTCTCCAGGACTTATTCCCGTGACTTTTTGGCAGAGTAAAATTTGTGGTCTCTTTAAATCAGCAATGATAGTATTGTTTTCTTTTTTCCCTAAACATGGCTGATTGAACTTTTCCTCTTCTCAAAACAGCCTTCAGAAGATATGGATTTAGTTAGATTGTTAAGCACATTTTCAAGCTTTCTGATAGCTTGTGTATTAGGTTTAGGACTAAACATCCTTTTCTTCTCACCAATCTCACCTGACATACTGGAATTCCCTTCTCCAACTTTTCCTGTTGAATCAAACAGTAAATTACAGGTGAATAAAATTTGCTTCTTAAATAGGGTTCTAACTCTGTTTTCAAATTTTGTTTGCCTTTTTAATCTTTGTGAGAGTGGCAGGAAGTAACTAAACTTGGAGAAGGACTTCTGGTTAAACCAGAGGATGTTGCTATAGACAAAAGTGGAATTCTTTATACCGCCACAAGGGATGGTTGGGTTAAAAGATTGCACAACAATGGATCCTGGGAGAACTGGAAATTCATCGGTGGCGAATCCTTACTAGGAATCACAACATCAAGAAATGGCGGGATCATCGCCTGCGACGCTGATAAGGTACAACAATCTCAATTTTATTCCAGTCTCAAATTGGAAATATTCCCTCCGTCCAAAATTATCGTCCAGTTTGGATTTTCAATTTTCCTTTAAAGTATACTAAAACTGAAAATTCAAACTGGACAATAATTTTGGGACGTGGGAGTATATATATATATCATGAAGATGGATAAGATACATCAGTATTTTGTTTTTTACAGGGCTTGGTTAAGGTTACAGATGATGAAGTTACAGTTATTGCTTCCCAGTATGAAGGTGGCAAATTAAGGCAAGATTAAATTAAACTGCTTAAATCAAGTAGAGATTCTGTTCTTAAGAACCAAAACTTTATCTCTGTTGCGGAAAGTTAAAAAAGAACATAACTGAGATTAGATATGAGAGATTTGAAAGTACATTGTCTGTCACATAATCACTGGATATTGCTTTTGACAAAAATGTTCGATCAATCAGTAAGGTTTTCACCTAATTAATCAATCATATTAACTCATGATTATGAAGTCTTCCCAAATCCCAAGTCTTTAAAAGGTAATGATTAAAGTTGTCACAAATGGAAAGAAGAAAAGCAGCATAAGATTATGGCCATGCATAAACTTACTATTTATCTCAACAATAGGTGGTCACAATTACATAGAAAATTATGAAATCTTTCCACACACATAATTTGGATGACTCGTGTCACATTCCTTTACTTGAAGCAATCTCCTCTTTTTCCAGACAAATATGAACTGCCTACACTTGATAAAGATGACCCTGTCTCAATGTAAAGAGCACAAACGTCACAAATGTACAACTTAAGAGCAATCAAAATATCCGTTCTGTTTTTCTGTCTGATATTTCAAAAGATGAGATTTTGCAACATTTAATCCTGGTAAAAAAAAAGAAAAAAAAAAAAAACCCCTCATTCGAATTCGGAAATAGCATTCTGATTCTAACAGATATGCCACTATTTGAAGTATGGTTTTCAATATTTTACTACAAGTTTTAAACTTGAAACTGAAGAACATTGTTTTGATTTAGATTTGCTGATGATGTGGTGGAAGGATCAGATGGGAGCTTGTATTTTAGTGTGGCAAGCACCAAATTTGGATTCCATGATTGGTTTCTAGACGTGCTTGAGGGAAAATCTCATGGCCAGCTTTTGAAATATGATCCTGAATCAAACCAAGTATCAATTTTGTTGGATAATCTGGGCTTTGCTAATGGTGTTACCCTCTCCCCACTCCAAGATTACTTGATCATCTGTGAATCCTGGAGGTCAGTAAATTCTTTTTTTCCCCTATTTCATTTTCGATGGCGATATATGATTCATATAGCCGACATTTTGGCATAATCACATAACTAAAGTGCCATGTAAGAAATCAAGGTTCAATCTTTGATTACTTCAAACACCGTTAAAGCTCTGACAAGTGTGATCATAGAAGGGTCCATCCAAAAATGCTAAGAACAACTAAAAGCACTTTAATTGCGTTTAAGCATCCGATTTCAACCACAAAATGCACAAGAATATGGTCGGTAATGATGATCACACAATGCCACCTTATCATTTTTGGGTGCATGAATTTTGATAATAAAGTTTTATGGTTTTTTGGATTGACGTAAACCATTGGAATTCAATAATAGTGCCCCGTTAATTACTACATTTGGGCCATGTTCAACTCGACAAAGTGCCCATTTTGTGATGTCTCCGTTATTCTTAAAATTTAGGTTTAGGTGCCTCAAGTATTGGCTAAAAGAGGAAATGAAAGTTAAAACAGAGGTTTTCATTGATAATCTTCCAGGAGCACCAGACAATATCAATCTTGCTCCTGATGGTACATTCTGGATTTCCCTGATTCAGGTACACATATTAAACTAAATTTTCCATCTGTCCCAAAAAAAAGAATTATGTTTGTTGTATGAATTAAATGTGTCTTCTTTTTTTTTTGAGACGAAGGGAGTATTATTAGAGGAGAGAAACAAGAATTTATTGATTTTTTGTTTTGAATTCTTCTTGTGCAGATAATCCCTAGCCGACTGAAATTTGTACACCGTTCCAAACTGTTGAAACATCTGGTAGTGGCTTTTCCGGGACTGGTGAATAAAATAAATGGTGCATATAAGAAAGCCATGGTAGCCAAAGTGGACACAGACGGCAAAATCATCAAGGTTTTGGATGACCCTACTGGAAAGGTTATGTCCTTTGTGACATCTGCACTAGAATTCGAGGGCCATTTATATTTGGGAACTCTAAATTGTGATTTCATTGGGAAACTTCCATTAGGAATAATATGAAAAAAATAAAAAATCCACCCACACCATGAATCGATCAAGGCCACAATAATAATTGCTAAACAGAGCAGGATAAGGCACTTTTGTGTAAATGCGTAATGCTTGGTTCATTGTCTCCTAAAACGAAAGTGCAAAATAAAATTACGCACTTTTGATATTGCGAGGACACCTAAGACAAAATTATCCTTTTTGTTATCAAAGGGTTCTTTATCCTGCGAGATGATCCATACTTTTGTTTTGAAGAGTTCCAATATCTTGGGTAGCAATTGGGTTAAATTCATATTTGTCATTTAGTTATAACTTTGTATTAAGATATACCCACTCTGTCCCAAAATTATTGTACAGTTTGAAATTTTACTTTTAGTATAATTTGAACTAGAAATAAAAATCTAAACTGGACAATAATTCTGGGACGGAAGTAGTAATCAGTATTTTTACGACAATGTCAATGTAATACATTTTCAGGCATCTAGCCGTGTTTATATTGCATTTTACTACTATAAAATGGGAAACAAATTCATGGTATGAACTTTTACTTAGAAAACTAAATCATATATTGTCGGTGATTAATAGTCAGAATGTAAAGTACTTAAGAAAAAAAAACTGACTTATCGATTTGTAGACTCACTAAATTCAGAATCGATGATGATTTCGTCTTAACTGAGCGTTGGTTTCTTGATTTCTGCAAATAATCGCTGTGTATGAATGAAAGAATTTCAGCGGTGTATTACTTACATTCATTTAGTAAGTGGGTTTCGGCCTTTTGGACTATATCTCATAGCCCAAACTGTGTGAATCACTTCTATGTTAGCTAAGATTAGACCATCTGGGTTTGCCATTACGGATCCCGTTTAAATTTTGGGCTTTAGTTGCAGCCGTTGTGAGTCACATAATGCAAATTCAGTTGATTCATGTTACTCATTTTTCTTTTCCTTTTTTTCTTAAAATTTTTTTTTTCTTCCCCACGGTGAAATTGACGGTTTAAAGTTAAACATCAAATTATTTCATTTCGTTAATGTAAAACACCGATAATATTGTGTTGATATTAGTCTTATTCTTTTTAACTCCAATGCTTACAAAATGGTAAAAGTGACACAGATGGATCAAGCAATCTCAAGAATCTCTCAACACCGGTTGATGCATCACTTTGATAAGAATCTGTCGGTGACAAAGTTCATGTTATTCTTTCATATCATTATTTTAAACCAAGACGAGATGAGGCGACCCATCATTTTGTACAATAGGTTGGGGTACATGGGAAGAAAAACCCCTCGTCCCTTTTTGATAGCACTTAATCGATAGTAAAAAGGTTTAGTTGACAAGTAATATTACAATTTACAAGTAGCTTTTTACGAAAGCGATTTTGTTTTGTTGGTAAATTATACAGGGACGGACCTACATAGGGGCTTGGGTATGCTGAAGCACCCCCAGCAAGCCGGAAAAAATTCCCGAGCAGCTTATGTCAGTCCCTGCCCCTCCATGGGAGCGCCTCCGGCGAAAAGTGCAGCGCACCTTCTGAAGAAGATAATGAAAAAGAAATGATTGGATTGGGCTGTAATGTTCCTAAAAAGGTCTTCATGTCAAGCAGTAAAATATTTTTGGCCCATTTACTGCCAAGTCCAATATTGTTTCTCGCTCATTTTCCTCTTTTTTTTGTTTTTTAATTCTCTATTATTTAAACGTAACTAGCTCAAATAAATTTTAAAGTTGTGATTCCTCTCGTCAATCCTTGGCCTCCTAATCTACAGACCAAATCTAGCATATTCTCTTTGGAATTTTTCTTTTGAAGAAAACTCGAATCAATCAAGAAAAATTCAAGTGATAAATATTAATTATTCCTTCTTTTTTTTTTTTTTTTGTAAATCACATAAATGAATGGAATACAGTTTCATGTAATGTTAATTTGCAATCCTTCCAATGATAGTAAACGATATTTTACTCAATGATAAACTGTATTTGTTCTTTTTTTTTAGATGTTACATACTGAAAATGATATCGGTTTCAAGATTATAATTAGTAGAAAGTTACGAATTCCATCTATTAAAATAATTTGATAGACTATGTCGTTTGATATTGTTCAATATATTGTTCAATATCTTGATATAAATAGGTCTATTTGAGATTATTTTTCAGAGAGCACGCCCTTCATGGATTCATTTTTTGTTCGTTTTCCATTGACGGACAAAAAATTTAGTATAAATTTTTTTTTAAAAAAAAAATACTCATGGCACATATGTTTTTACGTGTTTTCTTTCCTTTTTTTTTTTAAAAAAAAAAGGATTCTATCTCTATTAATCATACTAACAATATATGTAAAGCACCTCCAGAGTTTGAGTGCTGGTTCCGTCCCTGAATTTATAAGTGACAAATATATGTACAACATCGATTTATACACGTACTTTTGCATACTAATGTAAATTGATGAAGGCACCTGTAATTGGTTGGAAAAATCCTAGAGAATCTTTTCGAATGTCAGAAATCGAAAGAGTTGGTTTGATCCCAAAATAATAACTAGATATTTGTGGTGGTTGAACTCCGGTATACCCGGATTGATAAACCCACTAAAAGTAGTAATTTGTTTTTTTATTTTTCGTGAGCCTGGTCTAAACAAATAATTAATCAATTATCCAATATACTTTGCATGGACAAAACACATCCCCTGAATTCATTCATTTAGCCAACACATGTGAGTTTCAAAATAATTGAAAATGGGTGAATTAAACAAAAATAATAATATCATAAATGTGGTTTGCAAAAAAATTGCAATGTATGTTATATTTAATCTGAATTTGAAATTTTTTTACTAAGTTTATATTTGGTGTTCGGTTAAAGTTGTACAATTGTGAAATATTTGAATTCTAGCACTCCATGAGTTGAAATCTACATCGCTCTTTGAAAAATTTAAAATTTTATTATTCAATTTATGACGAAAAGTACTGTACATATATTTTCTTTTAACACGGTCTTTTTTTTTTTTTTAGACATCTATTTATAATGTTATACTCCCTCCGTCCCATAATTATTGTCCAGTTTTACTAAAATGAAAGATTTTATTTTTGGTCAAACTTAATTATATTTTACCTTAAACAACCGGATATACCCCTACATAAGTAATTGTTTAACCACTAAGATTTTATGGATAATGTTTTTTACTAAGGACAAATGTGTAACTTGATCCATAAAAAGTCAAATTGGACAATAATTTTGGGACAAAATTTTTTGGGTAAAGTGGATAATAATTATGGGCCGGAGGGAGTATTTATTTAATCATGATTTTTATGCCCCGTTCAACGCACGGGTTACATCTATTAAGAGAAAAGGGAAATCGCGGCGTAAGAATACCCACTCCGGAAACCGAATCATAGTAGGAAAGGGAATCCTAATACAACCAATGGTTTTGGCAATCAATATACATTGCGGTAGTATAAAAGGAAGCATAATTGTTAGCCTATTCCGTATCCTTTATTGGTTTAATTGCTTGCTTTCATAGTTGATCAAATAAAATCCAAGAGAAAAAAAAAAACCAGAGCAAAATCGACGTTAAAAAAGAGCAGAGCCGTCGGAGAAAAGATGAAGTTGAAGGAGAGGAAGAGCATTGCCAAAGGGTTTCAGAAATTAAGGGTTGCTTTGGAGACGGAAGACAAGGAGGAAGAAGATGCCCAAGACACTCGATCTCGTTCCCAGAAGCGGCGGGACGATAAAGCCCGGCGGCAAGCCGAAGCAGCAGCCCGAAAGGCGGAGGCCCGGCGGCAGGCGGAGCAAGAGGAGCTTGAGATTTCCCGGAAGAAGAAGGCGGGCGCCGAGAGGGTGACGGCGGCGGAGCTGCTTCTCCGGAGGGAGATGGAGATTCGGGAGATGGAGAGGTTAGCGGAGGAGAAGGATCGGAAGATGCGGCGCGTGGTGACCAAGGGCGAGTACGAGAACGTCATACTCGCGGCCAACACCAATCGGAGAGATGATGATGAATTGGAAGCTGGTACTGTTGATGAATCCATTCATGTCATGATAACTCTGGGGATTTTGAAGAATTGAATTTTTTTTTTCTTTTTAAGGTTTAATTAACAAATTAATTAAACAGAGAGATTTTCTGATAACATTAATTGGCGGCGAAATTGTAGAACTGGCTGGGTTACTACTAAGTTCTTCCATTGTTTGCAATTTCACTGGTAGACACTTTTACAGTGTAATATTTAGGAGTATGTATCACAGCAGGGCACTCTTTTGTGTGTCTGCTCAATTTTGACGATTGCAGTTTTTTCGAATTTCACCATAATAATTTGTTGAATTTTTAGTTTTTTTTTTCTTCTTCTATGTTTTACCCTACTTCATGCTAGGGTTTCCTTGTTTGTGAACTTCAATCTCATGTAAAATATTAATACATCAGGCTCGGGATTAAGAAGGAAAAAAAAGCATGCTTTTGACATTGGTTTAAAACCAGATACTACTGCCACCATCAACTTCAAATTCTTTCAACTCCAACCTCATTAATTAAACCAAAAAAAAAGAAAAAAAGGCGGGACTCGAAATAAAGGAACTGTAGTCTTGACATTACTTGCTGGGAATTTTCTCTAACCCCTCCCAACCGCCTTACTTGAAGCCTACCGTCTCAGAAAGAGTGTATTTTCTCTCAATATTGCTCTCTTAATTTTTACACCAGCAATCATGATAAACAGAGATCATCAAAAATACTTGTTGCAAAGCTCGTTGGCCGGTTATTGTTTAATTTGGGCAAATGGTGGTTCAGGGAGTTTAATGTACACAATTTGGAAACTAGGTCTTCCTCCTAATGATAAATTAGATGCGATAATAATGCAATTGCAACGTTGATAGACAGCACAAGGACAGGGGAAGTAAAACGAAGGTACATAATCAAATACAGCATCTGTGGCACTAATATGTAAATAAATAACAGTTCAACAGTAGGTTCAAGAATCAACTTCAGCCACGAATCGTATGTTGACAAAACACAGTTGGTCCCATTAATTTTCCAGATACATGCCTTCTTCCACCTACTATCCAAACTCCAAATGAGTTTTTAGTAACTTGAATCCCAGCAGCGCAAATGACATAAATATATGATGCTACTTCATTCATCAGTCCCGCTCACTAATAGCAGTCAAGTGCTCATCAATTTCCTCAGTTGTCAAGACCCTGAAAACTGGATTGTCTTGCCTCACCACACCGACCTGCCAAAATAAAAAAATTTATATATTTAGGGCTTCTAGAAATTGAATATTAGAAGAAAAGTAGTGTTTTTAGGCCTGATGCAGCTAGTGCTCATGCGTAGTTCTCATCTTGTATTGTGATATGGGACCATCAAACATCCTTCTGGAGACTACTACATTCATGAAAGTTTTTCATACACTAACACATAGGACCATTGAGTTCCTGCATTGCTGGTTCTGCTCTTAAATCTACCCCCTCCCACACCCCCCCTCAAGTAATTCCCAAATTACAATCACTGCCCAATCATAAGTTACGATGGAAGCCTCTAACACTGCTTCTTCCCCTTCCCCCATATCTGCCTGCCTCATTTAACCTTGCCAAACCACTCATCGGCTTAAAGTGATCTAAACGGCCCTCCACACTAACACAACTATTTGATTCTCTACCACACAAATACAAGAGCACAGCCCATATTTGGCAACCAATTGCAAACACTCATCATTTAGAAGAAGAAAACAAGAATATACCTCAATCTCATTGGCCTTGAAATCCTCTTGAAGAACAGATTGCAAAGCAGAAATTGCCGTCTACAAAAAAGAAGCAGATATGTCAGTTACAAAATCAAAATTAGCTATAGCATACTAAAGATCAGGAAAAAATTTCAGTAGCAGAGTGAGTATCTATGGCAAAGGTCAAAACCAAAGACATGCAATTCTAGCAATTCTAAATTAATCTAAGGCTATCAAAAAGTAAAATTATCAGATTATTCATGTCTACTCACTACTAAACCCCAAACATCTCTCACAAACATTAATGATCTTAACAAGTTCTACATTAATCATGTGAATTTAACATCTTCAATTGTTACCGACTGCAATTTGGATAGTGTGACACGAACAAGACGTATTCTTAGAGGTTAAAAAGACACAGCGATAAGTGAGCAAATTTATTTTGATATTCAATCCACATGATACAGGACTAAACCAACTTGCCTTACCTTTACCTAGTTTCAAACCCCATATATGATGACAGCAGCATTTTTTGACAAAAAAACACATTGACAAGTTTTACAGCCCAGAGACAAAGAAATATGTACTGATCATATGTATATTCTTTGAGGGGCCCAGCTACCTCATCAAATTCACATTCAATCTTATTTCCCAAGATGTGGAGAATCAGGACAAAAAGAACATTTAATGAGTTGCATCTACAGACTCACAATGTTTCACGACTTATCAAGAGATAAGAGATCAAAACACAAGCACTCTGCAAAGTCTAGTTTCATTCAGCATTTTTACCTGTACAGTTTCCTCGTAAGTAAAGGCAGGGTCATTTTTCATTTTCTTTTCCAAGAAATTAATTGCCTCTTGATCTTTAGCTCCAGCACTTGTGGCCTGTAAAGAATTACCATGAACTTATATTGACTTGAAAGAGTGACATAAATTAGAATAAACGAAAAACAGTTCAAAATTCAAGAGCATGAACCTTATGGCCGAAAAAGTGTCCTGCTGGATCACACTTGAAGAGTTGAGGACCAAACTCCAAATCGATTCCCAGAACCATAGCAACTAAAGGATGTAAGAGCAGATGTTAGAATGTCACGAGAGAAAGGAAGAACTGTTAAGAAAAAGCACAAATTTAGTATACTGGCTTGTTACAAACCTACTCCAAGAGGCCTCATATAAGCATGTTGTGTATAGACTTGAGATTTGTCTGCAATCCTGCAACAACAAGAGCACAGTTGGACAACAGAAACATATAACTCACACTTAATCCAGAATTCGCTTTTAAAGTATATATTAACACTTATGTGTATGTGTGTATGTCACTAGACAGATATAATCAGGGGTGATTTTAGAATGAAGATACGTAAATTAATCATAGTCATAAAAAAGCAGAAGAACATCTGTAGTTTGTCTCATCATTAGCAGCATCTTAAAGACGGGTTTTCCTTTTCGAAAAAAGGACGGGTTTTAGCTTTAGAAGGAATATTACTGGGACTAGCTTGAAGAGTCCGGATTCAAAAGTACTTACCATCTTGCCAACACTTCCACGGGCATCTCATAACCATATTTAAAACGAAATTCGGCGGCCTCACTCCTGGCTTGCTGAACCAAGGTCCTTGCATCAGCTACAAAGAGCCAATCACACATATTAATCAGTGCAAAATGAAGAAAACATGATTGGGAACTACGTTGCAAATTGTAAAAGAAAAGGCCAAACTTCAATAACTAAGAAGCACCAAATAAAATCACCAAATAAGTCCAGTCTTCACATTTCCTATTGTATACTCCTATATCATATATAAAAAATAAAAAAATAAAAAAACGTTCAGCGACGGACAAAAATCATTGGTGCAAAGACAAAGCGGTACATCCAAAGACAATCAAACAACTATCAGATACAAGAACACGCATCAATTTCTACAAGCCACCCCGATGCAAGTAAATTAACAGCTTGATACCTGATGCACATATAACATAGTAATATCAAAAGAATGTAACAACGGTTGTATTCGGCACAACGGACTATATTGTAGAAATGCCAAAAGCACTAAAAGAAACAGGATAGCAGATCAAGTTATATATGGAGAGCTAAATCCTAAGAAAATACCCATAACCACCATTTACACCAGAATTACTCAAAAGTGTAAACTTTGCTAGCAACTATCCTTAGAAATCTATCCTTTAACCAACACATCTCAAACAAAGAATATTTGATTGTATCAATTGAAAGCCCGAAAACAAAAATAAAATCAAAACATAAATGGAGATTGTTTATGATTGTCATACCTGTCATGCCGGTAGCTAAAAGCCCGAGGTTCTTAGTGATGGGGAACAAATGAGTAACACTAGTCTGATCCAACAACTTATCCTGAAAATATGAGATATTTGAATTGGTCAGCCACCTACTGACGCTAATTGAAACTTATTCTATGGGAAATATACTGTCTAAAACCCACGTACCGGAACTTTCTTCTGAGTGACAACGCAAACGGAATCCTTCCCACGGACGCCGATTGAGGTTATTCCGGCAGCTTTAACTGCCTTAAATGCATACTCTGTACACAATGAAACCCCCAATAAGCATCCGAATTAAACCAAAACCCGAAATTAACTAAAGATAGCCTCTTTAACACTATTCAGTACAGAAACTTTTAATAAAGTATAAAAAACTAGGCGCTTTGAAACCCTAGATAACCAATAACGAAACCGAAATTAACCATTAAAGTTTCAAATCAGCTGAAACAGATTAAAAAAAAACCCCTAATTGAAATCTAACTATCGGCATCAAAGATTACGAGCAGCAGGGAACTCACCAACTTGGTAGAGGCGACCTTCAGGGGAGAAGATCGTGATGTGACGATCGTATCCACCGCCGCTTCCCCGACTACTCATTGGTTCGCTGAAAAATTAGATTTTGACAAACAAAGAACTTTTTCCGAACAATTCAGCGGTGAAAGACCGTCAAGGGCAAATCGATGCCGGAATTTATCGAACTTGGAAGTACCGGAAAAAAGAGTAAAACTAAGGAAATATATCGACTTTTCTAATTTGTATACACTGAAGCTTCTTCTGCTCCAAGACAAGTGGCCCAGTATCTATTTCCTTGGGCTTGGCCCAACTTGTGACGAGATAAATTGGAACTTTTTTTTTTTTTTTTTTTGGGTGAAATGATAAATTGGAACTTTAAATAGTAGGTTCCCCGTCTAATAAATTAATTGAATAGAACTTTTTTTTTTTCACCTTCAATTTTACATCTTTATTAGAGAGAGAATTATATTATAGTTATTAGTATGCTAGTAAATTCTGTAATAAATTCGAATACTAAGCGCAAAAATTAAAAAAAAAAAGGTAGACCTAAGAAAACTGGAAAAGAGATTATCAAACATGATTTGAAAACTTTTAATTTGAGAAATAGTTTATGTTATGGTCGAGCACGATGGTAATATATGATCCATATATCCATCCTCACTAGTGAGAAAAAACCTTATTGTTGTTATATCAGAATTAAAAAAAAATTAAAAAAATTAAAAGCATGACTCTTACTAAATGAAAAAAAAAAAAAAAGATCTGCAACTTGTTAATTAAACCACATGACCGCAATCTTTGTTTCGCCTTTATTTTATATTACCTGTGCCAAGAAAAATAAATGTGAATTAAATAAATTCACATTTATTTTTTAATGTTTGGTTTGAATTGTGACAAGAGACGAGAGATCTTCCAGTTTTTGTAGTTGAATAAATACGAACTCTAAATAAGATGTGCGGTTAAAGCATTAATATCAGTGCCGAAAGTGATCCTTTTACTTGTCTCATTCTCATAGCCATATATGATATGATCTCCTCATTGATGCCTATCACATTACTCAGAAATCACAAAAAAAAAAAAAAAAAAAGAAATTGGAGACTTTTCATCTCATCATGATTTACGTATAAACGTTGTGAAACAACACAAGGTACAAAGATTTGATGGAACCCATATCTCTTTACTACTTGTATCTGGTCCGCTTATTCAGATTCTTTTCATCTCTGTCAGTTGATTCCTTTCTGGATTTCAAATTACTTACATCATTTGATTTTCGACGATTCACAAAGTCGGAAAAAGATGGGATTGCTGGCAATTTCGTATCTTGAGTAATGCTCTGTGATCCTCCTCCTACATGAGTTTCTGAACCACTGCAACTGGAGTCATGCAACTTTTCATCTTTGGGCACCACTTCTGGCGACAGTTGTGCTTGCAGTGCAGAATCCGACGTTGGAGTAGCAGCAATGGTCATAGGACTCTTCATACTATTCAGTCGAATTAGCAAGTCTCCAGAGTTAGCTGTTGAGATCCATCTCACACTGCTTGCTAGTTGAGATATATAAAATGATTTGCCGATCTTTCCATACTTTCTATAGCATTCATTTTCAAATGTCGTTGCAGATGCATCAAAGTCAATCCTGAACAGAAGAAGCACATTAAGCAAGGGAAGAAAGTTCAGCAGCAGAGCAGTCGCCAAACTTGAGGTCTGTATAGACGGTCTTATGGTTTTAGTTTTTATTTTGGTTTGTCTTCAAAATGTAAAAAGGTTGAAAACATTAAAAATCCCATGAAACACATTCTTTACACGCTCCAAGGCCTCAAGATCCTATAACAGTCTGAAGTTTTAGAAAAGCAAGAAATGAACAGAAGGTGGAGGGAAGTGGCTTACTTTAAGTCATCAAATCGCTGCTGGTTTTGCTTCATAGCATTTAATAATCTTTGCTTGCCAGACTCTCTTAAAGTTTCAGATATGGTGTTCTTATCCATCTTTGCAACCTATCCATACAAAGAAAATCAGTGTGATGGCAAGCCATGAAATCATCAAACATTGTCAACATACTAGGAAAGGAATGACATCCCTGAAAGAAAACAGTGCAGTTAAAACATGCCTGCCTGTCAGGAACTTTATTTCGATAATAACTCTCTTCTGCACGTTCCAACAACTCAATCTTTTTATTCATTGTTGCTTTTGATTGCAAGCTTGATTGTATCACGTCCTTTGCAGCCTCATCTGATTTAATGAATATATATTGGACCAAAGAAAGTGCTCAGGAACATAAATGAATGAAACTTTGTCCAGGTCAGCACTAAAAAGGTACTCATGAACAAGAAACAAACTGAGATATACCATCAGCATCAGATATATCGTCTTCTGATTCACTTGCTTCTCCATCGTAGTTCCAGAACTCAGAGAACTGTTCCACATCGTTGCAAACTGCAGAACTGAAAGGGGATAAACATTGTCAATCAGCCAAAAGAGATAAAAGTGCTCCTGAGACACAAAAAACCTATGTAATCGGCAATAAGACCAAAGACAGCAAAAATGTAACACAAAAAGCGACAGCGAAAAAGACCCGAAAAAGTGAGCCACTTGACTGTCAAGAACGTGGTTGTGAAGGAGGACATAAAAACAAAACATAAGAGAAACTGTAAAATATTTTGCGTTTTACAGACAAACAAGACATTATGATTCAGTAAAAAAGCCGAGATCCAACAGAAGTAGAGACCAGTAATGAACAAAGTTATTATAATAAACTCTAAGTCTAACAGTATCGAAGAAACAGAATTTTGGCTTAGACAAAACAAAAAAGAATTAATCATTGCTCATAATAAATCCTCGGCCAGAATGCTGCAAAAGAAATGTTGAGACAACAAGAAACCACAAACAGTTAGTTTGAAAAAAGAAATAAGAAAAAAAAAAATCCGCCCTTTCATGCATAAGATTGAGGAAGTTCGTAGATGCTGGAATGATAGATAAGATTTGGCAGGGTTCTTTTTCTGCAAAGGGGGGATTTTTGGGGGAGAGGGTTGATATACATCTAAAAGAATTAGACTTGAAGCACCTGCTCATGAATATTCTGGAGGATTGATTTCTGAATGCGCAAGCACTTGTAAGCTCCTCCAGATACTTTGCAACTAAGTTAGGATGTTTGCAAGCATCACAGGTTTTTCCACATAACGATGAAGATACCTGGTTCCCACTGAATAGATAAATATCACTCGACAACTATTAAACCAAAGCAGCTTCAGAACAAAAACAAAGACAAAGAAACTTTTCCTTGCCTGTTCTCCAAAACTCTCAAGGATCTTCTTCCTACGGCAACCAGACTCTTCACAATATTCAACCATCTTCAATTACATAGATAGTCAAGACCCTTAGACAGCCACTTGAAAGAAATCATTCATAAATTAATAGACCCGGAAAATTACCTGCCTAAAGTCTGCAAGGGACTTTTTTGAGTTTGCATCCCGCACGCTGGAGGATTGCGACTTCTTGTTCTTAGCATTGCCCAAAATAAATTCCTTCAATGGGGGTTGCGTGGAATTTAGAAAGACTTCTCTTTTTTATAATAAAAGTGAACACAATGGCAAATTTATTGAAGTGATTTAAGTTTTACCATCTTCTTCCTGTCATTTACTCCATAATACAAGACACTTCTGGATGGCAACTGATCACGACCTGCTCTACCTGACTCCTGGTAGAATGCCTCCATGGATTTGGGAATATTGAAATGGCAAACCATACGGACATCCTTTCTATCTATCCCCTGGTATCATTAAACCCGACACTTACTCAGCAATACTCTTACAGATGCTCAATAGCATGTACAACAACTAAATAAGAAGCCCGAATGACGTACCATCCTGCAAGCAATCACAAAGTCCGGAATTAGTTGATGCACAATTTGCTCCAAATGGTAATTGAGAAAAGAAAAACAAAAACAGAGAGCGTTACCAGGAAATAAAATTAAGCAAGCAACACCCTTGAATCTGGTAACAAGTCTATTACATGAGTGTTTTCTAACTTCCGTAGAATCACAAAATATCTCTACGAAGAAATCTTATGTTTCCTTTTTTCCTATGTAGTTTTCGCATATGCTATTGACATTAAAACTTAATAACATTGAACTCATTTTCCTAGTTGAACAAGGCACATTAAGATTCCATAAGCTGCTCAGAGTTATCCAACTTTTGGCAAAAGAACTTAGAGACACAAACAGGAGACAAGCAAAAAGTGGGCACAGGTCACTTGACAGAAAAGCTATAAGGAGGTCCAAATCAAAACTGAAATACCATACCCAAAGGCCACAGTTGCTACAACAACTTGTGTTTTTGCTGAAATCCAGTCATCCAAGACGGAGCTCCTCAACTTATTGTTCAACCCGGCATGGTAAGCTGGAAGTAAAGATAAACCCAAAATAGGATTAGAGAAAATCTAGTAACCCGTATACCGGACGTCAACGGCAACGATCTGATTTACCAGCACAAGAAACTCCACAACTTGAAAGATGAGAAGCCAGGTCATCGCAAGTTGTACGTTCAAGGCAGTACACAATCGCACAGATTTCTCCACATGATCTCAGTAAATTGCCCAAATCAGCATATGGGTCATCCATAAGGTCCTTGTATCGAACTGCATCATGAAGAAAGCCAGTCAGATATGCATATAAGAGCTTCTCATGTCTTTTGAGTACACTAAATCGAACAAACTGAACATAAAAGTTCTACCTCTCAAGACTACAGAGCATATAGGCACAGTCAAAGTATTTATCTATCTAACTGGAACTCAAATGGGAAGAAAATTTCCAGCATATGATTCACCAACTCCTACCATATTCAGTTTACTGATGGGTGTACTCAGGTTTCAGAATGTACTCGTGATGAGAAAGCAACTGTAACCTAACCTTCGTAATAGATATTTGGGCGGTTGAAAGATGACTTCAGCACCAAGGGATTATGCAAGGACAAAGACTCTATCACATCCTTCTGAACTCTGACAAGAGAGGAAACTTCGAAATCACGATTCTAAATTTCAAAAAGAGTGCAGTTGAAGATCATATATAGATAGCAAGTGCGTAACAACAATAAATATTTTAGGGATTGATTATGATTAAGTGCGAACAACAAAATCAAGAGATCCCCTTTTTAGTTTAGACAGCACATGGAACTTACTTTGGAGCCGCAGTTGCTGTCAAGGCTAGCAAAGGTACACCAGGCAAGTGGTTCCTCAGAGAAGAAAGTTTTCGGTAGCTAGGCCTGAATAGGAACTAATAAGAACAACTTACAAGAAGAACACGACGGGAGACATAGTTATTAGGAGATCTCATGGCCACAGGAAAATTACCTGAAGTCATGGCCCCACGTTGAAATGCAATGTGCCTGAAAGGTTCAAAGAAATGGTTAAAGAAGATTCAACTGAGAGGCATCAATCACAACAACCCCATGAACCATTTATCAGTGACTTGAGCTATAACCTCATCGATGGCAACAAGATTCAACAATCCTCTTCCATGGAGCTTGGTTAACTTTGATGTAAATCCGGGAGTGGCAATGAGTTCTGGGGTGACATACAACAATCTTACGCATGGTTTCCCTGATTCAAGGTCTTCATAAATCTGTATACCGCAGCCAAAAGATGTCATATTTGTGTGAAACCAACTTCTACAGGTAATTAGTATTGATACAGATTCATCAGTGAGCTTTTCCATTTAAAAGAAAAGTATAAACGTGTAAGCAATCTAAGGACTTCTATCAAACTCAACCCATGGAAACGAGTTTGGTGGACCTTAATAGAGCAGGCAAACTTGAATAGGTTGAATTGTAACTGAATGTTAAATAAAAGGTTTTTATGCATACATAAAAATATCGGAAAAAACATAAGTATAACATTCCGTGGAACCATGACACTATTTCAATCTGGATATCTACGTACAGTCCACAACTTTGGTTTCAACAACTCCATCATTTGAATCAGTCTTTCAGATGTTGATGGAAAAACTTTGTTCCCATTTTATCTTTGGGCACTCACTCAAGTCTTAGACTCTCAAAAACTTCTTCCAGGGTGTTGGTTTACCATAGTTTTTCCTTTCAATGTTTCATCCTTGCGAATGTCATATTTACATGTATCTATACCACTGTCTTTTTACCAGAAAACAAACTTCATAAAAACAACAAAAATCCTCCAATAAGAAATCAAACTTTGAGTACCAGCTTTCAAAAATATTTCAGTTTGAAAATCAAATGTCTATCAGCCCTGAATAACAAATACCTTGTTTTTAACTAGTGCAGTCTGGGTTGAAGAAAGATATTCAGCTGCTATGCCTTTTTCTTTCAATACCATCACTTGATTTTCCTGATATGTGCAACAAAACAGAATCAAATGAAACCCACTCGGACACATATCTCGAGCTTTAGCATGAGAAATACAAAAGCCGGTGCTTGAGTTAATCCCACTCACCATGAGAGCTGAGGCAATCATAAGAACCAACCATAGACGTGAGATTCTTCTCCTGACAATTAAAAGAGAAAAGGGAAAAAATAATTGTGTAGCTTAAGCTTTCACACTAAAGGGAAAAAGTTGTTGAACATGTTCACCTATCAAAGGGCTAACAACGAGCACAATGCCGGTTTTCGCAAGAGCGGGGATCTGATAACACATGGATTTACCACCACCAGTTGGCATTAGACAGAAACAATCCTTTCCTACAATGAAACCAACGTTAGAACTTTCGAACCATCATCAGAACCTAGTTTCAAGCTGAACAAGAATTTTCTTTTAAATTTCCTAAACATAGATCAATTAGACGATACTGACGAAACCCAATAAAAATTAAATTCAAAAACCTAGTTCGTCCAGTATCAAAATTAACGAATTTGACTAATGAAACCTGAGAGTACTGCTTCAATAGCTTCCAATTGTTTTCCACGGAACTCAGAATGCCCAAAATGCCACCTGAGGAGCTTTACCAGGGCCTCCTTCCCAATTCTCTGCTTCTCAGACCCACGTGTACTTTGCATCGGCAATGGTGATTTCTTCATAGTCATCAGCCAACCTTCATCAATGTCCCCAAAACAGAAAAAGAAAAATTTCTCAATAATTCACCGTTTCTCCTAGTTCAAGGTCGAACGCGAAACAGAACAAATGAATTAAAAAACATATTTACATTGCGTAAATTGGAAGAATAGTAGTAGAAGGAGAACCTGAAATTTAAAGAATCGTACGGAGGACTCAGACGAGGAGAAGGGCTATAAGGGCTTTTGCCGGGAAAGACGAAAAATTGCTCCCTGCCAGGGACAGTTGGTTACTTCGCTGAGTAATAGGGACCAAAAAGTAAAAGAATTATGCAAAAGGGCTCATTTGGGGTCATTATTGCAAAGATTGGGTGTATTATATTGTAATTTTAAATATGTTCAAGGAAGCTTTTCCCGCCTGCTCGTCTGCAACGTGAATTTGCAAGAATTAGCGTTTGCTTGGTTACCCGTTTCCACATTCCACTTCGGCAATGCATTTTGCCCCTAGTCATTGGAGTAAAATGCAGCCAATGAACGAGCATCGAACCTCGTCCAACATATTTGAACTCAAATCTCGATAATTATAAACTCGCATTTAACATCTTATCCCATTTACTCCACTTTAATAAACGATCGTTCTACAAGATGCCTTGTGTGGTTGAATGTAGATAGTCAACATATTACATCTCTGTATGCTTCCCTAATCCGAAGCGTTACTAATTTACAGTTTCATTATTGAATTCGCAGATTCATATATATCAAGAGAGTACACTGCTTGTCCAGCATACTACATGCTTCAAGCCTATTTATTATACATAAGTTGACGGGAGGTTTCACATCAGGGTTGAGATCCTTAGGCTTCAGCTAAGAGGTGACTCCCTTCCCATTACATGCACCTCATATAAACTTGATGGCAACTTCGATGAAGGTTTTTTTCAGATTACTCCATTAGGGCTTGGTTGCTACCCTCTCTATGAAGCCTTTGATATCAAAATCCTCTGTCCCATTCTTCGTAATGACACCCTGAAAAATACCGTGTATTCAGTTTCACATCAAACAACATACTGGCGTCTATGGGTATGCAAACATGGACATTCATATGAGAGAATTAAACGTATAATTGAGAAACCCGAAAATGTGTAATATGTGTCTGCGAGAGAGAGAGAGACCTTCTCTGTTATGATGCCACTGATTACAGTTGCTGGTGTAACATCGAAAGCTGGATTCCACACAGAAATCCCAGAAGCAGCAACTTGCTCACCATGTCCACCACGGGCATGCGTCACTTCTTCGGGAGATCTTTCTTCTATAATAATTTCTTTCCCAGAAGCAATCAATAAATCAATGGAAGTTAAAGGGGCAGCCACCAGAAATGGAATACCATGATGCATAGCACAAAGAGCAAGGCTGTAAGTTCCGATTTTATTGGCCGTATCACCTGTCATTGTAGAAAAGTTAAGATACAGATAACGTCATATAAAACTTGAAGATAGTAAAGGGGTGCAACTATAAGCAGTACCATTAGCAGCAACACGGTCAGCTCCTACAATTACAGCATTAACACGACCAGCATTCATCAGTGCAGCAGCAGCAGAATCCACAATTAGAGTGGCAGGAATGTTCTCGTAAACAAGCTCAAATGCTGTCAATCTGGATCCCTGGGGCAGATTTCTCAAGATTAGAAATAGTTTGCATGCATTTCATAGTAAATGATTCTTAACAAAAGTTGAGATTGTAAAGGTCCTAAAACTGTAAGCATACACACACACATTCAATAAAGGCATAGTCATATACCCATGTCTTAAGTATCACGATAAATCTACATACTGTCGTCTAGTGTTTATCCTCTTTTGGCTCTCTGCCCAAAGCACCGTTCAGAAGTCTCTCTCTTGCTGCAGATAATTTACCGAAGGTGGGGCCAAAATGAAGCGAGAACATAGTGAATCCAGTTGCTCCTAGTGTCGAATCTTATCCATCGGACTTCAAAAAATGTCTCTAAACAAAGGCATTAACCTCAGCTTCAGCTTACAGCACAATTTTCCAATTCAATTTCAAGTTTGGATCAAAGTTTTCATTACTACATTTATCATATCAAGCTTAAAGTAATATTATGGTATTTTGAGGCCTATGTGATTATTGTAGACCACCCAACATATAAGGATAACGGCTCGTTGTTGTTCTTTGAGGTCTACTTTTATAATATTCCAGCATTTTTTATTTCTTTAGTAAACAAAAAATTAACAACTCCAAATCAAATTTAGGCACAATATAGTGCCCGCTGCAGGAAGTGTTTCACCACTTACGCATGAGGACCCTAATTAGACAAGTGTTCAACACAAAGAAGAATATCGAACGAACCTGATTGAATGGGCGTGTTTCAGTACAATAAGCCCTTCCGAGAACTCCCGATGTATGCAGTGCACGAATCACACCCAGAGCAGTTCCATATCCAGCTGTTGCAAGACTAGAAAACCATCATATGACACACAATAATAATTAGGTCACCTTAACACGATAAGAAGGAGAACCAATGATCAATAGTTTTCAACATGGATTTAGTTTATGCACCTGCCGGTATTGCAATGGGTCAAAACAGATATCTTGTCAGAGTTTTTCAGTTGGTGTACAAGAAATTGAGCTCCATAAGAGCCAATTGCTTTATTGGAAGCCACATCATCGTCAAGCATCTTTTCAGCTGCTTCAATGTAAGCCTGATGCAGAATTGACCCAAAAAGTGGATGGGGCTATCAAATATGAGTATCAATTTCAGGTATATTTAATATCACTATAAGACTGTGGAACTTCCATGCATTTGTAACATGATAAACATCTGGTGAAACTGAAGAAACTATAAATTGGCGCAATAGGTTTTATTTGATGCATGTCAGATAGATTACCAAGATTTCTGACCAAAAATTTATGAAATAGGCTTAAACCCATGGACAGCTGGTCAATTCTGTCCTATCAGATAATGATACAGACAGACTGCAGAAAAAACGAAACTTTACTATGTATACAATCTCCTTTTCTTTGTTGGTATATTAAAGAACAAAGAGCAATGCTACCTGATTGACACCTCTAGCGTCCAAGGACAAAGCAGCTTTCTGTACCACATCCGTAAGTGTTGAAGCAGCATCAGAAAGGTTCACCGCCGTTGGGCGACTGCAGCGCATGCTCGTAAATGAATAACAGGAAACATAACTAGAGAGTTAAACATCTCCATTTCAAATAGCCATACCTGGTTACAAGATATTGCAACTTCTCAGCAATGAAAACTGCTGCGTCCTCAGCTGACTGGACAGAACTTTTCAGCTTTGAAACTTCTACAGCCAAGGAAAGGGCAGCAGCAATAGCAATGGCAGGAGCCCCCCGGACAACCATGTCTTTTATTGCTCTCCTACAATGAGCACGCAAAATCAATAAATAGAAAAGCCGCGCCGAAGGCTTATAAGAACTACACATCTCTATATATTGTACCAACTCCCACTCACTCATTTCCTCAACATTAACACTTCTATTGTAACAAGAAAGTTGAAATGCTATTAAGAGAACAGAATTTTAAGGTAAAAAAGAATGATTAAAAAAGAACAGTTACCATCCCGCACTTGCATCTGCAATATCCACGTAAACCATCTGATGGGGTAGTTTTGTCTGTTCAATCACCAAACCAATCAATTGGGTCTCTGAATTATTCGATTATTATGAAAACAGACAACTAAACCCACATGAATGAAGTAGAAAAATAGGAAATGAACTGATGTTTCATATACCTGATCAAGAAGCTGGAGTGAACCACGGTTGTAACGTATTGCTTCCAACAAATTCAGCTTCTCAACCTCGTTTCCCATTTCGGCAACCCTTGAATTAACCTTGTGGATTCACAAACAAAACCAAGACAGAAGTTTACCACAAAGAAGCAAAAACAGCGGGGTTCAGCCTTCAGAGTGCTTAAGAACGATCAGCAACCATAAACAAACTTGGAATTCTAACTGAAACATCTTCGTACCAAGCAGGACTTTGGGCGAATATCACAACCGCCACCAGGACAGAACCGCAGACACAACAATCCGACAAGGGAAAGAGAAATATTTAGATTCCCCAAAAGACAGATAAACGAAAAAGAATACGCGAACAGTGGAAAAGGGGCTGCGGAATTTAGTCATTTATTTATAAGTAGACCCCGATATTCTTGAAAATATTGTTATAACCCCCAATTACTAATTGCACAATTATTTATTCATTCCGTGAATATAGGGAGGACAAAACTATACTTATGAAGAAAACATAATTGAATACTACCACCGTGCAACCTTTAGTCTGATTTCCCTATTTAGAATGTTATTTTTCTAATGAAATTTCAAAAATACCCTTAATTCAACTAACCACCTAACCATTATAAACGTCTTTATAAGCATATTTAAAGAAGATTAAAGTAAAAGTTGTTAGTTAAGTTAATTTTATTAATCTGGATAAAATTAGTATAAACCTATTAAATTTGGGACCGAGATATTATGACCTCGGTGTTTGCATGTAAGTGTCAACGGATTAAGGGTTTTTGCTGGAGTAGTGTTTAGAAGCATCGACCCACAAAAAGATAAGAAGGCAAATTTTTTGATCAGACAGTGTTAAAAAAATTGATATCATGTTTTATTTTTTCTAACAATTTTTTTTTTACCGAAAAAACTCGAAAGTATGCAACTTCAATTTAGCTTAGGATATTCCGTTAGTGTGCTTTTATTGTTGGTTTCGTCGGTCTTATAAGGTAGTATTACGTCACGTAACGTATTACTATTCGTTTTAGGCAATTACCAAATACCTAGTAATCCTTGGGGCTTAAGGAATAACTAACTAGTCAGAGACTCACATCTCTATAAATATAGGCAGGGGGAGGGTTGAAAGTTAAGTGTTTGTTTAGACGTCAGCTTACATTTTATTTTGCCACTTAAAAGTGGAAAGTGTTTTAAGTTGAAAACTAAATGGGAAACAAAAATGTTGTTTGGATGGTATTTTGAGCAAAAAGTTGTTTGGGTGTTGGTTTTGAAAAAAATTTTGAACTACATTTTGAAAATATCAAGTACGAGTCATCACTAAACAATTAAATACTATCAATTATAGTTACTGCAAAAAAGAACTTTTCCAAAAACAATCACTCAATAACGGAATCCTGCCAAATTTGTCATTGAACTATTTGTAGTTCTAAAATGGTCATTACATTAACAAAAAGTGTTTCAAGTTGGAATTTAAAATGTAAATCAGAGCGTTGTTTGGATGATTTTTTTTTTCCATTGAGTTTTGTGTTTAAAAGGTAAAATGAGACAAAATGCAAAATGGAAGGTTGGCCAAACAAACTCAAAGTTATTTGAGAGACTCTCTATTTTCATTAATTATCAATTCGATCAGACAGCCTGATAATATTCTCCTCCCCGTCATAAAGTTGTGTGACAATGGGTGACACGCAGCGATCTTCGGTGTTTAAGGAATCGTTGGAAGCTTCAAAGAAGGAATCCCACAAAAGTAATAAAATAGTACTGAAAAAAAGGGTCTGAAAAGAAGAAGAAGTCAGAAGCTTCAGAAAGCAGCAGATGATAAGAAAGCAAGGCATGAGTTACTGGAGGAGAAGAATAATAATAATACTTGTTCACCAAGATCAACTTCCGCTGCATCAGTAGTCTTTGTAACCCCCGGTCCTACCTTATTAGTATTAAAGTCCTGCCTCAGAAGGAAAAAGAAGGGTGATGAGGATCCAAAGAATGAACCTCTTCTTAAGAAGGTCAGATTTGATAATGAAGGGAAGTCTGTCAGGATCATTGAGATTCCTACAAAGAATGCTGGCCGGAAACCATCTCGAAAAAAATCTGTTTCAACAACAACACCCGCCTCCACTGCTGGTCCTTTCACTGAAGAGGAGATACGGACAGTTATAGTGCAGAATGGACCAATTACCGCAAGGCAGCTTGTCGGCACATTTAAACTTAGATTCAAAACTTGAGCGGACAAGGACGACTTTTCAGCTATATTACACAGGATTTCTAAACTTCACAAAACTGGTGGGTCTAAGTATGTGGTCCTCAGGACATGATGATCCTTGTTTCTTCCAGCATAAGTCCTTTGTTTTGGTGAGAGACCAAAAGACCATAGAAAGATCATCTCAGCTCTTGAGGAGTAAAATATGCATGCTTCTCCTTTGCCAAAAACAGTTATCATCGCTTTATGTGTATGATTTAAAATAAAAATTCCAGATATGGTGCCATGTTTTCTTATCCCAAACTATACAATACACATTGGTAACAGTTCTATTGATATATTCATCTTGTGGAAGCATTGACTGTTGCTAATTGCATATCTCTTGGAGACATTAAGCTCATGACCAAACAGTGAGAAATGACAAAATCCAAATCAGGTAAACTATCTTAACTACTCTCATCCCTCCTAATTCCACTAGTTAAGAAACAAGATGAGGATTTTCAATGCAGACAAATAATGATTGAAACGAAAGGGAGATTAAGACTAACAAGACTATATTACTTGCTGGCAGAACCATTATTATACGGCAAGGAATGAAACTCCTAGTTTATTTCTTATTCGATTCAATAGTAAGGAGGCTAAGGAGGAAGTACTGTCTGAACCAATGAATTTTCTGTGTACCAACCCAGTTATTGTAAAACCTTAGAATGCTGGGAAAGGTGTGAACTATAAGGAAGTGAAGCATGTCCCAGTATGGATTCAGTTACCGGGACTTGACCTAAAATACTAGAATCCGGCAACACTTGGAAGGATTGCTAGCACTTAGGCCAACCAATTCCAGCTAATGAATGCACTGCTTCTAAGGATATAGTTGCTTATGCAAGGATCATAGTAGATGTGGAAATCAGAGACTTGCACCCTTTAGCAGCTCACTTTGTGAATGAGGAAGGGAAAGTTGAAGAACAGCTGGTGTACTACGAGTGGAGGCCAACTCAATGTAGTTGCTGTAAAAATTTTGGCCACGGGCAGGAGCATTGCAGGAAGAAACCAACGGATGTAGTTCAATTTCAGGAAACAAAAGCAACTAAGCAGATAAATGTTAATTCAGTCATGGAATGGAGAAGAGTTGGTAAGGCTGGGAAGATTTCAGAGGATAAAGCTGAAAAGCAGGACCATGGTAAGAAAGTACTAGTCATTCCAGATGAAAAAGGAGAATCAGCAAGCCAAAGGAGAGCAAAGGAGTGAGCTGAAAAGGATTGATAGCCTAACCCATAGTATTACATTGACAAATGGCTATAGTTTGTTAACAAGGCTAAATGATGGGAACCCCAGGAATGCATTGGATGCAGAGGAAGTGGCTGATGGAAGACAGGAATTCGATATGGCCAAAGCCAGGGTGAACACTCCAATACACCCAAATTCATGATTAATGCCCTACATTGGAATATTAGGGGTTTAAACCACCCTGTCAAGCAAAAAGAATTACGTAGAATTACTACTGCATATAATACTAGCCTCATATGCGTAGTAGAGATAAAGATGAATGGTATAAAGATAGTTGAAATGGCTAATAGACTTTGGCAAGGCTTTATGTATGGTACAAATTGTGTTGGCCAGGAAAAAGGTTGTATATGTATGTTGTGGAATCCATTGGTTTTGAAAGTAGATGTTATCATTAAGAATCGACAATTTATACATAGCAGGGTAGAGTTAAGGAATTGCAATTATTCTTTTTCTTGTATTTCTGTCTATGGCTCTAACTTTAAAGAGGAAAAAGCTGCATTATGGGAATATTTGATAAGTATTTTGGGAAGTAATAATGAAGCTTGTTTGATGGTGGGAGATTACAACAATGTACTAAACTTTGATGAAAGGACTGGCGGCAATAGAGTTAATTTATCTGAAATCCTGGGTTTCGAAGATGTATTGAGGAGTGCCAACTGTATGATCTAAAACTGCAAGGTCTAAAGTACACCTGGACAAATAAACAGATAGGCAATACAAGGATATACTCAAAGATAGATCGAGCAATGGCGAATGAAGAATGGATGATGAAGTGGCCTTTATCCATAGCAACAACTATGGTGGAAGGGGTCTCTAATCATACCCCTATTCTTGTAAGATTGGATGGAGGTATGTCACAGAAGCCAAAATCTTTCAACTACTTCAATATGTGGAACGAAGATGAACAGTTCTTAGAAGTGGTCAAAAGAAGTTGGCAAGAACCTACAAGTGGCACCATGATGTTTCAGCTAGCTACTAAACTAAAGAGGTTGAATAGTGGATTGAAAGAACTTAACAGAGTAAAGTTCTCTAATATTCAGCAGAGAGTCCTGCAAACAAGAGACCAGTTATAACAAGCTCATATCAAACTCCATCCTAGACCTGATGATATAGATTTGCAAGTAGAGGAGAAAGAAGTGTACAAAGAAATGATGAAGGTAGCTAAAACAGAAGAGAGCTTTATGCAGCAGAAAGCTAAAGAAATGTGGATTCAACTAGGGGATTCCAACACTGAATTCTTCCATGCAAGGATGAAAGCAAGGCACATGAAGAACAAAATATGTTCTATAGTATCTGAGGCTGGTACAATGGAGGATGATTGGAACATAGTGAGTCAGCACTTCATTGATTTCTTCTAGGAGCAGTTAGGGACGAGAAAAGAAAGACAACAATCTCGACTAGGTGTATTCAACTATGGCCCTGTGTTAACATGGCAACAACAAGTTTGGCTACTTTGTGAAATTACCCCAATGGAGATCAAAAAGGCAATGTGGGAGATTGATAAAAAGAAGAGCCCTGGACCGGATGGATTCGGAAGTGGGTTCTTTATAGTTGCCTGGTCTGTAGTTCAGGAGGATATCATTAGGGTTGTGATGGAATTCTTTGAAAAAGGACGATTGCTGAAGCAGATGAACTCTACAATGATAGCTCTCATACTGAAGACTGACCCACCACAAAATGCATCGGAATATAGACCCATTACTTGTTACAATGTGATCCATAAGTGCATATCAGAGGTGTTGTGCAACAGACTTAGACTGATCTTGGAGAATCTAGTTGACACTAATCAAAGTTCATTTGTTCGTGCACAATGTACTCTTGACTCATGAGTTGATTAGATTCTATGGTAGGAGGAATATCAGTGAACGATGCTTGTTAAAAATTGATCTCAAGAAAGCGTATGATTCGGTGGCCTAGGGTCTTGTTGAAGAAATGCTGACTGGTTATGGCTTCCCGAACTCGTTTTCTCGAAGGTTATGGAATGTATTAATACTACTTCTTTCTCACTGAACCTTAATGGAGAATTATGTGGTTTTTTCAAAGGATAAAAGGGACTCAGACAGGGGGATCCAATTTTCCCCTTATTATTTGTTCTCATTATGGAGTACCTGTCAAGGTTAATGAAGGAAACAACTGAGGATAAGAAGTTTCAATTCCATCCCCAGTGCCAGAGTATGAAACTGACCAATATCTGCTTTGCAGATGATCTAATGATCTTCTGCAAAGCAGACATATATACCATCAGGAAGATAATGGAGGTGCTCAAGAAATTTACTGCTACAACAGGTATAGTTGCCAACCCTGCCAAGTCAGAAATTTACTTCGGGGGTGTAGGAGGGGATCTGGAAAAGGAAATATGTGATGTAACTGGTTTTAGAAAAGGGAAATTCCCTATGAAGTGTCTAGGGGTTCCCGTACCTCCCAGGAAATGGACGCAAGTGGACTGTGGGATTTTGGTACAGAAATAACTGCCAAAATTAATTGTTGGAGTTCACGCCATCTCAGCTATGCTGGCCGGTTACAACTAGTGAACTCAATCTTGATGGTGATACAAAACTATTGGACTACTGCTTTCGTACTGCCTTAGTCTGTTATACAGCAGGTTAATAGAATCTGTCGAGGTTTCCTTTGGGGAATCAAGGAGAGTGGGAATTACCATGCACTAGTTAGTTGGGATCAAACGTGTAGGAAAAAGAGCGAAGGGGGTTTGAATATAAAAGACGCACAGTGCTGGAATGAAGCAGCTCCGGTAAAACAAGTTTGGCATATTGCTTGTAAAAAAGACAATTTGTGGGTCAAATGGATCCATGAGAATTATATAAAGCGTAGAGATTTTTGGCAGTTGGAACCCCAGGCAAATTCCACATGGCAGTGGAAAAGGTTATTACAACTGAAGGAGAAGGTAAAGGCTGAGTTTGTTGATTTGAAATGGCAGCATACAACATCAGGTTAGTATACTATATCATCAGGATACAGATGATTAATGGGCAATCATGAGAAGTTAGTAGAGGCACCATTTGTTTGGTCTAGGTATAATGTACCTAGGCATGCTTTCATTGTGTGGCTTCTGATCAAGAAAAGGCTACAAACTAAAGACAGAATGGTCATAACGGGTTTCAGGATTGCTGATCAGATGTGTGTGTTGTGTAATTGCAATCAGGAAACATCTGATCATCTATTCTTTTTCTGTCCATACTCAGCTGAGGTATTAATGGAATTGGTTAAATGGATGGAGGTGTATGGAATTCCAGTGGAACAGAGGAAATGAAGCAGAAGGATCATGGTCATTTGGAAGAAATCAAGACTAAAGAGAAATGTTCTTTTCTGTGTAATTGCAGCAACAATCTACCATCTCTGGGAGGAGAGAAACAACATGACTTTTAGAGGCCAAATGTGGACTGTTAAGCATATAGTGAAGACCATAAAGCATGAGACTAAATGGAGGATTGAGTACTGTTTAATAGGCAAAAAGAAAGATGCAAAAATAGCAATTTTGAGTAGATTATTTTGATTCTTACTTTGCTTGTGTATAGGATAGAGACTTAGATGTAATAGGTAAGCTTTTGGTTGTAAATATGAACGCCATTACAAAAGGCTTTAATATATTTACAGTTTATATAAAAAAATGTTGTCCTTCGATTCATTATTTTTTAAATAGATAATTAAGGTTGCATAATTTGTTCGGTTTCAGAAATACTCTCTTCATCCCGAAATTATAGTCCAATTTGAATTTTTATTGTTAGTAGAAATTAAATTAAAAATAAATATTTAAATTAGACAATAATTATAGAGTAGAGGAAATATTATTTTGTTTGGATTTATAATATTCCAATAATTTATGATAAAAACAAAAATCTAAATGCGATAATAACTCAGAATGGTAGATTCTTTACCAACAAAATTGGCAAAAAAAGAGCGAGGGAATAAGAAAAAACAAGACAACGAAACAAAAGAAATAAAAGAAAAATAAAAAAAGCAAGTGACACGCGTAGAGGTACCCACGTTGCCTAGTACTAGTAAATTAATGTTTTGACGACACGAATCCAACAAAAATCACTATTTTACTAGTTATCATCAGCCCCTTCCCTTCAGCACTAATCACCCTTCTGATTTGTGGGAATAATTTGGTCAAAAAATCCAGGAAATTCTGTAGCCGCAATCATTTAGAAATTTAAAAAAATCAAATTCAAAAACTAAAACCAACTAATAATCTTACTTAGCTACTACTATCATTATTCCTCACCACTTTCTCACCATTATCACAGAAATAAGTACGGTATTTTTACAAAAAAAAAACACTTTTGTGGACCCAACCTATTTGATTCATAAACAAATTCACTCATCAGTCCCGTGATTTTATGCGCCACCGTCCCAACTGTTCCGCCACCATTAACCTCCCTCGTTCCCAGCTGTCTTTTCTCTTCTCTCCTCCATTGATTTTCTCGACGCGTCGCCGTGGTCTTCACTCCTCCTCCCCTCTCCCATTATACAACCGACAACCATAGCTGTCGTAATCTGGGGCTATTCCGAGAGAGGAAGAGTTCAAAGTTTAGTTGAGATCCGCACTGTGTGGTGATTTTTTGGCTTCGACCATTGGAGGTAAACATTACGAACCAAAAAAACTATCGGAAGTTTAGTTATCATTTTGTTTGGAAGGAGACGTCGCTATTACGCAATTCTTGTTTTGTTGTTTTGCATGAATTTGTATGGAGATAAGACAGTTTGGTGCTATCGTTTATAATTGTAGTTTGATGTTTGTGCTATAGCTGCTAATTTGCTGTAGATCTAGCTATGGTTCGATCTGAATACATCTTCTATCCTATTGTTAAAATGCAAGCAATCTTCGCTCTGTTTTCTTTTTACCCCCCTCCCTGGCCGGAATTATATTGGGATCACCAGGAGTTTCGATTTTTCCCGGCTTCCTCAAGTAATGTATTATTTTCATAGGGCATTATATAGCTTTATTTCCCGAAAGAATTCTACTCTGTTGTTTAGCTGAGTTTGTTTTAAGCTTCGAAATTCGTTTGGCAGGTGGTGTCCCTCATTTGGAATTGATTTGGAGGGAACAGGAAAGGTTGAGAAAATTGGGATGAATTGAAGTCTTTGGGGGTACTCTGACAGTAAGGATGAAAGGGGGCTTCTATGGTTTGAAGGTTGCTCAGGTCTCTCTCATCCTCATTGGATTCGTATGCGTTGCTGTTCTTATGTTGGCATGGACCAAAACTACAGTTTTGGATCCACCTGAAGGTGCTGGATTGCTTCTAACTTCAGGTCTTTGTCTACAATATGTCTCATTATTACATCTTTGTTGCTTTTACAGGATTGATTTGGGCAGTATTGGTTGAATGATACAATCATAGACTTAATTATATATAGGAAACAATGTATAATGTTTAAGACTAAGTGAAATTGTTGGTAAGAAGTAGAAGCTTGCTAGCTGGGTTCTATACACCGATAACTAAGTCATCCTTTCTAAATAATAGAAATCATTTAGTCGAGTGCTTCTCTTCATGCGCTTGAAGCTTCCGTACTCAAATTGTCTATTTTCTTTTAACTTCCTTTGTGTTTCGAGTACATTTGTTGTGTAAGATGTGTTCTCACTGCTGTCGTTTGAACTCTAACCTGGTTGCAGGTCAACAGAGATACAATGATTTTTCCAGGGAAATGGAGGAGAAAGTGGATGTTGAGGAACAAATGGCTACCAACAATGCAATCTCCTTCAGAGGGATGGATGAAAGTGACAATGATTCAAATGGTGGAGGTAAAAGACAAATTATAATTTGAATCTGAGCAGCTCTGTGTTTTCTTTCTCCTACCCCCTCCCACCTCTTTCTTTTTCAGTCTTCTCTTATCTTATCTTCCACATGGAGGGGAAAAGGGCTCTTAGACCTCTGTATCTCTAAAATTTCTAAAGTAGCTGAACCTGATGTAAGCTTTTTGATTATCCATCATGACGGTTTTATATTGCGTATTCAAAATACCCTCAACACAGTCTTAGAAGGCTCAAAAAGCTTGTCGTTTCGTTAGGGGAAATTGTGCTTCTCTTTTTTGTTGAAGGGATCACTTTGGAGCTAGGTTTAGTAATTGCTCATGTGTCTTTGTTCAAATGAATTTCCTGCATAAACTGTCATCAGTTGAAAAGTGCGTTAACCATAGTGAACACAGCTTGTGTTAACTCCAATTCTTCGTCATTAACTGGAAGATAATTTTAATAACTTGATCTTTTATATCTTCTTGTAAAAAGATATAAAATGTTTTGTTATCTTCTTGTAAAAACATCTGCAGTAGATGTTTTGTTATCTTTCCCGCCCTGCTGCTCCTTGAAGTCATCTGAGACTTGAATTCGACCCTCTATTCTTCTTGGCTATGCAGATGTTGCATCAACTGTTGAAGAAGGTACTCATAGAAAAGATGTTTCAGAAATTAAGAGTGGTTCAGACATATCTGAAGATGAATCTATAGGATTGGAGAGTTCTGCAAGCATAGAATCTTCTGATAGGAAGGCCTCCCCTTATGGAAAACATGATCAGTATTTCAATTCTCTTATGAAGGCACAAGGTATAGGATGTTTGAGGCCGTGAATTATAAATTTGAAGGACATACTGTCACTCAGATATACTCAGAAGTTTTATTCAAGACAACCCAGATAGACTTATTCTTATAATTAATATTGAGAATCTTTGTGTTTTCACTTTGAATAACAGTAACTCATGGGATTCTATGAGATATAATGTACTAATGTGTAATCTTAGAATTTTCAATCTGATTACCTTGTTTTGAAAAATTTTGGCTCCATGTTATTTTTAAAGCCCAACTACTGCAGTCCTACTGACTCTCCTTTTTCACTTATCTTTTCAGACTGTAATTTTGGCAAAGGTAAGTGGATTAATGATGATTCTCGACCTTTGTATTCTGGGTTTGGTTGTAAGCAATGGTTGTCCCCAATGTGGGCTTGTCGCTTGACACAGCGCACTGATTTCGAGTATGAGAAATTGCGCTGGCAGCCAAAAGATTGCGAATTGGATCAGTTTACTGGTGAAAAATTCTTGAGAAGGTAAGCTGATCTAACATTTTCTTGTCGGACCTGGAATTCTCTTTTATGGTGCCATTATCTGCATCTTTGGTGTGATTGATTTAAGACCTGATCTTGAGCATGGTTCACATGGCTTAAAATACTCTGAACTTGTGCTTGAGCTCTTTGTTGGGGTTAATAAAAGGGATATGCATATTCAATTTTTTTTTCCTTTTGTAGTTCCTTATATGAGGATGTGTGGAGAAGTTGGTTTAGCATTAGCAAGTTGTGGTAGCCTTAATAGACCCACCAAAGAGAAAGGAAAAGAAGGGAAGGGATGAAAATGTGTAAAATGATTCAGACCTATTCATATGGTGCTTTTAGGTGCTGTAGGAAAGCTTCTAGAAAAAAGGGATGACATTAGCTTATATTATGAAGGTCGGAGGAGACTGGAAGTGATTGGGAAGAAAAGAAACACGATTTATGTAACCTAAAAGGGAACATGTCTTTTCGCAGAATATGATTACGAGTTGTGATTTCCGTAGATTCCCCCCAGGATAAAGGCTTAGTTCTTGTTTGTCGTTTCCTAAAAGAGACACTGATTTTTCAGCATGAAATATGTGTAAATTGTGTTAACCTGGAGGAGGGGAAACAGCTGAAGTGTGGTGCATATGACACAGCTGAAGTGTGGTGCATATGACACAGCTGAAGTGTGGTGCATATGACATTTGATTAGGCTTAACTCTCTCTTGTGAAAAGTAATTTTTGCATACACTGTTTAACTATGTTTTGATTCTTTTCTTAACTTTCATTTAGTTATTTGGGGTTTGCTACCTGTAATTTATTGATCAACTCAACCTAACATGGTAGAAACGCTGAAAATAGAGTGGGTTTACTGATCAATGTTGAAGCATCCTTCTGTTGGCAAATTTAGCCTACGTGAACTCTTAAGAATTGATTGTTCTATAACTGCACATTTTGCGAACTTGTTCAAGTTTTTCACTTGGTGTTATTTAATTTACCTTCTTGTATTTAGTGACCCTATTTTTTAGCTTTCTAGTCCATGAAATGAGTCTCATGACTATACTTTTCAGGATGTCCAACAAAACTCTGGCTTTTGTTGGGGATTCATTGGGTAGGCAGCAGTTCCAGTCAATGATGTGCATGATTAGTGGTGGCAAAGAGATGCCTGATGTTCTTGACGTGGGATCTGAGTTTGGCCTTGTGAAAGCTTCTGGTGCTACACGTCCTGATGGGTGGGCTTATAGATTCTCAAGGACCAACACCACCATCCTTTATTATTGGTCTGCAAGCCTTTGTGATTTGGAGCCCCTAGATATCTCTAACCCTGCGACTGATGTTGCCATGCACCTGGATCGGCCGCCTGCATTTTTGCGAAGGTTCCTGCACCGATTTGATGTCCTTGTCCTTAACACAGGACATCACTGGAACAGAGGCAAGCTTAATGCCAACCGTTGGATCATGTATGTTGGTGGTGCACCTAATACTGATAGGAGGATTGCAGCAATCAATGGTGCAAAGAATCTTACAGTCCATAGTATTATTGGGTGGGTAAACTCCGAACTTCCCAAATATCCTGGCCTGAAAGCATTCTATCGAACCATATCGCCCAGGCATTTCTTTAATGGAGAATGGAATACTGGGGGTACCTGTGACAATACTTCTCCTCTAGCTACTGGTAAGGAAGTTACACAAGAGGAGTCCAGTGATCCTGTTGCTGCGGCAGCTGCAAAGGGCACGAGCGTCAAGCTCTTGGACATCACAGCTCTATCTCAGCTTAGAGATGAGGGACATATATCCCGCTACAGCATCAAAGCCACACCAGGAGTGCAAGATTGCTTGCACTGGTGCTTACCTGGTGTTCCTGATACATGGAATGAAATTCTATACGCGCAAATCTAATTCAATTGGTTCCTTTTTGAGTTCATGTTGTAAAGGAACAGCCACTTGATACTAACACAAGGATAAAGAGGAAGGGTCAGCTGCTCCCTCATGCGGCTGATTTGAGGTTGTCGTTGGAGGCAGAAGTTCTGCAAGTGGAGAGGTCAATTCGAGATGCACAGTCGCGGAAAGATTATTCTTCTATTAACTAGCATAACCAATTCTTGATGCCGTAGTACGCAAATGTAAATCACTTGTACACTACGTTTTTTGACTACTAGCAGAGAGGTCGGTATACAAATCCTGTTTTCCCCATCCATTGTGTTTCTGTCCTGAATGTCGCCGGTGATATAGGTAAAATGGTAGAGTTGATATTATGAAGAGAAATGGTAGTTTGAGTTCGATATCTGCATACAGCCCTGCTGGGATGAAAATAGTACTCCCTCCATTCCAAAATAAGTGTAGTTTTAGCAAAATGGAGAAATTCCAAAATAAGTGTCGTTCTCACATTTCAATGTACTTTTTGTCAAAATTTTCAAAATTACCATCAAAAGAGTTGATGCTATTGGTGGACAATTTTATAATGGGGTTGGTTGAGGATATTTAAGTAATTTTATAACTCTATTTAAGAGTTTCTTAAATTATGTGCGAAGTGTAGGACGATACTTATTTTGGAATGAAAAGAGTACTATATCCCAAAACTCCCTAAACGAATCATTGCTGAGCCACCTGAAAATCTGCATTATCATGTATTTTCTTGTCCTTGAAAAAGTGTTCTATTTGTTAACTAATTGATTAATAGTATCCAAACCAAATCCTAATCCTGGTTCATTTAATGATCCACGTCCATATGAAGTTTTTGGTCATAATGTCTATCGAAACCGGTTTCATCAAGACGAGAATTATTACTTGATTGGGAATCTTCATTGTATTTTTTTTTTTTTTTTTCCTTTCGAGTTTAGACCATTTCTAATGTCCAGCACTACAATGCGCCACATGCAATTGTGTTGTTCTTAGTCTGAATATTCATTACTCCTGGGAAGAGATCTCTACAGCATACACTATCCGGTATTAGAATTTATTGCTCTAGTCTAATAATTATCTCCAAATATGATGACATGCTTCTGATCAACCTATACAGTATTATTTTGGGACAAAAAAAATATAACGAGTATCATTATGGAACAAATGGAATACAACAAGAGGTTAAACCATTTTTTGTCAGTTATTCTTATTTTTATTGACCGCTTTCAAATCATAGAAAACTAATGATATTCGAATTAGAACGGTCAAAAAGATTAATAAAGAAAAGGGGAAAAATAAGATGTGAGAACACGTCTTAAACAAAAAATCAATCATCACCCCCTGATCGTTCACGTTGTCGTCTCTTTTCTCCCAGATTCTTTCCGACACAGTCATTTTGTCCCGCGTCCACCACCCCGTCTCCTTCTCTCTCTTTCTCCCTGTTTTTTCTTCCGACGCCTCTTCAAATTACGCGCCACCGGAGCAAACACTCCGATAAATCACTTCGCGCTGGCTCTCCATCCTCCTATCTTGCGGGCCCGCCATTGTACCGCAACGGCGAAGTTTGTATGAAACTGAGCTGTTCATTCCGTAATTGAAGATCCGGAGATTTTGAACGCTCGGTATTGTCTAAGTACATTGTAGGTAAGCATCATAAACAATTAGAAATGTAATTACTTGTGCTATGTGCTGTCGATTTCTGGTCGTATAGGGTATGATCCATGTTAATAACATATGGGTTTTTGATCTGCAACTGATCGATCTTGATTCTTGAAGTTCAATTTAAGTTACGGATGGGAAGGATTGCTCTATTTCTTTTTCTTGCACCGACGCTGCCTAGATAGTTCGTTTCTTTGAGCTTCCTCTTAAATCTTGTATTCGAGTGAGCTTTTTGTATTATTTTTCTTTCTTAATTGGCTGATATGTTTTGTTTAATTCCCCTCCTGGACTTACTTTTACAGGCATTGGTTTGGAACTGAAAAAAGCCGAGATATAAAATTGGGACGAATTAAAATTTGTTGCATACTAGTGGTAGTGAGGATGAAAGGAGGCTTTTGTGGTGTAAGGGTTGCTCAGGTCTCGCTCATCCTCACTGGGTTTGTATGCCTGGCTATCATCGCTTTGTGGTCAAAAACTACATTATTACGCCCACCTGATGGAATTGTATTGTTCCTGCAGCCAGGTATGTGAACCTAAGGTGCACCCATCATTTAATGTCCACCATTTTTGCTGTGGGAGTGTTTTCAGTCTTTGTTGACTGGTTCTAGCCTGAAGAAGTTTTATATAGGATGTTGAAAATTGCAGCCGATGTTTGCTCCATTCATGATAAAGAATTCTTGTGATGTAAAGCGTTTGTTGTTTGTGTTTTAAAGTGAGTGTTGAGGTGATTAGGTGAAGCTGATGCCTTTGAACTTAATATTTCCTGCAGTGTATGGCCTTTTTATGTTCGTTAGTGAATAGAGTTGAATTGTTTCATTTTTAGGCGACACGTAACTTGTAAATAACATTTTTGATTGTTATAGATGTTTCAATTGACTCTACCTGAATTGCTTCATCCAGCACATACCTTTATTATTTCTTTTGATGACGTCAATATTTAAGTTGAGCTCCACTAGGAATGTATTTTTGGTATTCCCTTTTGAATGCTATCCGAGTCTGGAATTAAAACTATGGTAGTCTTTATTGTGGTGCAGAAAATTTTCCGAGGGTCATAAAAGGTGCTCAGGAGAAAGTAGCCCCAGAAAATAGTAGTTCAACAATGGCTAAAAATGCCTTTGTTGCACCAGGAAGCTCTGCAGTCATGGAAACTTCTAATACAGACTCTTCAAAAGGACGACCGACTAATTATTCCAGAACTTCCAGAGAAACCCAAGGTGAGATGTCTAAGGTTCTTAAGGATTTAATGTGAAGCATAACGTTGCATTAGTGCCTTTGTGATTGGGAATTTCCAGGGAAGTAACCGAACGGGTCCAGTTCTGTGGTTCTTTTGATTTTTGTGTGGTCATTCTTGTTGTTAATGGCTTCAATCATATTACATAACTGCATTTAGTAGATTCACTTAGTTTTATTACTGAACAACTTTCACTTCCACTGATTACTGTTATGGATTTTTCAATGCATCATTATCAAGCGGACTTATTGTCAGCATTCTCTGGTAGTATATGAATCCTATTCTAAAAGCCTAAGAGGATTTTTTTGCTTCATTTGCTTTGCCTTACGGGTTGCACATGTGATATTAAATCGCAACTACTGCTTTAACCAACTATTCTATCTATCTCCAGAGTGCAACTTTTGGAATGGAAAATGGATCATTGATGATACTCGGCCTTTGTACTCCGGCCTTGGTTGTAAGCAATGGTTGTCCTTTATGTGGGCTTGTCGGGCCGCAAATCGTACTGACTCTGAATATGAAAAACTTCGGTGGCAACCTAAGAATTGCGAAATGGAAGACTTCACTGGTCCAAAATTTTTAGAAAGGTAGAAGTTTCTATTCTATATCTAAGAACTCAAAATTCTCTTTCATCATACCATTTAGATCTTTTTTTTGGGGGGTAGAATGCCATTTATAATTTAGTTCAGAGCAAGGATTCAGCGCCTTTAACAACGTGCTTCTCTTGACTGAAAATGTTATATCTGTGACCGAGCTAGTGGGGAAAAGAAATCTAGCCAACTTGGGTTGGTATTGTTATTACCTCTACTCAAGTTGGGTCTTCTATCGTGCTAGAACTTGCGTTGATGTTTTGATTATTGTAATTGCAGTTCATTTGAACTTTGAACTATTATGAGAAAAAGAAAGTTGAGGTTTAGTTCTTGTTCATATCGACCTGGTAACAGACTTATTAGAGCCTAGAGGTATTCATTACATTCCAAATTTCCAATTGGTGCAACATTGTTTTTTTTTTTTTTTGGGCAGAAACTGTGGTTAAAATAAGTAGGTGTTAAGTTAAAATGCATTTATTTTTCTCCTTCATTCTTCACATGCCAGTTATCTGCAATTTTGTCGCGAGAAGTTCAATTTGATTTTAGAATGTGAGATCCAATATGTGCAGCAGGATCAGATTTAGGCTGGGTGAACAATGTGCTCCTAAGCAGTCCAAATAAGGATACTATTTGAATTCTTTTGGACGGGCTTTCTTTTTTGTTGTTAATTAGTTAAGTATGACTCCCCGCTATTTGATCTCACTGATGGCTATTTGCTTAAAAGTTAAAATGAGTTACCTTTCTGTACGAGAAGAGATTAGCCTTGGTGGTTTCTCAAATCTTCATTAATCATTTTCACCATTGTAGCTTCAAGTTGACACATTTTTCCCCTTATTCAAGAATTTGATACTGCACCATGTTATTTAATTTTCTCCCTTTTTGCCATATTGGTGAATGCTTGTGCCTTTTCACTCTATAGAGTTACTGGTTTCTCAATTCACTCTCCCAAATTTGATATGCTTTCAGGATGTCCAATAAAACTCTGGCTTTCATTGGGGATTCATTGGGTAGGCAGCAATTCCAGTCACTGATGTGCATGATTACCGGTGGTGAAGAGAGGCCAGATGTTCTTGATGTGGGAATAGAGTACGGTCTTGTTAAAGCTCGTGGTGCTAAACGCCCGGATGGCTGGGTTTATCGGTTCCCAAGCACCAATACTACTATCCTTTATTATTGGTCCTCAACCCTCTGTGACTTGGAGCCCCTAAATACCTCTAACCCTATGACCGACATTGCCATGCATCTGGATCGGCCACCTGCATTTTTGCGTCGGTTCCTTCACCGGTTTGATGTCCTTGTCCTGAATACAGGACATCATTGGAATGAAGGGAAACTTAAGGCCAACCGATGGGTCATGCATGTTGGTGGTACGCCCAACACTGATGGGAAGACTGCAGAGATGAGTATTGCCAAGAATCTTACAGTTTACAGTACCATCGGTTGGGTAAACTCTCAGCTTCCTAAATATCCTGGCTTAAAAGTATTTTATAGGTCAATATCACCCAGGCATTATGCCAATGGAGACTGGAATACTGGAGGAACCTGTGACAGTACTTCTCCATCTGCTGGCAAGGAAGCTGTACAAGATGAGTCCATTGATACTGTTGCTGCAGGAGCTGTGAAGGGCACTGGTGTTAAGCTCTTAGACATCACAGCTTTGTCTCAGTTGAGAGAGGAGGGTCATGTATCTCGATACAGTATTCGGCCCACACCAGGGGTGCAGGATTGCTTGCATTGGTGCTTGCCCGGTGTTCCTGATACATGGAATGAAATACTTTTTGCACAGATCTAAATTGCAGAATGTGTGTTCCCATGGATTGCTGCGAAGCAAGAATCGCCTCTGCGGTTGGCACTGCACTGCTGTTTTACCGCAACACCCGACTATTTTGGAGTCGTCATTGGAGTGGCAAGTTCCTGCCAGTGGAAAGTTCATTCAAGATCAGAATGATGATATATATTTAATTGTTGTTCATTATCCTTGGCGAGATGATGGCGCATTGTTTGTACATGTAAATCACAGGTACCACAGGTAGCAGATACGGTTCTTATACACGGTATGTCCATTGTAGCTTTATGGCAGTTACTGGAAAATGAAGCATCAATAAGGGGGAGGCACAAAAGGTATAGAAAAAGACTTGGCTTGTACCCTTCACATACGAATACTTCTTTTTTTTTTTTTTGCCAGTCATACCAGGTTGAGATTGTACTACAACGGAGACTTTTTCTGACTCGTTACAATTACTCCAAAACCTGCAAGCTGTTCATAAAGTTGGCTGCTTTTTTTTTTTTTTTTGTGAAAAACGTTTCTCAGCTTTGCATCAAATCAGCTTAAGAGTCTATCAAGTTTGGCTGGTGGCTTATCCTAATGATGAACTTACACTGATTCCGTGGAATAATATTCATGTTTGTTATCCTGACATAAACTCTTATTTTGGGACGGATAAACAAAGGAGATGCCATCTCATTTGCCTAAAAAATGCTTGCTTGAAGTGTTCATACAATGCACATTCTTGCAACGGAGAGAAGTGCAGAGTATGTGGTTCGTAAAATGTGCAGTCTTGACTTTGATAAAGAAATCCATCGTATTGTACTTGAATTTTGTCCAGGCATGGTCTGATGGGTTTAATCACGATTTTCTAAGAAACTGTCAGCGCTTTCTTGGACCATTTTACTCGTCCAGCGTATTGGGTGGTTCACACGTTTTGTCGTTATTATCGGTTTTTTTTTTTTTTTTTTTTTTAAAGAAATTTTACTTTCTTTTCTTAAATAAACAAAACTGTACCGGACCAACGCCACATTTCAACATCATACTCTTAGCAAATTATTCTCTGATGAAAGCCATATTTTCTCTAAAAGAACCTTTTTTAATTTTGTTTATCCAAAGTTAAAAATACTAGTGTATCATTAATTGAAAGATGACGAAATCCTTAATCGCCTGAACTAACAACGGTCACTCTCGTCTCATTCATTTCTATAAGGACACCGTCCAAAAGCAGACGGGGACATTTGCCACATGCTCAGGGATCCCATCAAGAACCATATTCCAAATTACTGTAGTTTCTTTTTTTTAAAAACACAATTACACTACAATAATATCAAAAACTTATACAAGGAAAAAATATTTTGCCATGCCGGCAACAAAAAAAACCCTCAACCTCATATGGTTAAACATTTCGTAGATGGCAACAAAAAAAACCCTCAACCACATATGGCTAAACATTTCCTTACTTCCTCCTTTAAAAAAGATATATTTATTGAAAGCTGCCTTAAATTTCCAATTATACAATAAGTCCAAATAATAAATAAAGAGTTTATAATGCCGAAAAAGATTGGTTCTTTTTTCAGCATAAAAATAATTACAGGAAAATAAAAACAAGGGGGAAATGTACTGTGCAATAAAGAATGCGAGAAAATGAACCTTTTTTTATGATTAAAAGAAATCATCAGAGGGAGCTGCGGCAGAAGAATTAGCCGTTACAGGCTTATTACAGAGCCCCCCCCATAGCTTTCTCCGAAATCCTATCATCAAAAAGAGAATCAAAAGGAAGTTGAGCACTAAAGGTACTAATAATACTCCTACGGAATCTTAACCCCTCCTTTCCAAATTCTGCTGCATTTTCCAATTTTCTCAATCCCCAATTTCTCCTGTTTTACTTAAAGCTTTCTGGGTTTTTTCTTCCTTGTAAAAAATCAGCGATCAGAGACCCAAAAAAACAAAAAAGATTACTTTTTTGTATTTCTTCTATGGCGGAGGAGTTTGCGAGGTCGGTAGAAGATGGGATAAGGCTATCGAAAAGGGTGTACTTTGGGAAAGATAGGGCCGTTGCGCCACCGAAGCCGATGATGGCTATGGACAAGATGCCGCCGGAGCAAAATTACCTGCCGTCGGCTGTCATGGTTTATGCCGTCATATTTGATCCGGCAATCGTTGATAATCCCGACGTCCCTAGCTACCAGCCTCACGTGCACGGCAGGTGTGATCCTCCGGCGTTGATTCCGCTTCAGATGAACGGAATTTCGCTCGAAGCTGATTGCTCTCTGGATACGGCGTTTATTACCGTTAGTGGGTCCTGGCGCGTGCATTGCGTGATGGGCAGCAAGAGCTGTGATTGTCGAATTGCTATTCCCATGGGTGAACAGGTAATCAAACTGTGCTAAAATTTTGGATTGTCATCGTGGGATGTAATTGATAATTGTTTTGTGGGTTCGTTTTGGGTTTTGGGGTTTTTGTGTTTGTGTTTGGGTAAATAAAGTTGTGGGGTTGCGGTTGGTAAGTTGGTATCATACCATATTAGGCTCGTTTTATCCCTCTGGTCTCTTTGAAGTTTCAGACGTTATTTTGCTAATTCCAGATACCTCATTCACTTCCAGCATGGTCTATGGTTCAATTAGCACTGCCATTTGTTGGGGGTTTAATTGTTTTCTTTGTTTCCGCATGGGTTTTGATCAGAACTGATAGGTTGGTTGGGTTGCAAATATCAAATGTAGAAAAAAACTGCGCATGGTTTTTAAGCATCAGTTAATAGATTTTTGATCGATTAACTGAAGTGTGGGGAGAATGTGAAATAACATCTTTGGAGTCTGACAAGAGGAACTGAATGGTTATTCCCACCGACAAATAAATACACGGATTGTGGAGTAGTGTTCTTGGGTTATATTTTATAAAGGTATTCTGTTAAGAATCATGGTTGCACTCTGAATATGCTGGCTTGTGTCTTGCAAACTTCTTCTATGTTATGGGGCTTTTACTTCTTACATAAAGTTAATGTGCTAACAAACTCGATGCCAGAAGCTTATCTCCATGTTGGTTATTGACTTAAATCTTCTCAATTCTTTTTTGACTTTTCTTATTCATCTAAGATGTAGTTTCATGCATGTGCATTTGTATCAAATTATGGCTTCACAGCCTTCTTTTTATTCGTGTTGTCTAGCAGCCATAAAAGATTTGTTAATTTGACCGATATTGGCTGTTTCATTCTTCTACCTTACAAGTGCTTTTTACCTTGAATTTTTTCCTGTTTCACGAAATGTGAAAATATGACAATTTTTCGTTCTCAAGTAATATATTATTTGGCTAACAGGGTTCAATTCTAGGTGTTGAAGTTGAAGTTCCTAGAAAATCATATTACACCCAGTTCATTCCTGTGGATGAAGGAAGTGATTCTGACAAGGGAGCGAAAGGTCAAGAAGCTTGCTTTCTGAAACCAAATATTTTCACTCTTACCATTCCTCAGGTAATGTTATGGGATTTATGCTCTTTATTTAAGATATAATAATTTCATCTTAGCCGTGACAATGACGTGTTTGTAGGTTGATGGAGGATCCAACCTTTCCATTAAAGTTAGGTGGTCTCAGAAATTGTCATTTCATGAAGGCCAATTCACCTTGACTGTCCCCTTTAGTTTCCCTGAGTATGTCACACCTGCTGGAAAAAAGGTTTCAAAAAAAGAAAGAATAAAGTTAAATGTGAACTCTGGTATAGGAACAGAGCTTTTGTGTAAGACCACCAGCCATCCTCTTAAGGTATGGTAGTCCTACTGGTTATTAGTTGATGGTTATTGGTTATGGTTTTCATGAAGGAATATACTGTGCCATTTCCAGGAAGTAAAGCGGCAAGCAGGACAATTAGGTTTTTCATATGAATCTGAAGTTCTTACATGGTCAAGTTGCGACTTCGTATTTGTGTGCAATGTAAGTTGCTTATCCTGATTTTCGGGTTTATCTCAATTATTAAGTGGAATATGGGCTTTCAATCCAATAAAATCAGAGATCGTGCTGTCTTTGTGAAGTGGGGAAGAGAAATGGAAGAAACAAAGGAAATTTACATAAATGAAAGGAAAAAATATTAAATTTAATGGAGCTTATTTACCTGTTCTTCTATTGCAGATTTCTGCTGGTCAAACCTATGGTGGCGTTCTTTTGCAATCTCCATCACCGAGTGATGTTGATCAGAGGGAGTTGTTCTACTGCTATCTATTTCCTGGCAAGAAACCCAGAAAGGTTGGTTGAGCTTCTTCGCTGATGGTGTAATGACAATTAGGAGAATATTGATCCCAATTGTGTTAGATAAAGAAAGATTTATAACTTATCCTCCAATTTTATGCTAATAAACAAATATATAAGTAAAGTCAAGAATAAAAAGTACTTTATGTTAAATTGATGATGTGTGTATTTTTCGAAGTTGAAGATTAAAATGATACATCCTTAATATGCTGACTGAGAGTTGGTGAGTTATCCTGCTAATTGTGGTTGCAATCAGTTAAAATGAATTATTGGTGTTTCAGAAAAATTCAAGTTGCCTGCAAATGACAGCCGAAATGCAGTCCTTTTAGCTGACCCAAAAAGCGGGGCATAGGTTTAGTTGCTGTGTTATACGTCCTTGTTTGATCATACGAGTCTTTTAACTGTTTCATTATCATTACTATTGGGTTAAAGATTTTTATTCTTGTGGATTATTCAATTTTATCTTGATGGTTTTAAGTTCATCAAGTTGATAATGTGATGCCAAGCTTGGACTAATGTGTTCCGCCATTTACATGACAGGTTTTTAGAAAAGAATTGGTGTTTGTTGTTGACATCAGTGGAAGCATGAAAGGAAGACCACTTGAAGAAACCAAGAATGCTCTCCTTTCGTCATTATCCAAACTTGAGCCTCAGGACCTGTTTAATGTGATAGCTTTTAATGGGGAAACATACATATTTTCATCATCCTTGGTGCCAGCTACCACGGAAGCTATTGGGAATGCCACTCAATGGATTAACATGAATTTTGTCGCTGGTGGTGGTACAAATATATTACTTCCTCTGACTCAGGTCTTAATTCTCTGTCCATCATCTTGAGTGCATCTCTAATATTTGGAAATTGTGCTTAATCCATGTGCTTCCCAATCTTTCTATCACTTGTTACTTTGAAAGAACTTGTGGATCAGGAAGCACTAATGTGCCAATTAGCATGAAATAGTACTGCTATATTTCCATTTAACAACTTGCTGCAACCAAAATGATAATTATATTCTGAGTTTCAAAGACAATTTTGATAACAAGTTATTTGCTGATTAAATGCCCGGTGGTGAAGGAGTGGGCTTGTTGATATGTTTTGCACGTGATGTGTATCAGACAACAGCAATTCTTACATGAACTTCCTGCGTGTGGTGAACTTTCTTTTCGTTTTGAAGTTCAGTGCTCCTCTCCGTGTTGGAAATAGGCTCAACATACTTTAGTTTGATGAAGGATAGCTCTAAGAAGTTAGAAGCTTGTGGTATCGTCTCTTGTTTTACCATTAAAAGAATGATTTTGGCTCTTATATTTTTTCTCAGTTACATTCTCTTCATGTTGTATTTATCTCTGTTTGTATCTTTTGTGATCTTAGTTATCTTTTGAGTTTGCTCTTAAAAGAATTTTTATTTCCCAGGCAATAGAGATGTTTTCTGATTCTCACAACTGTACGCCAATAGTCTTCCTCATCACCGATGGTGCTGTTGAAGATGAGAGGCACATTTGTGATGTAGTGAAACGTAGTCTGACGGGTAAAAAACAGATATGCCCTCGGATCTATACCTTTGGCATAGGTATGTTTATCTTTCCTATTGTTTCTCAGTGCACGTAAATCATTTGAAGCGTGAAGAATCAAAATGTTGACTTTGGTTTGATTAATATATTCACCGTTAAATGTCTCCTCCCTCCAACTTTTGTGTATATTTTGAGAAACCATAATTAATCTGGTAAAGGATTTGTCTGAAGAATTTATTTCTTGTCTCTAGTGTTTGCAAACAACGTAAGTAATCCTGTTTTTGTTGCCTCACAGTCTTGGGAAACAGATGACCATGTTTGTCTCATTAACTTATTTTATCCTAGTGTTCATCACTAGTAATATTATGCATGCAAAGTAGTTGATTACTAGTTCTGTCCAAAGTATTTTGAGTTTCTGTAAAGATTTTTATGTGAATAGAATAGAGTGCGGGAACTTTGTTGCCTCACAGTTTGTGGGAGAGATGGAAAGATTAGTCTCATTAACTTCTTTTCATCGTGTGTGCCAGTTACTATTTTTTTTCGCACACAAATTTGTATTTTTGGCCAAGATTCTCTTCTCTGATATATGTGTGGAATTTAGATTTTAGAGTGGAATGCTGAATTTTGCTTTTAAACATTTTTCAGGTACATTTTGCAACCATTACTTTCTTCGGCTGCTCTCTTTGATTGGCCATGGTCACCATGATGCCTCATATGATGCAGGTGTGTTCGTATTCTCTTAAAGTATTGGTATGAGAAAAAAATCATTATATTGGCAGGGATAAGATTTTTCTATAAACTGTCACCATACCTTTCTTGTCAGATATTTTTAAATGAGAATATAGTCAACGTACTTCATGATGTTTGAGACTTTATCATGTGATGTCTCATATTGTGCATTCTGTTTCTGTACTATGTGTTACTATGATCGTATTTCGAACTCTTAATGCTATTAAGAGTATGCTTACATGTCTATCTTAATAGAAGCAGCCTCAGTTGTTCTGTATCCTAGAACCTGTAGAGTCTTATGTTTAATTCACTTAATATCAGATGCCATGTGATGTCTCAGTTGTGCAATTCTGTTTCTGTACAAGGTGTTACTATGATCTTATTTAGAACTCTTAGTGCTATTAAGAGCATGCTTATATGAGTACTAATGATGTCTCTATCTTAATCAAAGCAGACACAGTCACTCTGATTCCTAGAACACATTTTTGTTTTAATTTGTTCAAGATCTGGTGGCTACAAATATCTAATGGGTACAATTGCTGTATTATTTGTCAGAATCTATTGAAGTCCGGATCGAAGGCCTCTTTGCCAGACTTTCATCTATCATTCTTGCAAATATTGCCTTTAAGAATCTCCGTGATCTCGACGAATGTGAGGTATTGCATCTTCTGTATCTGAGAGTTTATCATGTCAAATGTGATTCTCTGCTTTGCGTAGCTTGCAATTTGAGCAGTTGTATCATGAGAAACCTATCTCAATCTGCTGCTGAGTACCAATTTAACAATTTTTTAGTTTCAACAGAGTAATAGCTTGAAATCCAAAATTCTTTTCCCCTTCTTTTCCTTATGATTCATTTTTCTAGTATTCAGAAGTTTAGGTGAACATGGGCGAGTTGCAACTGGCACACATACAGATACATAGATGTCTGATATTTGCACATAAAAACAACCATATTTCTCACATATCTTTCACAGAGGAATGGTCATCCTTTTTAAGAGCTTATTGTTTGCCATGATCTGGAATTCTGGATGGTTAGGTGATCTATTGTAATCTGATCTTCATCAACTGGTGGCATAATTTTGCTTTTATTTCAACTCCTTGGACACTTGGTAATGATTTATTTTTACTTATTCAACAAGTGGTGTTGTTATCATTAGGTCTATCCTTCTCGAATCCCGGACCTTTTGGCTGATTGCCCTTTGATCATATCGGGAAGATACCAGGGAAAATTTCCCGATACACTTTCAGTTACAGGGATCTCCCCAGATATGAGCAATTTTGCTACTGATCTGAGGGTACATGAGGCAAAAGACATGCCAGTTCACAAGGTAACGCAGACAAGTGTGCCTTCATGTTAAGCAGTTCATATGTTGTTAATGTGATAATTTCAGGAGTGCTTGATTTCAGTCATTTTGCTTAGTTATGCTTTTTCCGGAAGCCCTATTTCCCTTTTCTAAATCAGCAACATGGTTACACACCACAGAATGGCAAATGCCACGAAATTCTAAATGCTTACTTTACCATTGTGTATCTTACGTACGGTGTAATGTGCGTCAGGTTGACATCAAGCAACAGATTGAGTTACTTACAGCAGAGGCATGGTTTGCACAAAATAAGGAGCTTGAGTTAAAGGTATTTTAAGCTCAGTCACCTAGCATGGTTGGTCATTTAGAACTGTTCTCATCTACATACGTTGACTTTCCTTTTCTGAAGTGATTCTTAAATTCATTAATCAATTGTCGCTCTTTTCTTCATATTAACTGTATCATTATTATGGATTAGTGTTGGATCTACGAATTCCAATGTTTTAATTATGTGGGCTAATTCAGGTTGATTAATTGCACAAGGAGAACTAGAAAAATGTAGGCCAACTACTTTCCTTGTTTGCAGAGACGTTGCAGTTAGATATTTTCGCAACTTATGATTTTTGAGACTGCTCAAGAAACAAAGTTGTACATCCAATCCATTTATGTTGATATTAAAATATTATTCTGATTCTGCTGAAATTTCTGGGATCTGACATCCTTGTACCTACTGTCTTGTAACCAAAACAATACATGATGTTTGTTTTATTATTATTATTATTATTTTGGTTTACTCTCAGGATTTTAGTGGGTTACTCAATAAGATGAATCATTACTCAGCTTCTTGTTCTGTTTACAGATTGCAAAAATGAGTGTGCAACATTCCACTATATCCGAGTTTTCATACATGTTGCTGCAAGAGACTGACACAACAGGCAGACAGCAGGTTGGCCTGGCTTCCAGAGAAGTTTTCACTTGTTGCATTTATTTTACCCCATTTCACTTTGTTTATCTTTCTTTAACTGGAGGTGACTATGACAGGTTTCTGGCAAAGTTGGTTCCCAGAAACCAGAACCTAAACCTCAAAAGATAATCACCAAAAGAAACCTTGGAGTTGGTTTTGGCAATTTGACTGCAACCGCTGACAACATTCCACCAGGAACCGATGAGACAAAACCTCCAGAAACAGCTGAGATCCTAGCGAAGGCAGCATCCAACTGTTGCGGGAAGCTCTGTGACTATTGCTGCTGCATGTGCTGTATTCAGACATGTTCACGTATAAATGACCAGTGTGCAATTGCTTTGACGCAACTCTGTGGTTCACTGGCATGTCTAGGCTGCTTCGCTTGTTGTGACGTATGTTGTGGCGGCAACGATTGATGAGAAACCAAGTCTTGCAACTACCAGATAGTTCTGTTGTATAGTATGGGTTTGATAGATGATGCATATATGGTTTGTGCATAGAAGCACCACCTGTGTGTGCTGTTTTCTAACTTAAATTGAGGTTCCCTCTTGATCCTCCGCCACATAGTATTGTAAACACGGAGAATTGACAGTCAGAAGTCTATACAACTATTTTATCAGTGCTGTCTGAGAAAATTTACCATCTTTTTGGATTTCACCACAGGCGGCAGGTAGTCCGTGCTCTTATTTTACTAGTATTACCACTTTTTGGATTTGACCATAGGCTGGCAGGTTTTGTGATATATAGAGTAAATAAATAGCGTAACATGGATAAAGTTTTATTTAATTACATAAATTATTTTGAGTGATCATACATAGCATAGGAAATCTTATATAAATATTATTATGAGTGATTATACAGAGGAAATCTTATATGAAAGGAACAACTATGGACATAATTTTATGATATGGGACTACATGGGACCTGCTACTTCGGCTTCAATGATTGTTGTTCGTTTTAGTAGAAGCAACAACGGCTTACTTGAAGCTGCAAAATGGTCATTGATACAAACCATGACCCAAGCATTACTCGCATACTTTCTCCTTCCATACATATAATGATACTTGTAGCTATTGTACCAAAAGGAATGCACAAGAACAATTATAGCCAAAGGCGTTCGCTTCTGTTAACTCTTGGTAGCTTCTCCTTAAGCCAATTGTATTGTGGAGTATACATATTACACACCTAATAAAGATCAAGCTGAGAAAATAAATGAAGGAAAGAATCAGTTTTGACCAACCGCAGAGGCAACTCTTGCTTCGCACCTATCCAAGGGAACACAGATTCCGCCTTTTAGATCTGTGCAAATAGTATTTCATTCCATGTATCGGGAACACCGGGCAAGCACCAATGCAAGCAATCCTGCACCCCTGGTGTGGGCCGGATACTGTATCGAGATACATGACCCTCGTCTCTCAATTGAGACAAAGCTGTGATGTCTAAGAGCTTAATACCAGTGCCCTTCACGGCTCCTGCAGCAACAGTATCAATGGACTCATCTTGTACAACTTCCGTGCCAGTAGATGGAGAAGTACTGTCACAGGTTCCTCCAGTGTTGTAGTCTCCATTGACAAAATGCCTGGGTGATTTTGACCTATAAAATACTTTCAAGCCAGGATATTTAGGAAGCTGCGAGTTCACCCAACCAATGGTACTGTAAACTGTAAGATTCATGGCGATACTCATATTTGCGGTCTTCCCATCAGTGTTAGGCGTACCACCAACATGCATGACCCACCTGTTAGTCTTACGTTTCCCTTCATTCCAATGATGTCCTGTATTCAGGACAAGGACATCAAACCGGTGAAGGAACCGGCGCAAAAATGCAGGTGGCCGATCCAGATGCATGGCAATGCCGGTGTTAGGGTTAGAGGTATTTAGGGGCTTCAAGTCACAGAGGGTTGGGGACCAATAACAAAGGATAGTAGTGTTGGTGCTTGGGAACCGGTAAACCCAACCATCCAGGCGTTTAGTACGACGAGCTTTAACAAGACCATACTCTCTACCCACATTAAGAACATCAGGCCTCTCTTCACCACCGGTAATCATGCACATGAGCGACTGGAATTGCTGCCTACCTAATGAATCCCCAATGAAAGCCAGAGTTTTATTGTACATCCTGGAAGCATAGTGAATTGAGGCACCAGTAAGTCCATACAGTGAAAAGGCACAAGTATTCGCCTATACGCCAAAAAGGGAGAAAAATAAATAACATGGTGCAGTATTAAGCTCTTGAATAAATGGGAAAAATGTGAGCTTGAAGCAACAACGGTGCAAATGATGGACTAATGAAGAATTGAGAAACCACCAAGGCTAATCTCTTCTTGCACAGAAAGGTTACGAACAATCTAAGCAAATCGCCATCAGTGAGATCAAATATCAGGGAGTTATAGTTCACTAATTAACAACAAAAAGGAAAGCCCATCCAAAAGAATTCAAATAGTATCCTTATTCGGGCTGCTTACGAGCACATTGTTTCATCGGGCCTAAATCTGATTGTGCTGCACAGATTAGAACTCGCATTCCAAAAATCAAACTGAACTTTTTTGTGAAAAAATTGCTGATAACTGCCATGTGAAGAATGAAGGAGAAAAATAAATGCATTTTAACTTAACACATACTTATTATTTTAACCACAGTTTCTGCAGAAAATGTTGTACAAATTGGAATGTAGTCAAGACCTCTAGGCTCTAATATGTCTGTTAGCAGGTCGATACGAAGAAGAACTAAATATCAACTTTCTGTTTCTCAGGATAGGTTAGAGTTGAGCTGCAATTACACTAATCAAAACATGAATGCAACTTGTAGCATGATAGAAGACCCAACCTGAGTAGAGCTATAGCAAAACCTACCTATCTAGAAATTTTGGACCAGTGAAGTCTTCCATTTCGCAACTCTTTGGTTGCCACCGAAGCTTTTCATATTCAGAGTCAGTACGATTCGCGGCCCGACAAGTCCACATAAAGGACAACCATTGCTTACAACCAAGGCCGGAGTAAAAAGGCCGAGTATCATCAATGACCCATTTTCCAATGCCAAAATTACACTCTGGAGACAGATATAATAGTTGGTTAATGCAGTAGTTGCAGTTTAATATCAGATGTGCAACCCATAAGGCAAAGCAAATGAAGCAAAAATGATCCTTTTAGGGTTTTAAAGTAGGATCACATAACTACCAGAGAATGCTGACAAAAAGTCTGCTTGATAATGATGCATTGCAAAAAACCATAACAATAATCAGTGGAAGTGAAAGCTATTCACAAATAAAACTAAGTGCATCTACTTAATGCAGTGTGATTGAAGCCACTAAAAACAAGGATGGCCAAACAAAAATCAAAAGAACCATAGAACTGGACCCATTCCGTTACTTCCCTGAAAATTCCCAAATCACAAAAGCATGAATGCAACGTTATGCTTCACATTAAAATCCTTAAAAAACCTCAGACATCTCACCTTGGGTTTCTCTGGAAGTTCTGGAATATTTATTTGGTCGTCCTTTTGTGGTGTCTGTATTGGAAGTTTCCGGGCTTCCTTGTGCAACAAACGCATCTTTAGCACTTTTTGAACTATTATTTTCTGCACCACGGTAAAGACCACCAGAGTTTTAATTCCAGACTCTGATAGAAATTCAAAAGGGAATACCAAGAACACATTTCCACTGGAGCTCAACTTAAATATTAATGCTAACAAAACAAATAAACAAAGCTATGTGCTGGACCAAACAATTCAAGTAGAGTGAATTAGAACATCTAAACCAAAAATGTTATATTTACAAGCTAGATGTCGCCGAAAAAGGGAACTTTTCGTCTCTATTTCCTTAAGAAAGCATAAAAGAGCCAGTACACTTCAGGGATTATCAAGTTCAAAGGCATCAGCTTCACCTAAACACCTCAACACTCACTTCAAAACACAAACATCACAAGAGTTTTTTCTCAGGAATGGAGCAAAAATCAGCTGCAATTTTCAACATCCTACATAAAGCTTTTTCTCAGGCTAGAACCAGCCAACAAAAACCGTGAGAAAACACACCCCCTGAAAATGATGGGTGCAACTTAGGTTCGAATACCTGGCTGCAGAAGCAATACAATTCCATCAGGTGGGCGTAATAATGTAGTTTTTGACCACAATGTGATGATAGCCAGGCATACAAAGCCAGTGAGGATGAGAGAGGCCTGAGCAACCCTTACACCACAAAAGCCTCCTTTCATCCTCACTACCACTAGTATGCAACAAATTTTAAGTAATCCCAATAATATATCTCGGCTTTTTTCAGTTCCCTCCAATTCAATGCCTGTAAAAGTGCAGCACCTATGAAAGGAATTCCAATCAGAAAACATACACCTTAAGCTTAGTTAGTAGCTATGCACGAGGGATACTGAAAGAAAATATATCAGCTAATTAGGAAAGAATAAGCATACAAAAAGCTCACTAACAATACAAGATTTAACAGAAAGTTCAAACAAGAAAAAGATATGGAACAATTCTTCCCAACTGGAACTTAAATTGAACTTCAAGAATCAGGATAAATCAGTTGCGGATAAAAAAACCCGAATGTTATTAACATCGATCATACCCGATACGACCAGAAATTGACAGCAAAATTGCACAAGTAGTTACATGTCTAGTTATTTACCATGCTTACCAACCATGTGCTTAAACAATACCGGAATGAACAGCTCACTTCATTCAAACTTCGACAACGTGCCCGATCAGGGGTGATCATTGTGTATAATTGATTGTGATTAAGACGTGTTCTTACGTTTTTTTTTTTAAATCACAATCATAGGGTCCTTGTCATTCGAATATCATTAGTATTATCATATGTTTTGAAAACTATTATTTATACTGTATAGGGATCAATGAAAACGAGGATAACCGATTAGAGAAACTGTTCCATATCAAATGTGATAAAAGACACAATCTTTATAACCTAAGACCAATTCAGGAAACAAGAGTTCTCGATTAGAGCAATTCAGGAGAAGTATTTTTTCAAATCCAGTTTCCGATACGTATGATGTTTTCTCTTAGTTTGGCAATGAACAGCTAATGTACATCGTTGTGCTCCTATCATCTGGGACAATGAGGATGCCAAGTGTGTTAAGGATGTATTCGACAATGATTATGAGATCAAGTTGTTTGTACACTTTCACACTGGTCAACTGATTCTTACAACATCGGACCGATTCTCATAATCATGATTAACTCCGATAGATGGGGGTATCCCATGTGCCCAACTGATTCTGGAAAACATTGAAAATTAACTTAGTATAAAAAAATTAAAAAAAGAAAAATTCCAATCATGCACCTAAGCAACTGCCACAATCAACAAGGCCAGCTCAAATATGAGAAAAGAAATAAAAAAAGAATCTTTGAATTAAGATCAAATTGCTCATAAGGATCTTAATTATAAATTTTAAGAGCCACCAAATAAAGAGGAAAACCCATATCAAAATGTACAATGCAAGTATGATGAGAACAATATGACACAAGGAAAAATTTACATCTGAGTTAAATTTAAAAGCTGGATCAAAGGGTCAGATCAAGTATTTGCACAAACCTTCATCAGCACCCTTCAAGGCATTTTCAGGCTTCGCATAAGTCGACATTACAGGAAACCTGCGCATCAAAATATATCAGAAAACAAATCAGTAATGCAAAAAAAATGTAGAGCCCTATGATCAAACTACGGCAAATCTGGAGTTCAGATCAAGAAGAGGGAGAGTGGAAACACAGCAAACAAACAAATCATGATCCGTCTAGCCAAGCAGACCAAATTGATGCACAATAATTTAAATAGAGGGTGATAAGACACTGGTGAGAATGTTTTAAATAATTGCTTTAGGGAAATTTATTACATATACTTCCTCTGGTGAGAATGTAAGGCATTTGTAACAACATAGGTTTGCCCTCGAGTGGTTTGGATGGGGCTGCTCTTCGATTGTTACCGGAACAGTACTGTTATCAGACAAACAGAAAAGGGGATAACATCAGCGGCGGCGGCTGCTGGATTGCTAATATAATCTTTCCATATCTGTGAGTAATAAATACAGAGCAAATACTTTATTTATACCGGAGTCAACCTTTCAAAACCAAATTTACTTGGATTAAACCTCGACTTCAATCCAAAAACTGAGCAACAAATTTGTTACAAGCTAGTCCTCCTCCTATGGGTTAATTAACCTTTTCCTCCTGCTTTACGTACGTCCTCCTTTGCCCCAAAAAAGTTGGAAATTTCATAGCTTTGGTACTCATCATTCAACGGTGGCAAACTACTATCCGCCCTCCTACTCTCCGGCATCCGCCTTTCCATATACTTTTTCTCCCCAGAATTTTGTTGAAAAGAAGAAGAAGATATAATTTACGAGAAAGAAAGCGATCGACATCATTCTGGCTGCACAAGAACAGGCTATTGACCCGGTTATGGAAACCATCCATAGCTTGATCCGAACAACTCGCCCTCTGGGGATTTTTTGGATTCGTCGTGATGAGAATGTAATATCTCATAAGTTTGCTGAGTTAGCCAAAAATAGTGACATGGATTGTAATTCTTGGTTGCACATTCCGGCAATCTTCAGTCAACTGCAGCTGGACGATTTCTAGTATACGTGAAATGAAATCTACTTTTTCTCTTCAAAAAAAAGCGACCGAGTTGACTAGGTCGCAATATTCATCAATGAGATATCATCGATTGAACTACCTAAGTTATCATAATAGTTCATACAATTTTTATTTTTTTTTTGCCAAATATATCCATGAATGATGTAAAATATAACTTGATCCAAGGGATCAATATGATTTATCTGCCATTGATTTAAGCGGGGTTAAATTCTTAAATTCAAATACTTTTTCTCCCCAGAATTTTTTTTCTCTTAAAAAAATCACCCAAGTTCCAAAACGATGTCGTTTTTCTGCTGGGCCATAAATGAAAAAGTTTTGAAACCCTGATTCACAAATTGACTGATCGTCCCGTTTCTTCCTCCCCTTCCCTTCTTGAAATAGATATCAGAATTTTTTGCCGGCTAATCGTTTGTGGGTGCCCTAGCTTAATCGTTGTGAGTCGCATGTGGAGGGTCAAAAGTGTTAAAAAGATGTTTCAAAAGAGATTGCAAATTATTGGATGGAAAACCGCTGTTGAAACTCTTTGATGATTATATTAGGGTGTATTCGATGCACTAGAAAAGAAATGGATGCATCATAATTTTATTATGTTTTGCATTATTACTCTGTTCAATAAAAAGATATTCTCTTCGTACTTAATATAATACATTTTGATTTGTCTGAGGTGAAATTTAGTATGCATTTTTTATCGAAGAAAAAGTCATGTAATGTACACATTTTGATTTATCTTAGGTCTCACTTAGTATGTATTTTTTATTAAAGAAAAAACCTAAAAATACATATCAACGTTCGTTGTGTTCTCCTAATTATTAGAAAATATTTTTAAGATTTTTTTTCCAATTAAAATTACATACTAGGTCAAACCTAAGACAGATCAAAATGTCTTATATTAAGAAAATATGATGCCTCATGTTATAAGATGGGAGTAAGGGAATGTGATGCCTCATGTTTAAATGATTCTTACAAATATTCTCAAAATAATTAAATGAGAATTTAAAATAATTATTTTACTCGATTAGAAAAATTCCACTCGATTATATTTCCTTTTTTATTCAAATTATTTTATTTGAGATGGAGTATTATGAAAAGTTTAAGTTCATTAAAATTAATAATAATATATTTTTACAAGAAAATTCTAGGGTCTCATTGCTTATTTTGAAGGTTTCGAATCGTTAAATTTTAACCAATAGGAAATGACACATCAATATAATATTAAATTTTCCTAATTTTTATAATTTTTTGTGACATGCTAAGTAGGTAAACTTACCAAAATTTAAAAAATTGAATAATTTAGGAAAATTGTCTTCTTTAATTATATGTATTGCATGAATAGTTATATATAATTGCACATTAATTTATAAAGCATATATTGCACGTAATTAATTAATAATTAATTGTACCATATTTTATTTTTATAATAAGTTAATAATAGATATCCAAACATTATGTTTTTGAGGATGTAATTGCACATACAAGAAAAATACATTCAGTTTCAAAGAATAAGGTGTGGGGGTATCACTCCCGTTCAATGGATCATGTGACTCCAAATAATGCTGCTTGGTTGGAGATAGGGACCCACCAACTTGGGATTCATTCCTCAAAATAAGTCATTTTATATTCCCAACTAAATAGATGGGTTTGATAAACTCAATTGAACCCTTTTTTTTTTCCTTCCAACTACCCTTCATCTTTCTTCTCTGTCTGCACTTCTTTCACCACGTCCGCCATCATCAGCATAATCTCCAGTTGGGATGACATCAATTAGGCTCATAAAATTGGGATTTGCAGAAACAAAAATGGTGGACAAAACTGGTAATGGAGTAAGCTGCGTCAACCGATAACAATGGTAGGATTTGGAGTTGTTTGGGGTGAGGAGAGGGTAGGAATGGAATTTCAGACCAATTTCTATTTTAGTAAATATATGAACTAAATAATTAAAAATTACTTTAAAAATAGAGCTTTTATACCCATTCCATTCATCAAGCTATGAAACCCATGTCTGAGAATCATATCATGTCTGAACCAGGCACCTTCTGAATTATACCAAAATTTTCTATAATTCTTAATTAAACTTTATTTTTACATCACAGCAAAACCTACGTGTGATGGTGTATTTGATCATTAAAAATTGCACCTATATTTATACATAATTGCACATTGACTTAAAACACATTGCACCATTTATTATATAAGTTTTTATTTAGTAATTTTATTTTTTTATTTAGAATTTTCTTATAAGTATTACTGAGCGATTATTAACATATTATTTTGAATAATAGAATTTTATTTGCAATTTTTTTTTTATATATTTTTGAGCATAATAATATATTTTTAAACATAGTAAACAAGAGAACTAAACAATTGCACACAAAACACAACAAACAAAGATAGACAAACGATTGCACATTGTTAAAAAAAAAAAAAAAAATCATTGCACGTGAAACCTTAATGTCTAGGGCGTCCAATTGAATCTAACCATTTTTTTACTCTTGATTTCAAATTGCTAGCTCACTCGTTGAATCTCTGAGTACTCAAACCACATAACCAAATATTTTAACAACCAATTCGTCATATCTACTTATTTATTGAGGAGACATAAAATTCTTCAATTCTTGTTAATGCCTTGCCAGCATTCCAAAAATTTGTTCTTTATTCCATTAATAACTACACGACTGCAACAATAAGTTAATATTGCCCATTACCTGCATTTTTTCCCACCAGCTATATATCTTAGGGTCTTGTGTTTTGGCGGATCACGGTTAATTTTTGTTTTGTTTTTTTTTTTTGTTTATCGTATTGAGTGGCAAGTGCATTTTCATTTGTTTTCTCATCCCTGAAGCTGCCTCATGTTGTTATGGCATTCTGGAATTTTTTTGCTAAGTATTCATAATTATTGTCCAGTTTAAATTTTTATTTTTAGTTTAAATTGTACTAAAAGTAAAATCTCAAATTGGACAATAGTTTTGGGACGAAAGGGAATATTCCAATGCTCTGCGCTAGCATTATTGCAAATTAATGGATGAGAAGTGTTTAGATCAATCTTGATTTCTGTTTCTTTTTGCCTTCTTTGGAAAGTGGTCTTCAAATAAGTTACGTTTTGATATCTACTGCCTCCTTCTTATGCTTCACCATGGCACCGTTAAAGAAAAAAAAAATCTAAAAAACAGAAAAAGAAAGAGCAACAGTAGCGAGAGGAAAAGAAAAGAAGAGGGAGAAAAAGAGGAGAACGAAACGGTTTGAAGAGAGAGAAGAAAGACTCCAATTAAATTTTATTACCATATATAAATCGTTTTGGCAACCGGTTACCGGTAAATTGACTTTTTTATTTTTTTGTTTATTTAATGCAAATTGGTTGTGATTAATTTAGATTGATCTAACGTTTGTTAATTAAATAACGGAATGATACTATAAAAAGTAAATATTAATAATGGGACTGTAGCTTTACCCTATTTTTACATTCCCAATATGTTTAATGATTACATTACCAATTCTAAACATTATAAAGACAATTTAGATTCTTTTAATGAGTTTACTATTTTTTCGGTACAACGAGTTGACTATTTTGACTACGACTAAAATTATCACCCTTTGCTGCACACTGAACCCACCCTATGAGGGGTGCTTCGGCCAAAAAAATTTCCAAAAAAACAAGTGGACAAAATTATTATTTTTTTTAATTTTAGGTAGACAAAACTAGTTGTCCCGAATTTATCAAATCCGAATCTATCCATTTTCTAGTAGATAAAATTATTTTTTTTTCTATTTTAGGTGGACAAATCTAGTTGTCCCGAATTTATCAAATCTGAATCTATCCATTTTCGGGTAGATTCGAATTTGGTCCAATAGAAATGATGCATTAGATAGTTGTATTACAAGGAGATTTCGGATTTGACGTGATAACTAGATTTGTTCATATTACTCTGGGACATATATTTTTGTCCAGATTTTTCCATTAAAAATTATTTCGGTAAAAAACTCCCGTAGGAGGTTTTGTCGCCACCTGATGGAAGATTGTATTATAAGTTCTACCTTTAAAAAAAGAAATTCATAATAGTTACGTAAATTTTATTTAATATCAATTTTGAATGGTCATTATCAAAAAAAAAAAAGAAAAAGATTTTAATGGTATATAGTTTTTTTATTTTATTTTTACAAGTCATCACCACCCTTTATGTTAACTTCAAGCTATAACTTAAAAATTTATCAAAGGAATGGTCGCACAATACGTGACAGAGATCGCACTAGTTCCATGAAAAGTTAAACTATACTTATCACATAAACGCAATAGTATATTTCCAATGACCGATTGATTAAATGAAAGTAAAAAGAGACATATGAGATGATAAACGAAAGATAATATATATTAACAGTTTAATATATATTAACAGTTTAACTCAAGAAAATTACAGTTTAACACTACCACCATTTTTCTTTGACATTTGTGGAGTGCCTACCGAGAGAAATGAGATAATCACGTTCATGTACACGAGCCTCCAATTAAACGAATAGAAAGAAAACCGACACACTAACTTAAATTTTGAAAAATTAAAGTTCCCAAAAGGATCACCGGATTGGAAAGAATCTCTACAAAATGACTTGCATTACGTAAATTTGAGTGAAAATGTGCTTGTCAACTGAGGACAATGGCAAAATATGATCAGTTAAGATAAACGCTTCTTGTTGTTGCCCCATCTATTGTGTAAGTACATCCGAAGCAAGAATGGCATGACAGAAAATAATGAATGTAGCATGATCCTTGACACATTTGCAAATATTTTAACAAAAAAACTTCTCGTCAGTTCAGAAGTGATTGCCTGATACATGAATCTGCGTCTCTACCTCGAGTGCCTCCGGGCTTGAGTGATGAAACTGGTTCGAACTAGCTTAACATACTTGCAATGCAGGTTTTTGTTTTATAGCATACTTGCAAGGCTGTGGTTCCACATCATCATCTCCAGAGACCTTTTCCAACAGAGACGCTTTCATAAGGTTTGAAACCTGACCCTGTAAGACACACAATCTGATACATAGGTTCAATTGTAGAACTCCATCTTCCAGCGCAAGATTTGTTGCTATGATGACAGCACATGAAATTCGTCATCAGTCACTTCATCATCCATATTCTAGACGTGCTCTTGCAGCATTCACGGCACTAAAACATCGTCGCTCTTCCCCTAAACTAAGATTGTGAATGGTTAGACATGAAACCACATCAAACAAATCAATTTAGAGGACATGAGAATCTTATTTTCTCACCTTCAAATGCTCAACCCTTCCTCAGCATTAGCCCAAATCTCCACACAATTCTTGTAGTTCCAGCTTCACCTACTAGGTCATTTTCCATCTTCGACATCACATATGCTGTTTAGCCTAAGGGGGCAACATAAACACAAATGAAAAAGATCAACAAGGTATATGGAGTTCTACAATGTTCTCAGAACTACATTGGATTCAGCAACACAGCATCCAATATACTGAAATGGAAGATTGAAAAATAAGATTGTCCGAGCAACTTCAAGACCAAGAGTAGCAGGCAAAACTCTGCTGTTAGAGTGACAAGCATCATCAACTAAGTGATATTGCTCAAGCAGATCTGAAACTAAAAGCAACAGACAAAATTATGCTTCAGTAGCTGAATGCTTCACCAACCCAAACTCAGGATGTAGGAAAGAACCAGGTAACAGTAGCTTGAGTTTACCGATACACATTATAAGCAAAAACAATGCAGGTTTCATAAGTTGAAAAATATGCACTCTTGTGTAAAAATACAACAGTATCTTCTACTATCTGGAAACAGAAAAGAAAAGAATACAACAATAAGTATCTAGATAAATGATCCCAAGGCAGCATTCAGAACAAAATTTACTTTTGCCTTCTCCAGTTTCTGCTAGCAAATAATTATTGTAGTGTACAGCAAGTCAAAAAATTTGTTCCCGGGAAAGTAAGCAATGAACTCACTCACAAGCTTTTCCAAGTTCATGCAAATTCTGATAGAGCATTTCTGTGATTCTCTGTCTACAGGCAAAAATTTGTTTGTTCAGTAAGATCGAACCCCTTATAACTCATCTCTTTCATTAGTTTTCTTGCCTCTGCAGTTTGACCGAGTTTTAGAAGACCCTTCACTACAATATCATAGCTCCACTGATTTGGTTCAAGCCCCTTTTTCTGGAACTCGTCAAGGTACTCACAGGCAAGATCTACTTGGCTCCTGCTTAGTCTTTGCAACAGCATATTGTATGTGAATGTGTCAAGAGGAAAGGATTGACGAATTAGTTCTTCCATATTGATAACGTCTCGTTTCCCTCTAACAGGCTGAGAAAAGGCATCCATTACCTTGCCGAGATTCCAACTCTCAGATGTCAAATTTTGCAGATTCCGAGACTTGGTCCAAACATTGAAGAGGTCACGAGAACCCCACGAGTGAAATAGCAGTACATTTCCAAGAAATGATGATATGCGACGACCAATTGATAACAAATCATCAACAATTTCTATGGCCACACTATACCGTCTCTGAGCGCAGAGCAACTTCACAAGCTCTTCATAACATTCACTACTAGGCTTCAGTTGGTTCGACCTCATCTCCCAGAAGCTCTCCAGTGCATAATCTACCTTCTGCGCTTTGCAGAGACCAACAATAAGTGAATGCCAGAGCCTCCTCTTTGCCTCCCTTCTCTTACACACATCACGGAAAAAATTCAAAGCATCAGCTATTTTGTCGTTCTTCAAATAACTTTGCAACATAAGTATGTCAGACTTCACGGTAGGCTGAATACCGCTCCTCTCCATGATATCATAAACTTGTCTAGCCAATAGATATTTTCCAGCATGGCCAGCTCCATCAATAAAGAAATTGTAAAATGGGCAGGCCGATTGATATCGAGACATTTGTATCTCTAGCAATCTGAAGAAATGATTTTCTGGATTATCCAGCTCACATATACAGTTAATAACATCCCTGAAAAGTTTCCTGTCTGGAGAGTGACCCTTTTCTTGCATCTCTATGAGAAGACTAGCTGCAATATCTCCCCTACCTGCCCTGTAAAAACCCCTTATCAAGCTGACGTAAGCATTCTTACCAGGTGTTTTATTTAACCTGCTGAGCTGCCCGTGTAGCAAATAACCTTCCTCCAATTTCCTGGATGCACACAGTGTTGATATGAACTTATCATAGATTGACTGACTAAGAACAAAATCCTTCTCAAGCGCAACAATTACCACCTCTATCATTTTATCGAACCTCCTCTCCCTACAAAGAACATCAGCAATAATAGAAAAAGTCGTCTTACCAGGGAGATAACCTTGCTCAATAGCATCTCTGAGCACACGACAAGCATTATCAACACTGGCATCCCCGAAAAGACTATTTATAAGATAGTTGTAAGCCATGGTGTTCACAGAAAGGCCAAACTCTGCCCTGGAATTGTACAATCCCATCGCAATGTCCAACATTCCCGCTTTACAAAAAAAGCATAAGGTAGCACTCATGGTTACAGCATCAGGCAATACATCATGCTCTTTCATCTCTGTCAACAAGTCAAACACCTCCTCTAGTCTATTCTCCCTCAATAACCTACGCAACAAAGAATTGTAACGAAATACATCAGGAACATAGCCGTCGAGCTCTTTCTTGCCCCTCATAAACTGAAACGCTCCATCAATCTTTCCGGCCTGAACAAGATCCCTAATCCAGACACAGTAAGTTTGCTCCAAAGAAACAGTACCCAATTGCCTAACCTCTTCTACCAACTGAGCAGCTCTATCAAACTGTTTATCTTTACACAAAGCATCTACAAAGATGGCCAAGAGAACCCCATTGAAACCCTCCTTCTCATTCAAGTTCCTGCCCATCAAACACCTAAGATACTCGTCCGCCCTATTTAATTGTCTCTGCCTACAAAACCCCTTCACCAAAATGGAATGCGTGAACGCACTCTCAAACCCGCGTAATCTGATCTGCTCAGCAATCGAATTAACCACATCAAAATACCCCTGTTCAACCAAGGAATTCAACAAGACATGGTAAGAGATGTTATCCAAGTCCAATCCCCGAAACCGCATTCTACCGAACAGGTTGAGTGCCATATCAACTTTGCCAGCCACGCAGTAACCAACCACTAAAATGGTGTGGTACTTGACTTGATACGAATACTTTTGCTCCTTATAGTCATCTAGGAAATTAAGCATGAGGGACATGAGCTTCGCCCTGGACAAAATTCGAAAGATTGCGTGAAAAGTTGCGGTTGTGTGCGTGAACCCATTTTGCCGCCCAGCCCAATCGAAGAACTTGAGGCACGAAAGTAAATCCTTTTCTGAGTTCCCATATTTCAACACATCGAGAACTAAGGACGTCGTTAGCCGGAGGTTAAGGCGGTCGAGCTCGGCATCTAAGGAAACAGCTCCGTCTGGTCTGCGGAGAATCTCGAAGATTTGTTCGAATAAAGGTTGTTTCCGGGACAAGAACCATTGCTTAAACGGAATCAGAATATCGCTGGTTTGTAATTGAAGAATTGAAGACGTAAGGAGGGGATTTATATTGATGTGGGAGGTCTTGCCGGCAGTGGCGGCGGCGGCGGCGGTGGAGATGGAATGAAAGATGTAAAAACGTAGAGGGTATACAGAGGATTTTCTAGCGCATCTAATCATTAGCATTTGTGAAAAGGAGGAGGTTGGATTTTTTGATGCTAAGGGAAAGAAAATACTGAATATCAATCAGACAGAAGAAGGTCGATTCATGGAAGCAGGAGACTAAGAACAAGGTCATGGGCTTGTATTAGCAATTTAGCAGCATTTCACGAAAATCTCAAAGGTTACAGTCTTTATATTTTCACCCAAAAAAAAAAAAACATAGTAAATTGGTAATCATAAATTATTTAAAATCTTTTTTAAAAATTCAACAAGAAATCTAATTAACTAGGTATGGACAATGAGATTTGTAATTCTCATAAGCTTTACTCCACCAACAACCTTTGTCAAATTATAATCTTTGATAAACAAATTTTTATAATAAGAAAATATCGCATCAATTCAAAAGTGAACATTTTTTTCCTTAGAGAAAATGTTGTCATATCAAGATTAAAAAAGGAAATTATGTACGCGATATAATAAAAATAAATAATGGAATGAGCCATCAACATATACATAAAAATACAGTAAAACATTTATAAATTAATATTGTTAGGAGTCTAGAAAATAATAATTTATAAACGTATTAATTTATCGATAAATTAATAATTATTATTTTATCGATAAATTAATAATTAATTAATAAAGTCCTTAGAGACATTGTAATTACTGTCATTAAAACTTGGACTTAGTATGAAAATGATGATAATTCAGTATTTTCAAAACCAATAACACAAAAGAAGTACTTAATAGGGCAATAACTTTTCGAATTCATTGTTGCAATATGAAAAAATTACACCAGAGTTTTTGAAAGCAAATGACAAAAATCAAAGATGAAATCTCTTTAGATGTAAATTTTTTTTAAAAAAAATATACGTTACTGAATCTATATTTTATAACTCCTATTTTTTTTAATATTTTAAGTCATTATTAATTTATGATATTGACGGGACCTATATTATCGATACTTTTATTTTTTGTATTGGTCCATACTTGGAACCGGAGAAAATTATTAATTTATATATGTTATTAAAAATTTACCGATTATTAATTTATAGATGTTCTACTGTACTCCTTTGTTTATAAACTAGTGAATCGCAAATCTACCCTCAAAACTTAGACTAAAATTATAATTGACCAAAAAATTTATTTATTTATTTATTTTTTTGGTGAAATAAAAAAATGCGTCATTCTTTATTTCCTTAAATTTAGTTAGAGGCTAAAGGTTGGTTAAAATAACATCTTACATATGAGATGTAGAATTAACATTCACAAATTTAATACAATATTTTTTATTAGAAGGTGAGCTGATTGAAGTAAGCAAAGATAATGTGCGGAAAATGGAGACTATGGTTAATGATCGTATGAAATGTGACAGTTTAGGCATCACTTTTTTAATTAAAAAAAATAAATTATTTTTTCAAAAAAAAAACCCAAAAAAAAAAACCTTTATATGTACATCAAACTTTTTTTTTCCACTATGTGAAATTGAGTATATAAATCCTATGCCGTCATTGTACTCATCAACAAATTTATCTTCTTCCAAATTTATTTCAAGTCAGGTTAATAAAAACAACCACTTAAAAAAAAAAAAAAAAATCCCTCTCTCAACAAACAACATGAAGCAAAATGGATGTGAGGAAGCTTTTGGACGTTTGCCTATTATAGCCCAATTTTGAGTCTCTTAGAATGAAGCTGGACCATTTTGTAGTTCTAAAATGTAGGAAGTTTGAAACAACATGGAAACGTGAAAAAAATAGATTTGAGGAACATTTTCGGCCTCTTTAAATTATAGCCCAATTTTGAGTTTCTTACAATGAAGCTTGTGGGCTTCGTTTAATCACAGTCCACATTTTCTCGTATTCTGTAACCTTTAAATTAAAGGGCTTTCAACATACTACAAATGAATGCCTACTATAGCTCCTCAATGAGAGGTTGAAACTGCTTATACGAGGCGTAACAAATCAGGCTTATCTTGTATAGTCAAAATGTATATATCTAGTTTAATACCGCTGAATCTAACGCTAGAAAAAATGACTTTTGATTGGCCTAGCTCAACTCTATCTTCATCAGTTGACTTGTGTAAACCGGGCTTCCTCAGTATATTATATAAAAAATTAAATAAAATGAAAAAATAAAATAAAAATTAGAGGGCTTCCCTTGGACATTGGGATGGAATTACATCGATTTTATTTTATTTTTTTTAAAAAAAAATCGTAATAAAATTGAGAACATCATGTCTGACATTTTGTAAGACATTTCATAAATAAACATAAAATAAAATAGTTGTAGCCAATGCTATTCTAATTATAATTGTAAGACATCAACTTTTTGTAAGACATTTATCTTTCACAAATTGGGAACATCATCTCAGTACTCCATGGCATATACTCCTTTCGGTTCTCATTATAATGCATTTTGATTTTGTCATTGTTTTCACCTAGAATGTGTTTTTAAATGGAGAAAAAATCTTTAAAATATATTTTCACCTAATTATCATGAATTATTTTTAAGGTTTTTATTTCAATTAAAAACACATTCTAGGTGAAATTTAGAACAAATCAAAATGACTTATAATAAGGACCAGAGGGAGTATGTTACACATACCGCTCGAGATTCCTTCTCTTTTGCTGTTCTCTCTTTTTTCTTTCTTTTTTTTTTTTTTTTAAATTCTATATTAAGAGACCATAAGGGATTACTCTTATTAATTTGCATCAAATTTATAACTCTGGTCACAAATTCTCCCAAGATTTATCATATATATAACACCATATAAATATCCCCTTTGTTATTATTATTATTCCACTTTAAAAAAAATAAAAAAATAGTTCACATTGAGTTTAGAATTTGTACTAAAAATAGTATAAATTCCAAAACTCAATGTGAATTATTTTTGTGGGAGAGAGGGAGTATTTCATTTTATCTCCCAAAAATGGTCCAGCGTGGGTTGTACACTTGTGGTAGGTGTGTTGAATTATTGAACATTTCAATGTAAACTAAATCCACCGAGTTAAAGATAGTTCAAAGTCAGTAGTAACAAAAAATCCACTACAGAAATAAACAGCCTCCCCAGTGTTTTCTACACTCTACTTTCTCTCATCAAATCCTGATATTTTTGCTAAAATTGGCCTTTAAAGAACACGAAGCTTCTTTTTTTTTTATGATCAGCAATGATGAGCTGGTGGTGTTGAAGAAACGTTGTGTAGCATTTGGAAACTAATGTCTGACCCTTTTTTGATTTATTGTTGTGCCTTTCCTAATAATCAGAAAACTCTAACAACAAAATTCCAATTCCGCATGAACCAAGTGGCCATTTGTGGTGCGGGTGCAACATGCTCAAGTAGCTTTGTAGGGTTTTGGCGTTCCTTCCTGGTTTTGATTCATACATGTGTGTGTGTGTGCGCGCGCGCTTACTGATTTCTTGCTAGAAAGCCGCCACTGCGACTGCGCTAGTTACTACACGATATTCAGAAAAATCCAAATGTACAACTATACATTATGTAGAATTGCAATGCATGGGCAATTGTTGAAATCAAATCGTAAGATGTCAAGGATCATCAATCTTTTAAACAATTTCCGAATCAGATATAGATAGATGGACGATTAATTAATAATTATCAAAAAAACTCAGATCACATTTAAGTTGAATGTAAATTAGTTTAAATATGATATACTTTCACTTCAAATTCATCACGATCTGTGTATATTAATAAACTGATTTGAAAATATTCACATGTCCAGTTCAAATCTCATCTCGAGTGTACTTGAAACTAATAAAATTTGCAAGCTGCATACATGAAAATTTACCTTCAGTATACAATACAATGCGCGTGTTATTTTCCGGTGACAATATTGCTCCATGGAATTGATACTCTTTGTGTCAATATTGAAATTGCAAAACATGTACTATAAGATTTTGCCACGGTCCATTTAGATTTGTAGTACGAACTTCCAGTTTTGGAAACTCAGGCTTATGCAAGTTTCCCAAAGTTTCCCAAAGTTTATATTTGTGACAGATCTCTAGGGTCAGAAATAGCGGCTGGAATTTTGAACAAAACTCACATGCCCTTATGGTTTGTTGCAATTAATATTCATTTTCCAAAACCAAAAAAAAAAAAAAAAAAGTGTTTGCTTACCTTACTGGAGAGACCCACTCCCACGTTTCATTGCCACTGTGTTTTTATCACAAAAGTATCCTAAAAGAGTTTCCAACATTAAAACGAGTACTTGCAAGCAAAAGGGGGATCATTTTAGAGGGATTTGTCTCTTTGGAGATAATGTTCTTTAAATTTGTTGAGGATTATATATGCTTCTTCTTTTCCATATCATATTTTTTTCATTTTGGGTTTGCAACATTCCTTTTACTGTTTCGTTGTTGATAGATTTTGAGTTGGAAATCAGGGTAAATCAAATTTCCAATGCTGCTCTCAAAAATGTTTGGCCCGCGGTTTGGCGCCTCGGTTTGGAACCTATATGTATTGAGTTTTGAGTTCAGACCAAGAAGCCAAGTATGCGAAGATAGTAGTGAATGATCATTTGATCATTTTAACTAAAGTATAGACTTACTATATATGTTTTCAACGTCTAAATAATTTTATTTGGAACTTCTCCTTCACCTTTAAATCAAAGTTTCATTCGGTGTTGCCAATCATTGTTACCTTTATATACCTATAAATCCTTTAAGTAGAAAGATTGACCATCTACAGGAACTCATGAATATTTAGGAACACATGCATGTAAGCATATAAGTATCTACAATATTGATCTTAATCATGCGGATCCGATTTAATCCAGTGGGGGACCGATCACTTAACTGCCAATACTTAAGCCTAATTTCCAAAAATGTTGCGCACACGAGAAAATTCATGGACCACAATTGACTGAATCTGTGAACCCTAAACCCCAAAATAGCGAGTGGATTTTTTGTAAATCGTCCCAAAATATCAGTCAAAAAGGTTTCTAGTTTGTACTAGTACTACGTGGGATCAACCTTAATATGCGCTCCAACCAACATATGCTGCAGGATTATTGGGCGTTTTAAACCAATGGTTTATGATCATGATCATTTGATTACTGTTTAATCTCAAAATTTGTTGTTAATCCCATGATCACTAATATTGAGCTATTCGTTATTGCTTTTTAGGGAGATGTGATGGAAATAGTTTATGTAGGAATAAGAAACATTTACATGGGATAACTCAAAAACTTGAGAAGTAAACAGCCAATAAGCTTGCTTGATCTTTAGACATATACTAAACATAGATCAAAAGATGTGAAGAATGTTTCCCGTAATCTTCTTTTTCAACCCAACAAATATATTTTAAAAACATTACGGGAATTCTCAGATCATTTTTTTTAATAAAAAAAACGCAGTTAATTGGGAAGGGGGCCAGGAAGATTGTGTTGGGTTGACCTTTAAGGAAGAAACACACGTGTTAACCTAGTATCATACGATCAACATCCATCATCTATATTGTCATTTGACACGTGTGGGGGATGGCTGCGACAGCCATTGCCAACTTGATTGAGGTGAGAGAGGAAGGAAATTTTTTGGGGGATTTTTATTTGGCCAAATCAGAAAACAGATTAACAAAATAGAAAATTGATTAAGGTCCATGTGAAATATTTTTTAGGCGACAAGTTCACGTGTATTTGTATATGGGGGTGGTGGTGTTATATAGGAAAAAAAGGTTTGGAGATTGCATGTAAAGTAGGGCATGCCATGATCTATTTACGGAAATTTAACCAAAAAATAATTTAGTCTTTAGCTTCTACTACATTCTTGTGCGTGTCATAGTACTTGATAAATTTGATAGATGGATGTTATCTTAATTGGATAATCCATGTTGCAAAATGGGAAAAGAAAAATAAAAATCAAATAAGATACCTATCATGTAACAAAAACGATAATACATATGTATGACGTGTCAGTTTTTATAAATCTGAGTTTTCATATCAGAAATTGAGATTGGGAATGTCTGTAGTTGGCAAGTGGCAAATGGTGCAAGACTTCGGGCTTGGTCGAACCAACTAGTATTTTCATCCCCCAAAATTATACGTGTGTTGGGCTCCTATCTCAAAACCAATTGGTAATAAGTGGGATGTCTTTTAGAACTTATATACTGAATTACTTCTTTTCATAGTGGTGATGTGGGACAGATTATACACCTTAACACCCTCCCTGATATCCAATGGGTCTTTGAACTTTTTTTTTTGCCCAATGGACGTGGATGAAGACAAGAATAGAATAGCCCACAAATCAACGCTCATGTGGGGGAAAGCCAGTTATACCGCTGTTTCGGTTCACAACAAGCCCACGAGTCAACGCTTAAGTATGAGTTTTTGAACTTTTTTTTTTGCCCAATGGACTTGGATGAAGACAAAACAGAATAGTCCACGAGTCAACGCTCATGTGGGAGAAAGCCAGTTATACCGCTGGTTCGGTTCACAACAAGCTCATGAGTCAGCGTTTAAGTGGGAGAAAAACCAATTATACCGTTGAATCGGTCTACGACAAACCCACGAGTCAATGCTCAAGTGGGAGAATATAAAATCACCATGGGCCACCTCCAGCCCAGAACCACCACAGACCCAGACTGCTTTAATAAAATCACCATGTCAAGGTATTTAAGTATTTTGGGTTCCATCTCAAAACCAATTGGCAATGAGTGGGGTGATCTTTGGAGCTTATAAACAAGTGACAGATCATTCACGACGACACCGATGTGGAATTCTTTGTCCCAACATACTGTAGCCAAGTCTGAAAATGACGAATGCTTGAGGACAATGTATTATAATTCCTCGAAACTGTTGGCTGTTCGTACACTGTTCAGCATTTCATCTATAGAATTGGGTACACCAATTCCACAACTTTCATATAATTGTGATAAATTAAATATATATTCACTTCCACAACTTGCTGCGATAGGATTTAGTGTCATTGTACTTACTATAGCACCAAGTACAAGAGCGAGTGTAAATTAATTATCCCTAATACTAGGTTGAAAATGTGGAATATCTACTTAGGACTATTAGTCGGATCTTGTGTTTGCAAATTTTACAATATAATTAACTCTATGCTAGTTGTACTTGGATTCACTTCACATCTCTTGCTCTGCAGATTTTCGTCGTTGAATCTTAGTCAAGTTGCATTTTGGATTAATTTATTGGTATTGATTTCAGAGGATTTTAACCATCGGCCCCAAGAGGATGTTTCTATAGGGAAGAAAGAACTAAGCAGCAGGTTTCGTTAGAGGACAGTTTATGTAACACAAATATTGCTTCAATATGTAGTACATTCACTAAAATTCCATGGAAGGTCGTGGAAAAATGTTGAGATGTTTACACACGGGACATGAGTAATATTTACAAGTTACATACATTTAATAACACATCCCAAAATTATTCGATATTTTTTCCATCCCAAAATTATTATTAGAACAAATGAATAAATGATAAGACAGTGAATTTATCTCGCAAGAAAAACTTGATGAACGAGTACCAGATGTTCCGTATTGGAGTAACACACTAAAACACTTTGATCCATTGAAACCATGCATATGGGATTCATATAGTTGCCCTAACCTAAAGTCCAATCAATCCCATACTTTTTATAAATCTTTCCTTCCATTTCTATTTTTTTAAGAACCTAGTACGCACCTATGTAGTTGTCTGAGCATCTGGTATCCCAATCATTGCTTTTTTTGACGTAAGAAATTGTAATACAAACTGATGAGCGATGAGGTGATCTTTTCTATAAAGAAGATTTGGAGTTTGAGAAGTATAACAATTCTTGTAGTTTCTATAATTGTGGTTCGCGGATAATGTTATGGTTTCCTTCACGGAAGACATTGCGTTCTTTGAACCTACGTGTTTAAGGTGTAAACTCAAAATAAAAATCATAGGAGAATTCTGAAAACCAAAAAAAAAAATTAAAAAAAATCATTGGACCAATTTTTCTTACCTTTTTCTTTTAGAGATGTAAAGTTGTAAACTGCAAAACGCTTAATGTGGTTTAGCTAGGCCATCTTCGACCGTCTTCGCAAAAGTGTGGATTAACCCTAAAAGTCCTTCGAGGATAAAACAACATTTGACTAATAGCATTTTAGTTTCATGAACCAAATTTTGTAGCTGATTATTTGACTTCCTTTGCAGCATATGGACCAGGGAGTTTTATAAGGTTATATGATCCTCCACATGGTATTGTTCCTTGATTAGAATATGATATTATATGTGTCTCTTATCTAAGAGATGTACTACTAATTTAATCTAGATTTATGCCTCTTTTCATTGAACCAAAAAAAGAAAAAAAAAAAACTATCATATTGGATATTGGTGTATACAGTCAATTGATTTGTTATTATTGTTAACAAATAATGAATCATGTCATATTATAATTTGTATTTCTTTTGTACCGAAATTATTATTTAGTTTCGATTTTTATTATTAGTTGAATTGTACTATTAATGAAAATCTAAACTAAATAATAATTTTGGGAAAGAAGAAATTCTAAATTACTTTATGGTTAAACTTTGCGTGTTTAACCAAGGTGTGATCGGTGAGCTATGAGCTGTGGATAATTCCGCACGACTAACAATCATATGCATCACCGCCTCCATCCATAGAAAGCTGGGATTGATTTGTCTGCTCGCATTACCCAAAAAAAGAAAAGAAAAGAAAAGAAAAAGCTTGGGGGTGGTGAAATTTACAGATCAATATGCACAAAAACATGTAGAAATTCACCAGGATAAAACTCCCATCTCTCGTTTGACTGACCATCTCACATTCTCACTGCTTCCAAAGCATTAACCTCAGCTAACAGCTATGATTCCCCTTAATAGACGTAGAAAAAGTTTACCTAAAATGTAGTTGTCGAAGGAAAATTCCGATAGCAGCAAGTCAACGATCAACTAGAATAGGGACCTATAAAAGAAGGGTTAGCACTCTGATGCCAAAGTAAGTCTAGTAAGAAAAATAAAATAAATACATATTTGGAGAGAGAATGAGAAGTGTGAATTAACTTTCTGAAATAAATGTCTTGGAAATATATAATTCACTATTTAGAAAGTGTCTAAAAATGGGACTCATATGAAACTCATATAAAACTCATATGTCTTTGGACCGGTGGCCTGTAATCTTACAAAGCCCATAATAAAGCCTCATTGGGTTTTGTCAGATATTTGCTTTATCAGTAGCCACCAAATGAAATTCGATGAGATTAGTATGAATGCAATAAGTAACGCCTTATTACTTTTTCAAAAAATAGTTTATATTAAGTTTTAAGTTTTATATTGAAAACAATACAAATCTCAAAACTTGAACCGTTTATTTGTTATTTAGAACGCTTTAGGTCTATCATGTCCAAAACAAAAGGATAAATTCAGTACTTATATAAGGACATAATACCTCAAGACAGAAAATGAGCAATTGGGAAGAAGAAGAAGAAGAAGAAGAAAAAAGAAACATTATAAAAAGGGAGACATGGGGAAACCCGCTTAGGAAATTGAACCAAATAAAAACCAATACCATACCAGTTTGGCCGTGATAATATTTTCCATTTCCCACTAGCCTCTTTAGTTCAATCGTCTTCCTGTATTTAAAAGTTCGATCTGCTTAGCTTTTTTCTTTGGCTCGTGGGATTTGCAATCTTATTACATACCAATTGTTTTTCCAATCCCTTCAGCAACACATATCAAAACTCTGCTTCAAATATTCTCAAGTGGGCTCAACATTCTTCTGCAACAACATGAAGGTAAGGGAATTACCAGATAATAAAGAAATCATTCAAAATTATGCAGTTGTGGACTCATTCATGATGTTGGAAATTCGATTTTCCAGATCTTCAGTTGGATGCAGAGTAAGCTAAGTGGCAGCAGCAATAAATTCAGCAAACCAAATACTAATACATTACCAACTAAAAGTGAGTGAGTTGCACATTTTCTTCAACACTTCTTCTTATTGTCCTTCAAAAAAAAATACTCCCGTCCCAAAATTATTGCCCAGTTTGAGATTCCGCTTATAGTACAAATTATACTAAAAATGAGAATTCATCAACTTATATTGCATTTGCCATTGCAGATCATCTGGTGCATGAAACATCGAAAGAAGAGTTCAGTGATTGGCCGAGTGGATTACTCACTATTGGGACATTTGGAAACAACAACAATAATCATCAGAGTTCCAATGTTCCAGGGGAGACTGGTAATCAGAGTAATGAAGATCAATCGGAAGAAATAACCAATGAGGAATTGAGACAGCTCCAGAAAGAATTGAAACTAATAACGAAATCGACATCGAATTCCGATTTCGGTGAGGAATCGCCGAGAAATGGCCTCCAGGCTGAGAAATTCCTGGACTTTCTGCAGAATTTGGAAGATGAAAGATCAAGCAGCAACAATCAGGAGAGCAGCTCTGCTGTGTGTAACAAAGGGAATGATGATCATTTGAATAATAATAAGAAGAAAATCTGTAAAAGGTCACTCACTTTTCTTCTCAAGAAGGCGTTTCACCGCACAACAGGGAAATTCAAGCTCAATACTCCACCATTAGCCGACCCAATTCGGGAAATGAAACTGGAAAAATCAAGGCTCGAAAAGGTGAGCTTTTTTAAGTCCAAGAATTCTCTTTCAAAGGCATCCATTGTGATGAATATTTATAGGCTCATTTCGAATTGTTAGTGCAGATTCTGAGGACTATGCTGAAGAAGAAAGTTTATCCCCAGAATAATGGTCCTCATGCACCCGTAAACAAAATCTTGGATCAAAAGCATCAGCCTGATTTTGACAGTGATGATGAAGCATCGGATGATGGGAGTGAAGGGAGTAAATGGGTCAAGACTGATTCAGACTGTGAGTTTCCATATCATTCATTTTTTAGATGCCAATTAAACCCCATCAAAACTTTTTTTCTATTTTTCCTCTAATGAGAAAGTGACAAAAGATCTATTCTTGTGGTTTGCAGATATTGTACTGGAAATATGACATCCCCTCAACTTTTTTGCCAATTTCAAAGAGGTAAAGTTACATTCTTTTATACAAATTCCCTGTCTCTGTTATCTTTAAAATACACTAAACAAAGTTCCTTGATTGTGTTCGCAGAATCAAAATGTGATCTTTTGTCCAGATTGGAATGTAAAAAGCAGGACTTTTGATGGATTCAGCATTGTGCAGAAACATATTATTGTGGAGTATATCTGACATAAAGGCGCTATGATCAGCAACAAAAAGAAAGATGTCTCCGAATAAAAAGACTTCTACAGGAAATTACAGTCTTCTCTTTTTTCTTTTTCTTTTTTTTTTTATCTTGGCCAAATTGTATGATAGCAATCCTTTTGTTGTTATAGACATGGTTCCATATGATCCATGATTTTTCTACCTTTTGCGCTGAGGTTGCATTGTTTAGTATTCTTGGGTCCAGAGAGATGGAATCATAGTCAATGCTCAGTGTTTATGTGGATTTGATGAAAAGAGTACAAATTGAGAGTTGACAGAGATGAATGATCAATGGTGTCTGAATTTCTGTCTGGGATTTGAATGTGGTAACAAATACAATCATTCTAAACTGGTATTTTATCAAATCATCATTCAATTTGAACAAAGAAAATGATCCAAATTTCACCAACCTCAAAATGCCTAAACACAGGTGTCAAAATTCAAATTCCCTTTAGGCTTCTACAGCCGGAGCTGGTGAAATTTGATTACAACATTTTTAAGCATCTCCAATAAATGGAAAAACAGTGCAATCTAAGTTTTGTGGTAATCAAAAGAGTTTGAGCACTTTCAGCACCAAAAAGATTGTTTCATGGCGAAATGTTTAGCTGAATGATCGAATTTTATGCGAATACCTTATTTTAGGCCACATTAGGCAGGTTACCAAGTCTAGTCAATGAGTTGGGGTACTCTAATAACGGCCCGACAAAATGTTTTTCTCCAGTATTTTTTGGTACAAGAACCGTGATGTAATCTTTAGTACGGGATACATATCGTACTCAAACTAAATTATTCCTCTAGTTTATCCACATCGCCGATTTACCGTGCTCAGCAAGGTGGTCGGCGAGTTGGATTTTTAGGATTATATCATATGTATTTGACAATACAAAATAATACACATACTAATGCTTGAGGGCTAGTTTATGAGCACCATCAAACCTTGTACTTGCTGGCATATGAATGTTTAGCAGGATCAATCAATTAAAAAAATTGGCATGGGATTTTCAGACCCTTTTTGAGTAATGATCTATCATTGTTGGCGTTTTCATAATTAATGTTTATTCCGGTACATGAAGACATGGAATTAAAGTGAGTATTTCCAAAGAAGATTAATGCTAGATTAGCTTACATAAAAGTGGAAAGCTCAAAAAATATTAGTTAGGTGCCGACTGCTGACTTACTGCATAGTTCTCTACCAAAACCATTAAGTACACTGACTAAACTATGTGTCTGGTACCAAAACTTACATATTTTTATGATTTCATTTTCCCCGAATACTCCTTCCGTCCCAAAAAAAGAGTCATGTTTGTTAAGTTGTTTATAACAAACATGATTTTTTATTGAAGACGTAAGGAGTATTGTTTTACTTACAGCCTGATGCATATGAAACCCAAGGAAATGGTTTAAAAAAATATTCAGAACAACAAAGTCAACCAAGCTTGAAGCTTTTTGACAGTGATAAATGGGTATTATGCTATGATGGAACTTTACAAGTCAGAAAGGGAGGAACATTTTAGTAATGATCACAAGAGTGAATAACGGACTTTTTCCTGGACCAAAAAAATGATATCTTTTCTGCAAAAAGAATCAGAAAACCCACCGACCAGAGGATTTTCACCAGACTCTTCACTCAGAAAAATGAATAACTTTAATGTTAAGTAATGATCCCTTTTCATCAAACCTCTCTCCTCTTTATATGATTGCATCCTTTTAACAAAGTTGGAAATAATGTGGATTTTCTGGTTTTATATAGACTAGGATTTTCTCTGAGTTTTGAATAAAGGGGTTACTTTGTATTAGCCCCCATGTCTTCTGGAAATACAGCTCTTGCTGCATCGCTTGCAAGTTATCTTGATAGTATGATCAGTGCTTCTTCTATCTGTTTTTTTTTTTTTGTAAATTTTGTTAGGGAAGTCATCTGTTCTTCACTTCTCAATTCTCATGCACATTTTATAATGTGGAAACTTCAGCATGGTGCCTACTGTTTTTAAGATGGCTATAAAGATTGTTCTTCAGCCTGGAAGTTGATGCATTTGGTACCTTTTGCAGGAAAGATTCTTGTTCTGTTACGCGATGGAAGAAATCTGCTTGGTACACTTCGTTCTTTTGATCGATTTGGTACACTTTTTCGAAACCTTTTCAGCGTTGCATTACAACTTCCTTTGCTAGGAGAATTGTGGTTAGATTTGATCATTTCTAATCATACCTAGTTTTGCAGCAAATGTAGTTTTAGAGGGTGCATTTGAACGAGTAATCGTCGGACATCTTTACAGTGACATCCCTCACGGGCTACATGTAATCCGAGGGGAGAATGTTGTTTTAATTGGTGAACTGGTAACGACTAATTCTGTTCTTCTGAGATACATTTTCTGTGGTCTGACATATCCCGAGAACTTACCAGCTCTTCTCTGCTTATCATGAAGGATGAAGAACTGGATGAACTTCCCAAGCACATGACCAACGTTTCAGCTGAGGAAATTCGGCGGGTAGAGTTTTCATTGCGTGCTTGAATCTTTATGAGGGCAAAATGTCTCTTTGATCATACTACCCAAATCCCGACTTATAAAACTTATCTTTCAGGTGCAGAAAAATGCATCAGATTTGAAGGGTTCAATGCAAAAAAGATTAGAGTTTCTTGATTTCGATTAGTGCATAGTTCTTAGTGAGGTTCCATATTCACTGGAAGCTCACTAGAAGATCTCCTCCATTCCTGAGTTGAGAGCTTATGCCCGAAGGAGCAAAACACCACAAAAGGCAACAGCAGAACTTACTCTGGTTCCCCCTTTTTTTATGACGACTCAAAGCCTGAAAATTGGTTTTCCAGTTCACAATTTCACATTGGTATTTTATTTCTATGTTCTGAACAAATCATTACACTCCAATGTTGGATGATATGCCAGTATATGAAGAGCAATAGACATAGGGGTATTACATCGGCCGATATGGCAGTCATTCAAACATAGCCCACAACAATCATCTCTAACAGTACAATCTTGTAATCCAGTAACTAGGCTCCTCCAAAATTATTCAACTAAAACTCTTACATGTCAAAGCATCAATCTTAAGGAGAAACATAATCCAGTTATTCAGGGAAGGTGAGCAAAGTGATGAGAGACTCGTAGGCAGGGAAACGAGAAATGAGCTCAGAGCGCTTAGCGAGTTCAAAATCCTCAAACTGGAATCCCGGCGCACAGGTGCATCCCACAAGAGAGAAGTGGTTCTCACCGTTCCTAGCTGGTTTTTTAACTGCCTTTATATCACTAGAAATGTCTATGTCATAGGTAGGGAATGAACCAAACCAGACATTTGGAGGAACCGTGTACTGCACTTGTTGATTATCGGCAACTGGATCGGGTCCAAGGCATGTGATTTTCACACTACCGTCCTCATTTAATTCCACCACCTGTAATAACCCAAAAACTAGCAGTTACAAAGATTATACTTCAATATTGAATTCCAACGGCCAACCGAATGAAAAACACACAACTCATTTCAAAATTTGCAGGAGAATTTATATGGAATATCAAATGGTTCCTTGGAAACTTAAAATAATACTAGATTCAAATGAACTGGAGGTTTAAAACATGATCTCACAGAAAGAGGCTCCCCAGCATAAAAATGCCATGTTTCAGCACAAGGAATCCGATGCAGATGCGATACACTTCCCGTAGGCAGCAAGAAGTAAATGCAGGTACTAATCGGGCGATCAACCTTGTCTGTAAGAGGAAATAATCGTAGCAACCATACTCAGAGAACAGAAATCACAACAGAATTCATTGAGCTAGATGAAAGTAACATATCCATTAATGTATCCAAGCCCTCAATTGTTTACTCCAAATACGGGTAGAAGTTGGAGCGGTATACAAAGAAAGCAGCATCTCCTTAGAGACATTATATGAGTGGCAGGTACTATGAGTCCTCACCAGATAAACTCAATTGACAAAATACTTGGTTTTAACAGATGCTGATAACATAAAAAAAAAAAAAAACAGATACTAATGTTCTCAAGAACAAAGTGATACAAAATTAGGGTTCCTGAACCTTGCTCCATAACCAACCATAATGAGTAGCTTGATTTGAAGTTGCTTTTAACTTACAACGTAATTCATGCAAATTTATGCAGAAATATTCTATCTTGACCTCGTAAAGAGTTGAAAATCATATCTCCTGATGTCCTATCTCCATAGTATACAGTGCATGCTATTATATCACTTCGGAAAGCAGGCAATCAATGTTGCATAAAGGAGATATACAGGAACACACTCAATCCAACAATCTAATCCCCAATACCCAGGATAAGATCAAAAATCAAATGCGATCCAGAAAGGAACCTTGCTAGCACAAGATACAAAATTTGAATATTTCACACAATTGCACAGACCATCTCATAAATGATCCCTGTAAACGGCAAAGGAACTCAAAAACCAAGGAACCCATGAAAAAGGAACTGGAATAAGTAGACTTGCATATGTTTCAAAGCCAATTGCAAAAAAGGAGGGTGGACTTACATTGAGGAGGAAGTTGAGATTTGGAGAGGATGACGGAGTTGTCCCGCAGAGTTTCCGAGTAAAACCCACCTTCGGGATGAGGTTTTAGATCAAGCTTCGCCACAATCTTTGAGGTTGTAGCCATTTTTTCCCTTTCTATCTGGCGCTCAGCCCACTTGTAACTCTGTAGATTCAAAACAGTGCAACCGGATGCTGCAATCGGAGGCTAAGGTTGGTAGGGTTAAAATAGTACCAGTAAAAGATTCTAGTGAAACTTTACAGTCATTCCCCGCTACCAATATTATATCTTTCTTTCCAGTTTCCTTTCCAGATTTTCATTTTTTCCACACTCGATAATGTTTTTTTACAGGGACTTCATTGAATTGACTATTGTGAACTCAATTGATAGAATGACACGTTTTGTTTTGAGTATCAATTTTCTTCTTCGAAATCATAACAGGTAAAAGTCACTGCATCAATTGACCGGTATCATTTCGGTGAAATTACCGGTTTTCGAGTAGTATTGCTTCTATCTAGTTTGCAGCTTCATTGCGTTCCAATCACGATTTAACTTCTACAATGGAGTATATAAAAGAAAAGCTAAACAAGCTAAAGCAGTCAACAATACATACTCTGTAGCCAAGCAAGCAAGCATTTTTGCTAGCAAACCAACCTCTCTCTCCCATTTCCGTCTTTTCAATGGTCTCTATATGGATGGCGATACCACCGACAATAACAAAGCAAAGCGAAAGGTTCTGATTGAGAACTAAATCGATAAACCTTTCCAGCGTCTCAATTTTCTTATTACACAGAAACAACAATATTAGTTCATATATTCTTTGCCACAGAATTTCTCAAGAAGACCTCCCTACATTTTTCAAAACTTGCTGCATCAATCCTTGCAAAGATCCCCCCATTCCAGCACTAACTGCTTCTGCAAGATATTTGGCCTGAAAAGACAAAGGTCAACAAACTTCAGAAACCAGTAAACTTCTTTGAGTAAACACTACTACTTAAGAGTGGGAAACACTGGTAGATATTACCTCCTGAACAGTCTTTTTCAGGTCAAAGGCATCTCTAATTCGTCCATCCAAGAATGTCCATGTATCTTTAAAATCTATTATAGCAAAGCAAAAGATAAACTAATAAGTAATCCTCAGGAACTCACTGAAACTGCAGTGTCATGTGTATAGCGCAGATATACACACACACACAGAAAGAGAGAGAACTCCGTAAATTTATAAATCTATAGTGCCCGAACAGAAAAAAAAAAATGAAATAAAAAATCATCAGAAGCATTTGAGGTTTCTTAAATCATAGATGCACGTGAACAGGGGATAAACATTGAGGTTGAAGGACTAAGAGAAACGGAAAAAAAACAAAACAAAACATCCCCAAGTATAGAGTTAAATTGAAAGAGATAAGTTTCATTTACAAATACTCCCTCCAATCAAGAAGAATCCACTTTTCACTTTTCTGTTGTCCCAAATTACTGAGTTCCTTTCAAATAGAATCATCAATATGTGAACTAAGATTGTTACATATAGCTCACAGCTAAGTAATAAGGATAAACATACGGCTCATATCACATTCATGATAAGTTTATACAGGTGAGAAGCGAACTCTACTCTTTTCAGTATTTTATTTTCATTTTGCTAGAGGCGCTGGAGAAGTTTTATGAATTTATAATATCTAGCTTCTTCACAACTTCTACAGGAAAGAGTACCGGGGGAAAGCCTAATGAGAAGTTAAGGGACACAATGATACAGTAATAGTAATACCTGGCGATGCATCAGTTAGCATATACAGCTCTGTTGTGGAGTATATCCCACCAAGAACAGTGCGCTTCACATACCAATCAACATCAGTCGACTCATCACCAGCAGCATGCCAGATCTCATCAATCAGCATCGCTCGCTGCTTGAAGCTGGTTGGAATATTTGCAGGTAGAGCCTGCATTTTATATGATAAAATCTTTAATTGCCCAGTAAATGAAAAGAATCTATCACTGGGAGGGTTGGGGGGGGATTAGGATGGGGGATGGTTATTACCAGGAGGTCGAGGGTTCGATTCTCACTGGGGCCATCCAATTTTTATTTTTTAAAAAAAATAAATAAATAAATTCTATCTCAACAAGTCTAATGCAGCAAATTGTACCTGAATGCTGAGAGCCTGGGGCCATTTAGATATGTAAGGAGCCTGCATTTCCAACCTGGTTCTCACAAGCTTTGCAACACGTGCACTAGGTATCAAGGCTTGCAAGTTCTCGTCCGAGTCAATTATATCAATGAGTCGTTGCAAGCACTCATCCATGAAAAACTAGAGATAGAAATAGAAAGAGAAAAACCAAATACAGTTATGAGAACAAAGTAAACAGTTTGTCAAACACATTCAACTGTGCGCAGAACGTAATTCTTATGGTTACAATCAAAAATCAAAAAATCACAGGATCAAACACATAGTTCTTCTTCCTAAAATCCCAAAGAAGATATAGATGTGTTCAAATGCTTTTCAGGTGACTGGATCTCTTAAGGTTCAAGAGTTTGTACTTTGAATACTTAAAAAGGCATGTTTGCATAGCAGAAACAATCGAGATGTTGGCAAAATTACTTCTTAAGTACTTCTCTTCCAGCATAGATCACCAATCTCTAGTTAGCCCTCAAGTTTGATTTACTCACAAATGCTCTCATAATTTACAGAACCAGACTTTACTGTCCAATTCAGAATCAATTTTCGAAATAGAAACTCAACATTATCACAGCATCACTCCAAACCAAGACGACAGACAGGTAGTTGCCATCCACCGAATCCAATAGCAAGAACAAAGGAACAGCCGGGTGAATCAAAGGAGGGAAACAAGAAATAAAAACTGAAACTCCAAGTAAACTGAGATGATCAAACAGTACCTCCACTAATGCAGCTTCTTTTCTGGAAAAAGAGCCAACTATAGAAGGGGAGACACCAACCTCCCTGGCTCCAGCAAGCATAGCCGCTTCAGTCCATCCCAATCGAATCTACCAATGCACATTTCAACACCACCAGAATCGGATTATTATATGGTAATAACTACTCAGAACGGAACAATTACAATCACAATTATGCATTATAATAAAGTGCAGCTTCTCAAATTTTCCATACATTACCCCTCTCCAATGTGCATTTGGATACAATACCAACCGAAACCCTAATTAAAAGCCCAATCACAATCAACCCCATTTAAAACGATCAACTTAAAAAATGTGCCCACCACATGTGGAAGGGAGGCGCGCAGCACTCGTGCTTGTTCATCGAGGTATTGTGTTTTTTCCGGCCGAGCTGCTCGTGACCTCTGATCTTCATGGCTGTACCCACCGGCTTTCTCGCTCCCGTCGAATCCAGCCGCCGTTGTAGCTGATGATGAGGGAAAGGCGGTGGAAGCAGTGTCAAAATGAGTAGGGTTTTGATTGGGTTTTATCGGTTCCGAGGTGGTTGAAGTCGAAAATAGGCGTGGACTGTGCAGTACGTAAACACTACGAATGAAGTGGTCGGAGGTTTGTCTGTTCCGGCATAAAGCAGGCAACAACCGTTGCCCCGCCGATCGAAACATAGCCAAATTGCCCGGTAAAACTCGGAAGAAAAGACCAAAATAAAGAAACAAACAATAAAAATATTCAGACTGGATGGATAATATATAATCAAAATTGATGTAATTCTCAATTACTACTTTAAATTGTTAAAATTAAAAGTCTACTAAATATGCTGCTTGCTGTAATCGGATTTACGCTGCAGCCGATGCCACGTCATTTCTCTTGGGTGCCAGTGCCACTCTTATGACCACCACTTTTTTTTTTTGAAAAAATAAATAAATAAATAGTAAGCAAAAATACTACTTTTCTCAATTTACATTTTACAAAAAAAAAAAAAAGTCCTTATTTTAGTTTATAACGAGATTACATAGATTCACGTTTTCACCTTACAACATATACAAAAATCAAATCGAAACTTTAGTTAAATTGAAGTGGAAAACACTACAAAAATAAATACTAATTAAATTTCAAGACATTATTTTGGAAAGAAGGCTGAAGTTCAATCAATCAATAAGCATGATTCATTAGCCGCCCAAATATCCAAATCCTCTCATGTTTTACTCTTCTTTACCATCACTCTTCACCCAAGTAGTTAAACACAACATGGTGAACTTTAAAAAAAAAAAAAGTTAAACTAATTTCTAATTTATAGGGAGGGGGAATCCCCACCTAGTGGAGAAATTAGTTTATGAGAGAATAAGAGAAAGACAAGATTTAAGTGCTTGTTTGGACGTCAACTGACATTTCATTTTGCCACTTAAAAGTGGAAAGTGTTTCAAGTTGAAAACTAAATGGGAAATGAAAATATTGTTTGGATGATATTTTGAGCAAAAAGTTGTTTGGATATTGGTTTTGAAAAAAAAATATTTTGAACTACATTTTGAAATATCAAGCACGAGTCATCACTAAACAATTAAATACTGTCAATTATAGTTGGGTTACAAAAAATATTTCTAAAAAAATCACTAAATAACGGAATCTTGTCAAATTTGTCACTGAATTATTGTTAGTTCTAAAATGGTCATTACACTAACAAAAAGTGTTTCAAGTTAGAATTTAAAATGTAAATCAGAAAGTTGTTTGGATGATTTTTTTTTTCATTTGGTTTTGTATTTAAGAGGTAAAATGAGTAAAAATATAAAATGAGTTGTGAAACAAACAGACAATAAGAGACTTAGAAGGAAAACACCCCCCGCCCCCAAAGGCCCCAACCCCCACCAAAAAAAAAAAGAAATTTTTTTTAAAAAAAGAAGGAAAATGAAAAAAAGAAAAAAAAGAATAACCAGGAAAGGAAAGCGGAAGCCCGCCTAATCTGGGTATGGAAAGCCCATTACTATAAATTTTAAGGGACTAAAGGGCCCATAATTATGAAAAGACCCCTAATCAATACTCCCTTCATTCCATAATTATTGTCCAGTTTTACTAAAATGAAAGATTTTATTTTTGGTCAAAGTTAACTATATTTTACCTTAAACAACGGGATATACCCCTACATAAGTGATTGTTTAACCACAAAGATTTTATGGATAATGTTTTTTACTAAGGACAAATGTGTAACTTGATCCATAAAAAGTCAAATTGGACAATAATTTTGGAACAAAATTTTTTGGGCAAAGTGGACAATAATTATGGGACGGAGGGAGTATTTTAAAAACTGAAGACGTGGATCTTAATAACGACTTGAGAAACGATATCTAAAAAAAAAAGAATACAAATAAATCAATATTAATAAAAAATTAAATTGTTTCAAAAAAAAAAATTGGCAACATCATTGATGCGGATTGCGGCGGTGCTGCCGCCAAAAGAGAACGCTGGTCCGGAAGGATTTATTGGGGATTCTCCCCTGATGGCCGGTTTACAACTTTCTCGGCGTACAAATCCTTGATGTCTCCTTCTGCCCCGGAGAACCGTCGGTTGCGGAGAGCAGTGTAGAGATGGATCGAGCCAGAAAGAGTGCGCCAATTGTTGTGGTTAGCAGCAAAAGATCGTTTGGCTCAGTCGCCGGCATGTGAGACTGTCCTTCATGCATTAAGGGACTATACACTTGCAAGACAAGTTTGGCTTATAATGGTTCCCTTGGAGTCTCAAGATGAATTTTTCCAGCTGGATTTGGAAGAATATTACTAATGCTTTGAATGTTGAAGTGGAGCAGTGGGAGTGTTGTTTTGGTGTAGCTGTGTGGCGTTTATGTCTTGGTAGAAATAACAGGATTTTTTAATGCTGCATTGATCAACGTGGAGCAGAAGAGGAATGAAATCGTGGCATAGGAAGGTGGCTGGAGTTGGTGGCAAATGATGGGAGTTGAGATATATCCAATGGAATCCCCCTCCAGTCGGAACTCGGATGGATTCTTTGATGGCGAGTCAGGAATCGCTGCGGCTGGTGGTCTAGTCAGAGACCATTTTGGCAGGTGGGATGCGGGTTTCGTGATGAATATTAGGTTTTGTTCTATCACTGGTGGGGAGTTGTAAGGGTTGTTTCAAGGGCTTAAATTGGCTTGGGATCGTGGATGCATGGCGGCATGTGAAGGCAGAGGTTGACAGTCATTGCGTCGTTACTTTTTGTCCAATCCCGGGATGAGTATTTAGAGTCCCCGACAGTTTGATCCGTGGGATAAGGGAGTTGATGGCACAAAATTGGGTTTGTCAGCTTGAACACATCTACAGAGAGGCGAACTTTGCAGCTAATTTTTTAGCCTTGCTAGCTTCTGTTGTGCCAATAAGTGTTATGAGTCTAGATGAGCCATCTACGAGTATTAAACCGTGGCTAGAACACAGCGTGGTTAATGTTTCCTACCATCGTATAGTGTTAATTCCATAGGCTTATGTCTCCTTCTAGTGCCAAAAAAAAAAAAACGAAATCAAATACGACCAAGAAAAATAAAGAAAATAACCAAATTTATAGTGTGTGTGTGTGTCTTTAGGTGTTTTGTTTTAAGTGATCGGATTCTACTACTATTTTAATTCTGCCTTCCTCTCCGTCAGCTTCTCCTGTAGCCTATGGTATGATCAGTTTCGGTGCACGTCATAGCCAACTGTGTTATATTTCCTCTGTCTCCAAATTATTATTTAATTTACATTATAATTTTCAGTATGAATTAAATTAAAAGTTACAATTCAAATTAGATAATAATATTTGGGAGAGAAAGTAATACATTACCTTTTGAACAAAAAAAAAGGGATATCACATTCAAACGATACAAATTCTCACTACCATTGTAATTGAATCGTTTTGGTCACCACAATAGCAGAAGTTGATCTCCTTCTTCTTTCTTCAATTGTAGAGTGATGATCTTTCAGACATGTTGATTCTACATTGATCACCTTCTACGAACCAAAAATATAGGATTATTTTCACGCATAAGTGGTCAAGTGGACTACACTTGAATCGTGCACTAACACCAAACATCATGTACCATTTCCTTAAGTAAATTCTCTTTTGGTCATGGGTTAAAAGAATTTTTTTTTTGAATTTCTTTGACTACCATTAAATAATCTTTCGTAACATTTTCAGTTACACTCTTTTAAATATTGGATAAATAATTTGAGAAGTGTCAAAGTAATTAATTATGAAATAATAACTAATGTTTTCAAAACATTGTAATACCAAAAAATATGGCTGACAAGCCGTCATTACACTAGCCAAATAATTACCTACTTAATACAATTACTGGTAGTGAAGCAGAAAGCAGAGTCGATCCCACAAAGAAGGATACCAAGAACCAGGTTAAAATTATATATTATTATTATTTAGAAAACTAATAATAATAGTTTTAAATTAAACTAATAATTAAAATCTAATTAATTAAATAAAAGAAAAACTAGGACAAAGGGTTCACCAACCGACTACTCAATTTAACTCAATCTATAGATATGTGACTTTGGACTTTCACTAATCTCACGATAATTCACCAATTTAAAAATTATATACTCTCGTGTCATAAATCTCATACTCAAATTAATTATATGAGTACTCTCGTGATTATAGGGATTAAAAAAGTACAGTAAGAACTTTGAAATTTTTAGTCGCAAAGACGGTGTTTTACTGTCGTGGCTCACTACCTAAGTTTATTACTCTTACGAACTAATGCTAGTCCTTCACTCTCGCTACTTTAACTAGTATTTTAAAGCATGCAAATATTGATCAGGTATTCACGTGGATGAAAACCAAGAATAACAAATATTAATTAATGAAAAAGTCATAATATCAAATAAATTAAATAAAACAACATAATATGACGGCTACAACCAAACCCTAGATTAAACTATTTAGCTACACATTATTTTTGTGCATCTTTGGTCTTCTCAAATAATAGTAGTAGCACCCCTTTTATAATATTACTAGGATAGGTTGCCACACGTTGTGTGGCTTGGGGTGAATAGCAGCCAGAGATAGAATTTCTATTTTGATTCAACTAAAATTTAACATTCCAAATGATGATCATATGATCAGCAATTTTAACCATGGTAAATAGACTTCTGAATATAGTCATGAAAAGTTGTAGACTTGGGCAAAGTTCATATGGTAAAGAAGACGAGTTAATTATTCTTAACGGTGGGCTTATTTAGCAGCATCGCTGGGGACTGCAGCAGACGCTTTAGGTGGGTTGAGTTCATCCCAGGCTTAAATCGATGTGACCATGGCATCTGCAAGCTTACTTTGTTGTGCCAAGTAGGGTAGCCCTGTCTTGATTCACAGTTCCAAATGATTACATATTATCAATTCATCACAAACCATTTTTGATTAGTTTCTAAATCCAAAAACAGAGTAATGTACAAACCTGAACATCTTAACCCCATTTCCCAATTCTTCGGCCCTTGTGAATCCGCACCAATGATTCCAGCTTAAGATGTTACCTTTTGTTTACTTAATAATTAGGTAAAGTACAAGCCCTGCATTATTTTGTTTGACACGCACTATCAAACACTTAGGATGCATTATTTTTTTCTCTCACACAAAAAACAAACATTAAATAATCATTTCAGGCACCTCCGGCAGTCACGAACAGAGTTCTAACCGAATCAAATCAATTAAAACCCTACTGGATCCAATCCATTGAACAGGATAATCAATTAACAGTACTTAAACTTGGAAAATACGATCCAAGATTAACTCACAGAAATTAAACTTGAAAAGGGCAGTTTATCAAAAGAATTGAAATTCAAGATTGAAGGAGGAGATTTCAAATTTTGGAAGAAAATTCATGGGCGAGGAGCCAATGTCGATGAGTCAATTGCTTTCATGAATTGGTTTCATGAATTTGCCATCGACGTACAGAGAGAACTGAGAAAAGTGAACACGAAGTTGGACAGAAAGAGAAGAATCCAATTGAGAAAAGACCGGTGTGGGGATGACAGGCACCATACCTAAACAGGTGCATGTCCGGTCATAACTCCCCCTTATAGTAATGTAGATTTACTTCCGTCGGTGGCTTTCTTTTCAAGAAAAGAAATTGGATCCAATATGGACTCCAGTAATTTAACTCCTACACCTCAATCAATTAAAGCCCATGCAAATTACACTTCCTCTTTTCGGTTTTGTCTTGGCAAAGAACGGCAGCAATTTCGGGAAGCCTCCAAATTAATTAACAAAATATAGGCTTCTTTAGTTGAATTCCCGTAGATGCAGCCCACCTTTGAAGTCCATCTTTAAAAAAAGTCCCTTTCAAGCATTCTTCCAATCTCTAGCCTTGGCCCACTCTCAATTAATCAAAACCCATGCATGCATATTCTCCGCCAAATTTGGAATTGGATGGCCATTTTTGCAATTGAAGTCCCTTGAGTTCAAACCTCCTCAATTCTTCCTCATTCGAATTAATTTTCTTCCTCAATTTAATCCAAAACTTCAACAATTCTTCATTTGAGTAATATTCCTATAAATAAATATACCATTACATAATTAGAAGAAATATGCTCAAAATATATGACAAAATCTCAAATTTAGGATATTATAAATAGATAAATTTTAAACACATCAATGGCACAAAATCTTTTGGATTCATATAAAAGGTCCATTAGAGGAAATTATATAATCTAGGAAGGTTGCTAGAATTGCATTGATGTGTCCCAAAATTTGGAGTTCAACCATGCTAATTGCTAATGTTATGCTCCCGAAAAGCCCTCTTCCAAAGTGTTGAACAAGTCAATGGAAGTTTCACCTCTCTTTGTAACCCCACAAAAAAAATATGAAATCCAATGTTGTGTAATTTTATGTGTTACATAATAATTGTTTTATCTTTCTCACAATTTCGGGAGTTTTTAGCTAGCTAGCTAGCTAGGCTCAATTACCAATCTTTGGTAAAATTCAAACAACCACCACCACCGCATCACACACCATCAACAACAACAATGATGACAAACCATTCTTCTTGCTCTTCTTCTTCTCATTCCAAAACAAACAAAACAAAAGGATTCACCTCCCTTTCTAACCAAAAACTCAGAGAAAATTCTGATCTCTCCGAACAGCGGCTCATTATTCTCTCCCTCTTTGGGAGGTGTCAATTTCTGCCTCATCATCAACAAACATGGCCGCTGTTCGCCTCCTTTCTTTCGCCCTGATTCTTTCCCTTGTCCCCCTTTTTTCTATGTCCGTTTCGGATGATATTGCTCTTCTTCAATTCAAAGAATCCTTAACAAACACTGAAGCATTAGATCCTACATGGGTTAAAGACACATTGCCCTGCGACAAAAATAAACCCTGGATTGGTGTCATTTGCAATGCAAATACCGTTCAGGGCATCCGGCTTCAGGGCCTCCGTCTCTCCGGCGACGTTGATGTTGATTCGCTCTTAGAACTTGAAAACCTGAGGGCTGTTTTAATCGCAAACAATAATTTCTCGGGGACAATACCCCCGTTTAATAAACTTGGAGCTCTCAAGTCTTTATTCATACATGGCAATCAATTCACGGGGGAAATTCCTCCGGATTACTTCAAACAAATGGCGTCCCTGAAAAAGATTTGGCTTTCAGAGAACAAGTTTACAGGGAAGATCCCTGATTCATTAGGTCAATTACAGAATCTTATTGAGGTTCGCTTGGATCATAACCAATTTTCAGGTCCTGTTCCATTGATGGATCAAAAATCCCTCCGGGATATCAACCTGGCATTTAACAAATTGGAGGGTCCAATACCTGAAAGCATGTCAAGATTTGGTGCCAAAGCTTTTGAAGGAAATCAGGAAGTATGTGGGAATGCTGTGGAAAAGCCTTGCAACCAGCAGGAAGGGGCAACCCCTGTCGCGGAAACCCCGCCTGAAACGCCCGCGAATGATTCAGGTTCCTCAAGCGTAAAATGGGTGATAATGGGACTGGTGGTGGCCCTCCTGTTGATGACTCTTCTCTGCAAAGCCAGGCAAAAGGAAGAACATTTCAATTTGTTGGGGAAAGAGAACCTTGATGAGGGTATACAAGTCCACATTCCAAGTTCAGTCAGGAGGAGCGCGAGCTCCCGGCGGGGAAATGAATCGTTTAGCTCCAGGAGAGGCTCACATCACGGTGGGAAATCAAACACCGACCTCGTGGTGGTTAACGACGAAAAGGGCACATTCGGTTTGCAAGATTTAATGAAGGCAGCTGCAGAAGTGCTTGGAAATGGTGGGTTGGGATCAGCTTATAAGGCACATATGGGAAATGGGGTGTCTGTTGTGGTGAAAAGGTTCAGAGAGATGAATAAACTGAGTAAGGATTCTTTCGACGCTGAAGTTCGCCGGCTTGGCAAATTAAAGCACCCTAACATATTACCACCATTGGCTTACCACTACAGAAAAGATGAGAAGCTGTTGGTTTCTGAATTTGTTCCAAGAGGGAGCCTGTTATACCTTTTACATGGTAAAAAAAAAAATGTTAACTTTTCCTGAAACTGGCATCCCAAAATTGTGTATTATTCTTGTTTTCAGAATATTCCTCATTGTTTGGTTTTGATTGCCTCACTAACCTATTTCATCTGCCAATCCAGGTGATCGGGGGACTTCTCATGCCGAACTGAATTGGCCAACTCGGTTGAGAATAATCCAGGGAGTAGCCAGAGGAATGGGATTCATCCATTCCGAGTTTGCATCATATGAAGTGCCTCATGGCAACCTCAAGTCCTCCAATATATTGCTTTCTTCAGATTTTGAGCCACTTCTCACAGACTACGCCTTCTATCCTCTGATCAGCAATACGCAGTCGGTGCAATCTTTGTTTGCCTATAAATCTCCTGAAGCCATACTGTACCAGCAACTTTCGCATAAAAGCGATGTCTACTGTCTCGGAATTATCATTCTCGAAATCCTGACAGGGAAATTCCCTTCTCAATATCTGAGCAACCAGAAGGGTGGAACTGACCTAGTACAATGGGTGAAATCAGCTATAGCTGAGGAGAGAGAAACAGAGTTGATTGATCCGGAGATAGCATCCGACGCAACGAATTCCCTTGCACAGATGGAAATGCTTCTCCACACTGGAGCAGCTTGCACGGAAGAATATGATAAGCGAATTGGCATGAAGGAAGCTTTAAGAAGAATAGAACAATTATAGTCTTGACAACATTGTACGTAAAATCATTCCCCAGATGGTTAGATTTAGATATTTAGAGACTTAGTAGGAGAAACCAAAAAGGTTGGCTGGCTCTTTCTGATCAACCAATGCTTCAGTACTTGTGCTTTTTTTTTTTTTATGTGTTGCTGAGATCCAAACTAAACAGAGTTTTTGGCCTTTCTTTTCTATGGGAAATTGTTCACTTTCATTTTGGAAAGAGAAAAATGCCATTCTTGTACATAGTAATATCATAAATTCCAAATTCTTCAAGATGCATTCATTCCTAAATCAAGTACTACATTGTGCATTCTAGAGATTTAGAATGGTTGAATCACGTCCACTGGTGAAGACTTATCACGAGTCACGACGTATGTTTCAATCAAATCGGCAGAAAACAACGCAATTCTGAACTGGGCAATAGAGATACAGGTGCGAGAGTAAGGATAAGTTACCAGTGTCAGGAAGAAAGAAAGACATATTTTCAGGGTTTTCTGGTATATGTACGCTGCATTGGTCATTGGTCCCATGACTTGAATACATGAAGACGTTCACCAGTTACATTCACCTGTTTGGTATATGGTTGTCCCAACTCCCAACCCGAAGGATCAATATTGTGATCCAAACTGAATAATAATTTTGGAACGAAGTGAGTATATAATATGAGTTCCCTATATATAATATGAGTTCCCTGATGAACCTGAAGAACAATTATATATTCCTTCCGTCTAAAAAAAAATAGTCCACATTGAGTTTTGGAATTTGTACTGAAAACAGTACAAATATGAAAACTCAATGTGGACTATTTTTTGGGGACAGAGGTAATATAAATCTAGGGGAGACGAATGAAGCTGCAAATATGATTTGCATTGTTTTGAGTCTAAGTAGGAGTTGAACAATTCAAATTGGACAATAATTTTGAGAGGGAAAGAGTACAAATATAAGGAAACTCATATGGTATGCCGATCGTATCTGTACAGTTGGTGGAGAGTAGAAGAATAATTTTGGGAGGGAGGTAGTATTTACCATCTTGAATAACTGACTCATGGAAACATCAAGTCCTCCAATATCTTGCTTTCTTCAGATTATAAGCCACTTCTCACAGACTACGCCTTATATGGTAGACGGCGAAATCTCTGTTTGCATATAAATCTCCTGAAGCACCTAAAAGCGATGTCTACTGTCTTCAAATTATCATAAATGAAGATGCATTCCGAAATCAAGTACTGGTGATGTACATGGGGAGAATGAGGCAGGCGAAGATGATCATGCGCTTGGTGACGGGGAAGTGGTTAATGGGGATGGCGATGATGGTGTTGTTTCTCAGGTTAATGAAGAAGGGGAGAATGTTGCTGTCAATGGTGGTGTTGTTCTGAAGAGGAGGAGGATGAAGACGACGGCGAGGATGACGATGGTGACGACGACGACGACGAGCATGTCGATATTGAGGGGGACTCCTTGATAAAACTAGTGCTGAGTCTCCACCTATTAATTAGTGCTGAGTCTTAGTCAACTAGTAAGGTCACTTGGTACGTACTTAGTAGTGACTCTGCTTCAGCTAACAGTAGATAGAACTGATCGTAGTTGAGGTAATTGAGGTAGAAGATCATTTTGTTTATTTATGCCATGGCGAAGCCAGGTTTTTTGTGATCTTGATGCTAGCTCCTCTAATACTTTATACCTCTCTTTGCTGGTTTATGTCTAAAGGGAACTGGTTTGAAATCAATTGTATCACTGCTTGACCTAAAGTAAGATTTCTGGATTGCTTAGTGCAATGTTTTAACAGTTTGTCCTGGACTTGTGTTGTATGCTACTTTCTTTGCTTCTATTAAACCATGATTTACAAACTTCTACTTGGATTTGTGTAAGGTTTCAAGAGCTAGCTACATTTTTTTATCAGCTTCTCAATCTATCTTATTGCTAGTTTTTTTTTTCTTATTTGAGATTAAAGGCTGAATCTCAATTATGGTTTCCGGCCAGCATTCTTTGCAGGAATCTCAATTATCCTGACGGGTTTCCCTTCATTATCAAATCTGACCTTCTTATTAAGAGGTTCACGCTTTACATCCTCACCGGCGGGAACCTTCCTTTTCCTCCTGAGGCAGGACTTCAATAATAAGTTGTTAGGAGGGGTTCCAGAGACTGATGCAGGGGAAATTGATTTTGGTGAACAAGTATTATTGTTCTCAAGTACTACTAGGGCTAACTCATGGTTTGCTTCATCATCATCATCTGTTGCTTTCTGAAGTCTACGACTTGTTTTCAGGCCCCTTTTTTTGTTGGTCTTTTTCAGCTTCTTAGTTTTGTGGGATTCCTTCTCAGCAGCTTCCAATAATTCCTTCAGCTTTTCAAACGCCGAATGGAGCTTCCTTACACAGTCCTCCAGATTTTCAGAAGCACCGTCGTCGCCCATTGCCACACTTAATGATGGGGAATAATATTTTAGGCTGATCGAAATTGAAAATTATAAGGAGATATAAAGCACACACCTTGCTGTGGCTGTGGGGATATGAAAACGGAGTCTCCCAAAATAAGACCCTCCCCTGCCTATTTATACAGGTCTGATCTGAATATTCCTTAAGCCACAAGGATTACTATTTGGTACTAATTGCCTAAAACGAATATAACGAGTTTCGCGACGCCATACTACCTTAATTTAAGACCGGAAACCCAAGAACAAAAAAGTTAAAACTAATCCAATGTGCTGGATTTCCTAAAACCTAAATTAAAGCTACTTCTGAGTTTTCTTCGGTAAAATTGTTTGTCAGAGAATAAAAAACATGTTTTAATAGTTTACCCTTTCTGATCAATATCTTCTTGCGGGTCGATGCTTTTAACACTACTCCAAATGAAGAAGCATTCCGAAATCAAGTACTGCATTGTGCATTCTAGAAATTTAGAATGGTCCAATGTCGCTCTTGGTTGAAATGACTTATCGCGATGCACAACGCTGTTATACTTTTCTGTCAAATTAAGCGGCAGAAAACAACATAGTTCAGAACTGAGCAACAGCGAGCAAGAGTGAAGGATATATGCTGCCAGTGAATTGGAATGTAGAAAGACAGATTTTTCAAAGTTGTTCTGGTACATATGTACACTGCATTAGTCCAATGACTTGAATACATAAGACTTTTACTACTCTATATAGTTGTCCCAACCCCAGAGGATCATTGTGATGTGAAAGCCTGCAAACAAGACAGAACATTTGTTTAACTCCTACTGAGACACATAATAAATTCTTTTTTTCGATAAATTGCAATGGAAAAAAAAAATCATATCTGCAGCTTCTTATGATTTTGTTATAAGTCCAGATGGCGTACCGAGAAAATGTTGTTATGGCCTGGATCAGCTAGATGAGACATTAAGTTCTCAACAGGACCTTCTCCGGTATAAACAGCTTGGAAACAAAAGCCAACGAAAGCTAACATCGCAAGCCTTCCATTCTTGATCTCTTTAGTCCTTAACACCATAACTGGCTCTGGAGATCCTCTTCCCCACATGAAGGGATCAAACCAAAGTCCGCCAGGGTAACCAACATCAGGCTTTGGCTTCTTCTTATGTGGCAATGTCGGTTCTATGTCGACGCTACCAGGTTTGATAAGGTCGGCCCATCTTCGGCCCTCAACCCATCCCATCAGGGCGAGCTGGACGACGAATAACGTCACTGGATCTGCAAAGTATTCGCGCGTGCCGGCATCATACCAAGAGAAGTTTTCGATGAAGCCTAGACTCTCAAGCCATTCCGGAATTAGTATTCCAGCAACAGCCAGCATTGCCCACCTTGCGTGCATTAGCTCGGCTTGAGCAAACCATTTGAGCAGCTCTGGATCAGATCCTGAACAACAAAGACACTACATTAATAACCAGAGGCCTAACTAATCTGGTGTTATTTTGTTGTTCTCAAAGCAAGGATTTTTCCTCAACTTAAAAGGCTGCCAAAATGCGTACCTAATCCCAAAGGGTCGAAACCAAAATCTCCCGGAAGGCTGGAACAAGATTTATAAGAAAGCCCTTATCAATACACATTGATTCCAAGTCCAATTCATCAATAAGTAATCCAGCACTTTAAAACTTAGCATTGTCAGGCAACAATAAGCGAAGTGATGAAAATCACTGAACCTGTAGACATTAGTTTCTTATCCAGTTCAATTACACATTCTAAGTAGCGCGTCCAAATAAAAAAAAAATTCTAAGTAGCGCGTCCAGAACCCGAATTAGCAGACAAGATTCAAAGGGTTCAATTGAATCCCAAAATAAGGCAAATGAAAATTGCTTCACCTCGCTTCACAACAAATGAAGTATTTTCATTGCTATCTCACACGTTATCTCACAAGTATTTTCACAACAAATGACATCCAAAGAGTAAGGATAAAATAAGAGAAAATTCTTGACATTTACCTGCCATCAAGCCATTCAGGAGGTGAACTACCAGGGAACCACAATGGCCTATCCGGAGGAAGTGGTTCACAAACACTTGACACCCCTCCTTTTGCTGCTTTCAATGAACGACCCCTTCTTAATAAACATCTGTTACTAGTATTTCCAGTCAATATTGTTGTAGTAATATGATCCCTGAAACCATAGGCAAAACCAGTTTCTATGAATGATTTAACATCCCAAAAAACAAACCTGTTAAAGTGTGGTTCATGGATGTGCTGTTTAATTCTTCGAATGTAATGAATAATTGACAAACAACTGAAAAGAACATTTTTTTTTTTTGTGAGAATTGAATTGGAAGAAGATAGGATGTGAAAATGCTACCTGATTGGAAGGCTTGAAAGTGCAGTTGAAGCAATGGCCAATGCCATGGTTGTGGAATCAGTTTGTACTTTGTAGGAATTCTTGTCAAGACACTCAGAGGCTTATGTTGAAGGATGGCCATTGCCACCTGACTTATCCACAGACAAAAAGAGTAGTGGCAATAATCCATTTAGATGAGGATATGGAATTGGATTGAGTAATAATAATATTCGTGGATTGTTGATATTGGACTTCTATTTGCATGCTATATATGTATAGAGCCAAGGCCTGAAGGAAAAAAAAAAAAAAAAAACCTTAAACCAATATAACTAGATACGAGTCCTAATTATAAAGTAATACTCTCTCCGGTCGTTATTATAATGCATTTTGATATGTCATAGGTTTCATTTAAGATCTCCTTTTAATTGAAATAAAAATCTTAAAAATACTTTATAATAATTAAGAGAACAGAATGGTGTATGATTTGGGCAACAGAATGGTAGCCGTACAGGCAAAAGCTTTTCAGCTCAAAACAATATGGCAAGTCTAAAAAAATATTACTTGCCAAAGCATGTATCCACTGCATCTCCTCTTGTGTAAACTGTAAAAGTTGACAAGTTGTGTAGTATGTTAATTAATCTCGTGGAACAAAAATAACATTGCTTCGAGAGCGGACAATAATCATGGCATAGATATCTATTAGTGATTATAAAATACATTTATTATGTGATAGATTTATTTTTCTAGGAAGAAATTTAATCTTATTTTCCAAAATTCAAATTAGTAATTTAGTAGTAGTGATCTAATGGAGAGTATCTATAAACAAGTCAATGTTCATTTGTTGGACCTCGCATAATAGAACTCCTATAGATCATAAATAATGTCTGAATATTCTTGTTTGGGACTAAACTAGGAAAACTAAAAGGGGACATTTTTATTGAGGTTACTAAACAGCAATTTAGATCTTGAATCAATAATTACATAATTTTGTGATTAGTACCATCCCATTTCAGAAGATCATCCCAAATGGAAAACTGATCCATATCGAGGATTCCCAGAAAGCCAACCCACTGTAAGTAAACAAATCCCCCCAACAAACTTTCAATTGAAAAATGAAAACAAAAACGAAAACACCTTCCCACCAGTTCCTCTACTTTCTTGTCTCTTCTTCCCTTCCAATGCACTCCTTCTGACTGCAACTTCTCACCCGTTTTGGCCATTTTCTCACTTTACACCACTCTTTCTTCTTCTTCTTCTTCTTCTTCTTCTTCTGTTCACAATCGAAGCGATCTACTTCCCGTTTTAATTTCACTGAAATTACCAAATTAATTGCGGTTTGATTGGCGTGTATTGCAAAGATTACATTTTTATTTGGGGAAAGAAGGGAAGTCGGAGTATTGAAATGGTTGAGACGGCAACGACGCCGACTTGGCGGAATCAGCTGCCGCTCCACCATCACCGGCGGTGGATCCCTACTTTCTTCTCGACCCAAAAGACCCTTTTAGCCGCTCTATGGATCGCCTTCTTCTTCACCTTGTTTATGTGGCAGCAGAGGAGCGCCACACCTGGGTTTTTGTTTTTCAGGCGAAATTTCGTTGCTAGATCATTTCCGAAGCTCCGGCCGGTGGCTTTTAACTTGACGGATTTTGGGGCGGTGGGGGATGGGGTTACTGTAAATACAGCTGCTTTTGAGAGTGCGGTGATGGCGATTTCTAAGCTTGGGAAGAAAGGCGGTGGGCAGCTCAATGTGCCACCTGGGTATTGGCTCACTGCCCCTTTTAATCTTACCAGTCATATGACTTTGTTCCTAGCTGAAGGTGCTGAAATTCTCGGACTTAATGTAAGTTTCCCTTACTGTTTGGCTTTTCTGTTTTTAGTTGAACTTCATTGTAAATTTTTGTACTTTCAGTGTAAAGACAGGATTTTCACTGTCAAACTAATCATATATTTTGGTGGCTTGCTTCTTGAATATGCTGTTTGCATATGATTCTTTTCCTGATGCGGTGAGTATCTATAGAGCAATGCTGGATGTGTGCTCATATGCATCTAAATATCGTCCGGTTATTAATGAATGCAAGTTTTACTGGGAGAAACTGGGGATACTCATTACACTTTACTTTTCAAGTAACTGTTATAGATTTGGTATGAAATTTATCGTAGGATTGGAATTTTTATTGCATGTTCCGAATGGGGCATGAATCAAAAGATTTCTTAGCTGTTGATCAATTAGATACTCCATAGATACAGTTACTCGGATTCCAGAAAGGAAAAATTCGTGCAGGAGATGAGAGTCTCTGGACGTCTTATCAATTTTGTGACTACAGCAACCCTAGTGTAATGCAATTGAAACCGTTACTTCATTTGGTTGAGAAATTTTCCATATGGAGGAGGTGCAGTGATGATCTTAATTATATATCTCGTTAATCTGATGATAACTGAGGAAAATCCTCTATTCCATTCTGAAGAGACTGAGTACCTTCTCTTTCACTGTTTCATTGAATACATTTACAAACAGAAAGTTATCACTGATCACATTAACCAATCATGTAAAACAAGATATTTCCTTTGAAACATGACTCTTTCAATGACGACAACAACTGCTTCATCCCACTATGGAGTGTCAGCTAAATGCTTCATATGAAGCGTCAACTTTCTAATGATTAAGTCAGTGAAAGATAATAATATTTACCGATTCCGCTGTGCTGTTGTGATACTAAAATTTGGTACCTCTGCATTATGATTGTTGTTTAAAGTTTTGGTTTTGCCGGAATCTGCATCCCTTTCTATGATACAATGGCAGTTTCACTGACATTAGAGCTTCCATGCATGATTCGGGATTGGTAAGATTAGGCATCTTCTTATACTACATGAAATTTTGATTGTGTAAGAAATGTTAGTCTTGAATCTTGATTATTTGCTTAAGCAGCGTTATTAAATAGATTCTGTTTGAAAGGAGAAGTTGACAGTTAAAGTTCTTAAACCAATAATCTTTCTCAAAGTTGAGACTTTTCATCTGTTTCAGGACGAGAAGTACTGGCCTCTCATGCCTCCATTGCCATCCTATGGTAAAGGAAGAGAACATCCTGGCCCTCGATATGGAAGTTTAATCCATGGCCAAAATCTTAAAGATGTTGAGATTACAGGTTAGCATCTTGGCCCTGGTTGGATTTGTTGGACGTCGGATAGGTTTGTTCACTTGTCAAAAAGAGAGAATCTTTACGTAGGTAATTTACTGAAGTGTTTTAACTTCTCTTTATGATGCTGCAAAGAAGCTGTGTCATTAGGATGAGAATGTGGATTAGTTTCTAGGAATGATTTTATCAAGTGTTAGAACTGGGTTACAAGCCTGTGTTTAAAAAGTTTATGTGCTGGACTTTAGAAGGCTACACTGCTAGTATTAGGTCGCTGTAGTACATCCTGGAGTAGCTTTAGTTGTTAAGCTCTCTCCTTTTGTCACCTAAGGTAAGATTTTTAGTTCCAATTTCTTTGAAGTGCCCTCCTGGTTCAAATGTCTAGGATTTCAAGTTTCAGTTTCTTTGGAATGCCACCCTGGTTCGAGTGTTTCTACACAACAGCAACCAGCTTATTCTTTATGGCATTAGAGATCAGCTATAGGGATCATACCTTTAAGGTCTGCCAAAACACATTTTTTATTTGTTTTAATTTTTATCTTTTCAAAGTTTTACCCATTGAAGAATGTAGTTAGTGCTGATTCCAACTCAGGAAAACCCTCTTGATTTGAAGCGCCAAATACGAGTAAAACAAGCTGCTTGTACACAAATATTTCTGCCTTTATATTGGGTGGTTTACTTGAGCAGTAGAAATAAAGAGAGAGATACCCAAAATCTTCCTACTTGATTCCCCCCCCCCCCCCCCGGAAGTCTTTTTTATTTATTTATTTATTTATTTTTAGGGGAACCCCCTCCCCCTCCCCGGGAAGTCTAAACACCTCTTAAATTGAAGAATGTAGTTAGTGCTGATTTCAACTCAGGAAAATCCTCTTGATTTGAAGCACAGAATATACAAGTAACCCAAGCTGCTTGTACACAAATTTTCTGGTTTTATGTCGAGCGGTTTACTTGAGCAGTATAAAGAAGAGAGAGATACCCAAAATCTTCCTACTTTTTTTTTTTGTTTTTTTTTTTTGTGTGTTCCTTGAAGTCCAAACACCTCTTAAATAGAAATGCAGGTGAATTAAATTGAAGTAATAATCTTTTCTTGCCACACAGGACATAATGGTACAATCAACGGGCAGGGCCAGACATGGTGGAAGAAGTATCGACAAAAACTTCTAAACCACACCAGGGGACCTCTTGTACAGATTATGTGGTCCAGTGACATCTTGATCCACAACATAACTCTACGCGATTCTCCATTTTGGACGCTCCATCCGTATGACTGTAAGAATGTGACCATCAGAAATGTGACTATCTTGGCTCCCGTCTTTGAAGCTCCTAACACTGATGGAATAGATCCAGGTGAGCACTCTTAATGTCAAGGATCCCCTGGTAACTAACATTGCTGTAGCAAGAAATAGCTTCAATCTAAAATAGATCACTTTAGTAGTTGTTATTTTATTTTCCTTCATTTTGTTTTCATGCAAATAGTGAAGCAGTATCAAGGCTTCTGAGGTTGGTGTATAACTTGAGTTTAGTGCATGGGGGGATTACTGTCCTTCCATTCATCAGTCATTCTTGAAATGTGCTGATAATTTATTTGGATATTAATAGATTCATGTGAGGATATGGTGATTGAGGACTGTTACATAAGTGTTGGAGATGATGCCATTGCCATAAAGAGTGGTTGGGACCAATATGGAATTGCTTATGGACGACCTTCAAAGAATATACTAATTCGAAACCTTGTGGTTCGCTCAATGGTCAGGTAAGAGAAGCTTCTTTTGTTGCTTATTCATTTGTTTATTTTCCCTTATTGTAGGTTTGTTGCATGCTTTTAGTCATTCTTAGTTTCTGCACACACCAAGGTCAAGCCATAGCACGCTTTTGCATTTTATTTTGTTTGCATGTGATAAGGTCAGTGCAGGCCTTTTAACCCCGTGCTTAACCTCCTTCCGCACTCCGGAAGTCCTTACATAGAATCTCTTGCATATCCAATATTTTGTAACTTTTTGCTTAATTATCACAGTGCTGGCATATCAATAGGCAGTGAAATGTCTGGTGGCGTGTCAAATGTCACTGTAGAGAACGTCCTTGTTTGGAGCTCGAGGCGTGCTGTAAGGATCAAAACAGCCCCCGGGAGAGGAGGTTATGTGCGGGATATCACGTATAGGAATGTAACATTTGAGAACCTCAGGGTAGGGATTGTGATCAAGACCGATTATAACGAACATCCTGATGAAGGATTCGACCCAAAGGCAGCTCCAATTTTGGAGAACATAAACTACTTCTCAATTCATGGCGAGGGAGTTCGTGTGCCAGTTCGTATCGCTGGGAGTGAAGAAATCCCAGTGAGGAAAGTAACTTTCCGGGACATGTCAGTTGGAATAACTTACAAGAAGAAGCACATATTCCAGTGTGCTTATGTTGAAGGCCGGGTAATCGGGACCGTTTTTCCAGCCCCTTGTGAGAACCTTGATCTATACGACGAACAAGGAAACCTAATCAGAAAATCAACCTCACAAAACGTTTCGGATATAGATTATGATTTTTGAGTTTTCTTTCTTTCTTTTAAGGGGCCAGTTTTTGGGTACATTCAATCCTTTTTGGCCTGTTGATGTAATCCTGATACAACTAGTTTCTTCTCCTTTTTTTTTTTTCTGCGTCCTTTCACCCTGTAACTTTTTCTATGATAGTAGTGTATATACATCTCCCAAAGAAAGTCAAATCTACTGTGGATAGCTGAAATTATAGAATCTCTGAAGCATTTTGCTTCATCATCTTCTTATCCAATCTTAAAACTATTTACAGTGGACACATGCAAATTTTGTCTAGATTCCTTGGTTCCAGCAATTAAACTGTAGCGAATGAATATCAATCATTCCTGTTCTGTTCCTAAATAGGTCTCTTGTTATAGTATTAAATTTAAAAAGATGATAATAATATCATTCCGGGACCAAGGAGTATATTACTTTTAACCACACTTTGCTAGAGTATTCACATTCTATACTCAGTGCAATTTTCAATCATTAAAAAAAGTTGAAAAACAAACAGAGCAACCCTTTGCCTGTTTCACATGTAACAAAAACTAGGAAACTGGAGATGTCTCTATCGAACGGACAAGTAAACTTGCTTGTAAAACTGCAGCCACCCAGATTTTTCTTGCCTCAGCTGATCGCAATCACCAAAAGCAGCCATGTCTGTATAATGAAATAAACTATGATTTCCTCATGGAATCACATGCTAAACTTTACTAGGCAACTTCTGGGTTAGTTCCTTGAATCTTCTTCCCCAGATATATATTGTTAAAAGCATTCTGATAAATTAGTGATAATGCATGCATGCATTGTTTTTAATAATAATTTTTTTGCTAAGTTTTGTTTACAGCTTGTCAATCAAATTACATTATTATACGTTTACTTTGAATACTTTGACCATAATTTGTATACGTAGCAAATCACTCTACCTATTTTTGAGAATTAAGGGGGGACAAAAATACTAATATTCATAAGAGTTCCTTCTTATAATCGAGTGAAAATTGGTGTGGAAATGATAATAAACTTGGAAAACTCAATACGTAGACTAAACTTGGAATGAGGTCTCGTGATCCTGCACCAATAAGGAATGGACACGGCATCGATCCACCACTATTGTCGAACCAGATTCTATAATGTGTGTTGTATAATTTAGAAGCCAATATGTATTTAGCAATTTATATAGATAGAATTATTGGATGATAGAAAAGGAAAAAGTTAAACTTTCCTCAGTGGTTCGACCTATGTCACGTTTTTTTTTCCCACATTCAACCACCGAAAGGAAAGTTTCCAAGCAATTTCCTGGAAATGTTTTAATATTGATAATAATAATAATTCTTGTGTTAGAAGGGAATGTGGAGCATTAAATAAGAACAATGTCTTTCTGCTTCCCCGAAGAAAGCCATCAGCAATTTTAGCTATTTAATTCCGCATGACTGATCACTTCGAGAAGAAAAAAAAACTAAATATACAATATTGCCGTCTTACTAAAAATATTTAACCCTAATTGAATTTTTAGGATAATATATTCAATCCGCTTGACTTATTATTTATTATTGAGATCTTAAACTCATGTCTACTATCTTCCGGCGTTTTAAGATAAGAGTAATTGTTAAACGAGCGTCTTATCTTGAGACTGTCTAGTTACAATTTATAACCGGTATTTTTTTGGGTACAACCGTAAAAATATCAAAGAAGATCATTTGAATTTCTATCATTTCATGGCGTTTTTAAGAATTCAAGAGTTCATTAACTAAGCAACTAATATATAGGCTTAGACTATTCTCCATTGACGTCCTTCTGTTTTTAGGTTGGCTCTTAGCTAATGAAGATAGATCATACATATGCAATCATAGCAAATAAGCCCATTTCTGATAAGTGATAACAGGGAAGTACACCACATGAATCCTGAAAGCACCAACGGATCCTCACAGTACGTTGGAAACTAAAGGCTGATCATGGCACCAAATAGTAGTCTTTCCGTACGTAAATAAAAATTATGTTTGTTGAACTGTATGTTAGACTTATTACTGACTTTACTTTTGATATTTTTTCATATTATGGTTGTCTCTTATCCGAACTAGTGATAATATAATTTTATCAGAAAAAATCAGAGCAAAATGAGAAACATAAAAATAACGTTGATCATTGACGATGTAAAAGAACGTATATATGAACTTAGACGTGTTATGCACTTGAAAACATTGATCGAAATCATGTGTACTCATGTCATGATACCAAAAAAAAAAACAAAAACTGCAGTTTGTCCGTCATTTATTATCCTTTTTTTTCTTTTTTTTTTAAATACTTTGAGAGACATTATCGAAGAGTCGGGAAGCCCATCGATTATTGTTTGTTTTGGTGAGCGATCATGTCTAGCGTCGTTATCATTGCACCAGGTTTAATTTCACGTGTTATAATTCCAACTTGAATTGTTTGATATTTGGCAAAATTGTAAAAGCCAATACTTACTTTCAATGGTGAAATCGGGACATACACGTTAGGCCATTTTGTTGGTATAAATGTCTTCCTTCCCAACCCAAAAATAATGATAATATAAAAACTAAGATCATCATTTTGAGACCAATATAAAAATACAATGTTAAAACCATCAAATCTCCTCATCCTGTGTGTCCGACCCCAAGCCAGCAGCATCTCAAAAGGACTATGGCTTGTTTGGATGCCCACTCCGTTTTGCATTTTCAACTCATTTTGCATCTTAAACACAAAATCCAATATAAACTAAATTGATGTCCAAACAATTTTCTGATTTACATTTTAAAATCAAACTTGAAACATTTTGTTAGTGCAGTAACCATTTTTTGAACTAAAAATAGTTCAATGACTAAATCCAAAACTTTGCACATTTATTTCAGTTTGCCTCTGGTCAAAAAACCAAGGGTTAATCGGATAGCGGTTAGGAAAAAGTTTTTTGGAATACGTATTAAAATATCAAGTACAAAAGATATCACTAAACAATCGAAAAGTGTCAATTTTAGTTACTGTAAAAAAAAATTCAAAAATGATCACTAAACAACGGAAAAGTGTCGATTTTGGTCACTGTAAAATATTAATTTTAGAAACTATTCCGTGATTTTAGTGATCATTTTAGTGACCAAAATCGATACTTTTCCGTTGTCTAATGATCATTTTTGAAATTCTTTTTTTACAATGACTAAAATTGACACTTTTTTATTATTTAGTGATATTTTCCGTACTTGATATTTCAATACATATTCCAAAAAACTTTTTTCCAACCACCATCCAAACAATTTTTTACTAAAATACCATCCAAACAACTTTTTCATCTCTCATTATGTTTTTTTACTTAAAACAATTTTTACATTCAAGTTAAAAATAAAAACAAAACTGACGTCTAAACAAGCACTAAATTGTTTCATCCGACAACTTGCCCTTTGTTTTTGTCCTCATTTCTGTAATCAAGCCTAGCTACGACTATACAATTACGAAACGAGGAAACAATTAATTAAGAAATTAATTCAAGCGTAATCAGTAATTTAATTAACATCGTAAACGGTTGGGGGAGGTTAGGTCTGCTCCCACTTTGAAAAGGTCTTCATTGACTCAATTGCATAAAACCCCATCATAAGTCAAAATTTGGGTACACAGCTAAGTAGACACCCAATTAAAAAAAAAAAAAAAAACAAAACCAAAACGTGCATTCTTTCACCTAAGGGATGCTTACTTTGAAAATTGATAGATGAAATCAAGACTAATTCAATATCAGATCAAACCCCCCAAAAAAGAATTTATGGAGGCATGTTGACTCAATGTTGTAGTTATTATTATTATTATTACAAAGAAAGAAGCATAAATTTAAAAGATAATAAAAATTTAATAATAATAAAAAAAACAAGAGATAGTTAAACCATTTGTTGGGTCGTCTAATTTTTTAAACCCTGCGGATTCCATGCATAGTAAATGTGATAGCGGATGATTACAAAGATGAATTTACATGTGCTACAATTACGAAAGTTTGATATGGTAATGGGAGTGAATACGTTAATCAAACAAGAACAATTAGTGGTTCAATTATTACTAATTGATTTGTGTCGTAAGGAAAGGTAACATATGAATCCCGTGACATGGGAAACGTGAAAAAGATTTATTCTGTCGGCAAAGAATCGGTAATTATGGGATAAAAGAATTTCCGTGACTCACAACCTACGAACTCAACAATTAATAACGTCAAATCTCGTGCGAAACAAGAACAGTTCGCAATCTCTGATCTTTATTAGTAGTAGTCTATGGGGCACCCGGTGCTGCCTATCTGGTGGGCGCGCTCATCCTTTTTTTTTTTTTCCCCTCCATTTCTTAATTTTTTTAACTTTATTATTTTTATTAATTTTAGACTCTAATTTAATTAAAAATAATTAAACCTTCCTAAATTTTAAACACTAAAATCACTATATTTTTTATTTATTTTAATTTAATTAGGTTAGGATCCCTAACTTAATTAAATTAAAAAAAAGTTACTATAATTTAATCATGTTACGTCAAACACTAGATCCTAACATAATTGAAATGTTTAAACCCCCCTAAACTTTAAACCTCAATCACTAGACCCTAGCTTAATTAAAATAATTAAATCCTCCTAAACTCTAAATACTAATCACTAGGCCCTAACTTAATTGAATGCTTAAAAACCTCCTAAACCTTAAATACAAACAAACTAACTTTTTATTCGGTTTTAATTTTTTTAATTCAATTAGGCTAGGGTCTCGTTCTAAATAAATTAAAAAAAATTTATAAGTTATCCGTATTACGTTATACACTAGACCTGAATCTATTAATTACGTGTATAAAGAGTGGGTGAAATTTTACTAAAAAAATATTTTAAAGATTTAAAAAACTAAAATACAAAATTAAAATCAAAAAGAAAAAAGAAAAAAAAAAGAGAGAGAGAGCAGCGCGCTCATGCCTAGCCGGTGCGCTCTAAACTTGAGCGTACCAGGTGTCCCGTATAATTTGCGGTAGCCCTATTCTTTTATTCTTCATAATTCCATTTGTCGTTGAATAATGAGATTATTTACGGGTTTTTTTTTTTACATAAAATGAAATTGCTACTATTAATTAATTATATATTGAAGTATATTTGACTCAGTTGAAATTACTATATCTGACTCAGTTGATTAATTCAACCAAGCAACTAGCTAATTAAACTAATGAGAGTATCATAATTAGTTAATATCGTCAAGGTTCTATCATACTAATGTACTCCCTCTATCCCATAATTATTGTCCAGTTTGAGTTTTCATTTCTAGTTCAAATTGTATTAAAACTGAAATCTCAAACT